CATAATCTCTGTTTGCGATCTTTGGACACAAAGAGGATTACGGCGGACTGCTGAAGAAAAGCTCTGAAATATGTCCCTCTGGCCTAATTCAGCACTTTGAGAGGATTGAAAAGTGTTGATAAACTGCGGGTGGAGCTGGACGAGTGTTTAGAAAACTTTATGTAAATGTTGTTCTTGCTGTGTTTCTCTAAATAGGACTGTCTCAGACCTGATTTCGCTGATTTACTCGCCAAGAGAGCGTGTTTACTCACGACTGCTGAGCTACAGTACTAGAGCCGTGTCTGTCAGTCTGATCATAGTACTGGCTATTTTTCATGGTTATACATTAACCAGAATGAAAAGCTGGACAGAGGAGTGACAAACTACACAATGATACGTGCTACACCAACGTCTTAAAAGAAATTAAATTTAACCACACAGCCGTAACTCACTGTCCCTTAAACTACAGTCTTATTATTCTGTTACTAATCAGTTATTATTCAGCAACTACTATACTACTATACATCTACTATACACTGTAAAGATCAGAGATATTATAAAGGTGGAGGCCGGTCACTGGTTGTTAAATAAAGGGGCTCGTAATGCTCAACATGGCATGTGTTTGCGACGAAAGTCCCATCCTTAAGAGCCAGCATACTGGTTACGCCGCGAGTGGGGAAAAGCTCCCCCTTGTTTTGGAGATTTGAGCCAAAACAACCCAAAAAACACGCTTTTTTGTGTATTATTGAGCAAAACGCTACAAACTATTTGAGTTTTTCGTCAGATTTTATAAGTGATTCCAAATGTGATTCTGAAACGGTAATTTGACCTTTGGTTTTGAGTATTTTGGTCTCTCACCGTTCAAAGAGAGAGGAATCTGGTCTTGTATGGTGGGAAATAACTGCCCGGTGGTGTTGCCCAGGTGGCCATCGAGTGGAGAGACTTTCCTATAAAGACTTTGAAATTATTCAGTATTTACTATAAATTATTTAGTAACTATTATGAATTATTCAGCAACTTCGTGAATTATTCATGAGCTATCATAAATTATTCAGTAACTACTATAATTTATTCACTATCTACTAGAAATCAGTGATTCAGTAACTATTTAAAACTATTCAGTAGCTATTATAAATTATTCAGTAATTATCATGAATTATTCAGTAACTATTATGAATTATTCACTATCTACTAGAAATCAGTGATAAAGTAACTATATAAAACTAGTGAATATATAAAACTATTCAGTAGCTATTATAAATTATTGAATAACTACTATGAATTATTCAGTATCTAACAAATTTATTTAGTAACTGTTATACAGTGTTGCTTTAAAGATTGTGAACCCTTTAGAATTTGTTCTATTTCCATGTAAATTTAACCTAAAACTTAATCAGATTTTCACACAAGTCCTTAAAGTAGATAAAGACAACCAAATTAAACAATTGAGATAAAAATATTACACTTGGTCATTTATTCATTATTTTTATTATTATTAGTAGTAGTATATTTAGTAGTATTACAGTAGTATAATTTTATTATTATTAATAGTAGTTACTATTAATTATTTAGTATCTACTATAAATGGTTAAATAACTACAATGACTTATTCACTATCTAATAGAAATGATGGAGTATCTAATATAAATTATTCAGTAACTATTATAATTTCTTCAGTGACTATTATAAACTATCTGGTAACTTATAAACCTTACTGATTAATTTATGTTTATTAAATAACTTCTACAAATTTTTAAATGACTATTATAAATTACTTATTATTTACTTAAAATTATTAAGTAACTGTTATAAATTATTTAATAACTACTATAATTTATTGAGTAACTATTATGAATTTTTCAGTAGCTTCTATTTTTCAGTAACTCCTATGTTTTTTCAGGTAGGTACTCTAAATTATTCAGTTACTACTATTAATTATTCAGCAACAGTAAATCCTGGTGAATTGTCGGGGCTGGGCTCTTTAAGAGGTTAATGGATTCATACGTCCAAAGTGAAGGTTGTCCTTCTAAGGTTGTCACTGCGTAGAGTCTTCCAGCGACTTCTAAGAAGAGCAGCTGTAACAAGATGAGCCTCTTTGGAGGATCTGAGTGTGAGATACCTGCTCTACCTGCTATAAGCCCCTTAAGCCCTGACCTGAGCTCTAATCAGCTTTCAGCCACTCCAGCTCGAGCTGGGAGGCGGCCAGTGCAGGAGACGGGGCTCCAAAGAGTGATCGGACAAACCTTTTAAGACAGTGTACGCAATCTGTCAGAAGTTTGGGGGCACCTCGCTTTTCAAAATGTTTTAATGCAAATAATAATGGTAGAATAGTCCATATAGATACTGTAGATAGAGATGTATAGAAACTTCATTAATTCAGAAGGAAAATGTAAATATTTGTGGTGTGGGTGATGTTATTACTATTAGAGTAATGCTGCATTGTGTGTAATTTCATGATGAATGGACCAAAAGAGACGTCCCAGAATTATTTGGAACAAAGGTCTGGTTCCATTGACTTACATTAAAAGTAAAGTAGGTTTTTTCCTTCTCCTGTAAAGTTACCATTTTGGAGCTACAAGGTTTTCTTCCGACAACAGCGATTTAAAAAATAAAAATATATATATATATATATATATATATAATAGTTAATATTTTAAATAAATTTATATGTAAATATGCCATTTTATATAATTGAATATATGCCAACATACTGAAATATATATATATATATATATATATATATATATATATATATATATATATATATATATTATATATATACACAATGTGTGTGTGTATGTATGTATGTATGTATGTATATGTATATGTACACATACACACACACACATCACACATTCAAATATATATCAAAAATATATAGAAATGTTACAAATATATTTGAAATATATTTCGAAAAATATTTGTAAACATATTTCCTTTTCACATCATCACGGTTCGAACAAAACCTCCAAAAAAAAGTAACTTTACAGGAGAAGCAAAAAACCTCCTTAACTTTTAGTGTAAGTTAATGTAACTAATTTTAGTCGATTTCTATTGGTCTGCTTATCATTTATCAAAAGTTGACACAGTGTGAACAGCAGCAAGTATTTTCAAATTATGTGAAAGCAAACAAACAAAAAATTAGAACAACACAAAAAAACGTTCTGTCACGTTTTTTGTATGTTAAAGAAAAATATATGTAAAAATATTTAAAAATTAATTGAGATCCAAGATTTAATTCTAACAGTGATGTGTATATAACCTGCCTTCAAAACTTTATTTTGAACTTCGAATAACAGGTTAACTTCATCTCAGAAATGTCCAGCAGTCTGGTTACTTACTTTCTTGAAGTAAAACACCTGATTGTTTGACACTGTGGACTCAGTTTGGTCGTAGACAGTGATAAGAGGTGGGCTGCAGTAGTGTTTGCTGTCGTGCTGTTGGTTGATTTTAAGGTAGTCTGAGTGTAAACATTGATATCTGGACGCTGAAGCTGGGCAGAGATCAGACACGGCTGTAGCTGCGCTGCAGGAGTGTTTTATCTGCGAGGCAGGAACATTAATAGAGTGATGGAGTCATTATTAGTGACTGGAATGCTTGCCTTGCACGAAACGTCAAGTGCTGTCAGAAAAAGCTGCGTATGAAACTCAGTGATGTTGAGTGTAATTGACTTTGATTGATTAGAGGCCTGACTTCTCCTAAATCTGCGGCTCATTAAGAAGATGACCCGTCTGTGATTAGCCCCCGCAGCGCTGCAGGACACATTTCCTCTATTGATTTTGCTGATGCTTCCATTTTTACTGCGTGGAGAATATTTAGATGAGAAGAGGTTCTTGAAAACATGCCAAAGCCCGTTCATCATCAGCACAAGTTTGAAAAGCCTTTTGTGGAGTTTGTGTCAGTTGATTTAGTTCAAGTAGCTTTTACAGGATATAAAAATAATCTGGAAAAAATGGGAAAAAGCTGCTTCTGACAAAAAGCTACAATAGGACAGCTATTTAGGATGGATGGATGGATGGATGGATAGATTATATTGATTGATTGATTGACAGGCAAGATAGATAGATAGTAGATAGATAGATAGATAGATAGATAGGTAGAGAGTGTTTGGTTGGTTGATCGAGTTGGGTGATTGGTTAATTGACTGAATGATTAATAGGCAGGCAGAATGGATGGATGGATGGATGGATAGATAGATTGATAGGCAGGCAACATACATACATACATACATACATTGATAGACATGCAAGATAGAGAGTGAGTGAGTGATTCACCGATTGATTGATAGACAGGCAATATAGACAGACGGATGGATAGACAGATAGAGAGTAATTGATTGATAGGCATGCAAGATAGATAGATAGATAGATAGATAGATAGAGAGTGTTTGGTTGGTTGATCAAGTTGGGTGATTGGTTAATTGATTGAATGATTAATAGGCAGGCAGAATGGATGGATGGATGGATGGATGGATGGATGTATAGATTGATAGGCAGGCAATATACATACATACATACATACATACATACATACATACATACATAGATTGATTGATAGGCAGGCAATATAGACAGACAGATGGATGGATAGACAGATAGAGATTAATTGATTGACAGTCTAGATAGATAGATAGATAGATAGATAGATAGATAGATAGATAGACAGATAGATAGATAGACAGACAGATAGGTAGATAGACAGACAGGTAGGTAGATAGATAGATAGATAGATGTAAAAGGACAAGCAACAACATATCAGGTTTTGTTTTATTTAAATTTTTATCAAATAAAATGTTCCTCTCTTTTGTATAAACACAAATATAGAGTATATATAGTGGTATAGATTGATCTGATCTGCTCTATCAACAGTTTCTCTGTTTGTCCATTTGTTTCAATGAGCCTCGTGTGATGAATATTAGATAAACAGTTACTGAATGCTTTTGTTTTCGGTGGGATAACTGTGAAGTTTAGATATCAGTGATCCTCTTTAACTCTAACTCGGCTCCTGTCTTGTATTTCCAGAGTGCAGCAGCAGCTCCGAGCCCAGTGCTGGGGAACATGCCCCCCGGAGACGGGATGCCAGGGGGCCCCATGCCTCCAGGTTTCTTCCAGGTAGGGCACATTCCTGTTCCTCAACTTACTGAACATTTAAAGCGATATTATGGCGAAAAATCAAGTTTACACCGTTTCTCTCCCCTCACACACAGACGTAGTCGACCAGCTAAGACACGTTTGGCCTCTGTAGTTTGCTTCTTTAGTTAAGTCGACTTACTGTTGTTTGTTTTATTATTCTACGCTTTTTTTGTTTTCTCAGGTCACAGTTTTCGTCATAGAGCTTATATGGAAAAACTGTTCTTAGCTACTCAGTGCATCTTCGGTCCAAGTCTATTAGAGATTACTTAACACCTCGACAGTTAACACCTTGTTAATTGTTGGGTGGATGCTTCTGTTACTTGTTAGCTACATTAGCCTCATAGCTCTGGTGCTAAAACTAAGGCTACGTTCAGACAGCAGATAAAAGTGGCCCAAATCTGATTTTCTCTCCAAATCTGATTTTTTTTTTTGTTTGGCTGTTCACAATATCTTTTGAATGTGACCTGTATGTGACCTCAGTCCATATCAGCTTCTAAACCAACCCGCATGCGCAAAAGAACAGATCGTCACGTTGCTTCATGCGGCTCATCCAGAGGTAAACAATCATAACTGCCAACAAATGCCAGTCTGTTCAGTTTCATTGTCACCAGCATCACAGGAGCCATCATGAAGCTTCATTGACTAATGGCTGGGCTCATCACCCAGAATGTGGTCCAGCTCGCCATAAAAATGACACGGTCACTTCTTTGGTTCGCGTCCTCGGATTCCTTAAAGCTTACTTTCAGACTTTTAACTGTTCTTTGACGCTGCAGCCTCGTTCTCCTGCGGCCGCGTTCCGACGTTTCTTTCAAAACCTCTTCAATCATGGGGGGTTTTGGATGAATCTCTTCTAATTTTTTATACAGAAACATCATCCTAAATGTTTGAGGTCTCAGCCGAATTATGACGAATGTGGAGTTGGATTGACGTAAAAGGCGCGTGAATTCCGATCTGGCTGCTCAGACTGAGCCGCAATGCCTCGTATTGGATACGTATCAGACTTCAGCACCACGTATAAAACATCTCGAATCGGAATTGAAGATGTCAGATGCAGTGTGTTTCTGCTGTTCGCACTGACACTCAGACACACATCTGTGTCCCATGTGAAGAAAAAGATCAGATTTGGGCCACTTTTACCTGCTGTGTGAACAAAGCCTAAAGAAGCGAACTTCAGACACCGAACGTGTCTCGGCTGAGTGACTACATTTGGGGTTAGGAGGGAAATGTGTAAATTTGATTTTTGGCCAAACCGTCACTTTAACCTTTCTCCTTCAGCTTTCAGCCCCAGAGAGTCAAACACCAGGCCAAGATCACAAACACGTGCCATCGGTTTTGAGATGGCGCACACAGAGGGGCTATTATGCCTCTGCCTGTGGTTGACTGCCAAGCCCAGAGTCTACTGGGATTCAGTTTGATTACGACCATTAGCCGCTAATGGCAGCCACTCTAGCTTCACAAAGCAGGGCTACTTTTACTGCGCTGACCGTAAGAGCAGACCAGAGTAGTCACACGCAGGTTGCTCAAAAGCGTTTCTGTAAACCGTCCAGCCGTAGCATCATTCAGCTTCCTCCTTCCTTCTTTACGGTGAAGATTACGTGTGTGAGACGTTTATGTGAACCACTTCTTGGAAAGGGTCACCTTCCTTTAAAGGGCCCATTTCACTGAAAATATCATTTGATCCTTTTATTTAACTTAGCCCTTGTGTGGTGTTCAAGTCTGTGGGACTGGGCTGAACCCGCAGGGAATAAAAGTGTGGAGGTGCTGTCTCCCTTCATTCTTCATTCTGTTCTCCTCCTACATGGCCTGCTGTTAGTGTGTGTATGTGTTTGTATATATGTGTGTGTGTGTGTGTGTGAGGGTGGACAACATGGACAGGCTGCTGACTGGCTACAGCTGCTAAACGAGAACAATACACTGGACACTAGTGATATTTTAAACATCTGGTTCTTTTACATAAATTGTGGCTGCATTGATTTTAAATAAACAATAATGTGGACAGAATTGTTCACAGTGGTGGTGATAGGAACCAGACGTCCACCTCTAAAAGCTCTCATTATTACATGAAATGGTTATGAATACTTTGCCTGATTGTTTTGCAGTAGTTTTGAGAGACAATTTTGGCCTTAAGTATATTTTTAAAATTCATTCATGGTGGAGGGATACATGCAGGGCGATCTAAGGCAAAATAGTCCACAAAGAAAACTTATTATTTCAGATTTTCCACTATTTTACCATCATCAATATTACATAAATAAACACAGATGGTGGTTTTGGATAGTAAATAAAATGTCTATATTTGTGTTGTAGTCATGGCGACCCCTGGTTCCTGTCACCACCACTGTAAAGAAATCTGAGTCTAATATCAACCGTTTCACACCAAACCACTCCGAATGATGTAGTTTTATGCAGGAATTTTTGAGAACGCCTGGAATTCCCTTTTAAATGTTTTATGTTGAGGGTAAACATTGTTAAATGTTGTTAAAGTCAATTTGTGCTGTTCACTTATCAGCCCATATATGGAAATGAAGCGACAAAATCAATTTTGAATTACTTGTTTTTGTAACATCACAATAATCAGCCCAGTTATTTAATATCCGCCCATGCTGAAGTTATAAGGAGTGTTTCAGCCTGGACTGCTTTTTCGAAGAAGGCAAAAAACAGGGCAGCCAATCAAAACAGAGGTCATTTACATATACAGTAACTAAACTGCCTGTGTAAGGCTTAGAAAATGGCCATGTGAAAATAAATTGTGACTGTTACACACAAACATTATACACTGATCAGGCATAACATTATGACCACCTCCTTGTTTCTACACTCATTGTCCATTTTATCAGCTCCACTTACTATATAGGAGCACTTTGTAGTTCTACAGTTACAGACTGTAGTCCATCTGTTTCTCTGCATACTTTGTTAGCCCCCTTTTACCCTGTTCTTCAGTGGTCAGGACCCCCATGGACCCTCACAGAGCAGGTACTATTTGGGTGGTGGATCATTCTCAGCACTGCAGTAACACTGACGTGGTGGTGGTGTGTTAGCGTGTGTTGTGCTGGTCTGAGTGGATCAGACACAGCAGTACTGCTGGAGTTTTTAAACACTGTCCACTCACTGTCCACTCTATTAGACACTCCTACCTTGTCAGTCCACCTTGTAGATGTAAAGTCAGAGACTCATCTGCTGCTGCACAGTTTGTGTTGGTCATCCTCTAGTCCTTCATCAGTGGTCACAGGACGCTGCCCACAGGACGCTGTTGGCTGAATATTTTCGGTTGGTGGACTATTCTCAGTCCAGCAGTGACACTGAGGTGTTTAAAAACTCCAGCAGCACTGCTGTGTCTGATCCACTCAGACCAGCACAACACACACTACACACCACCACCACGTCAGTGTTACTGCAGTGCTGAGAATGATCCACCACCCAAATAGTACCTGCTCTGTGAGGGTCCATGGGGGTCCTGACCACTGAAGAACAGGGTAAAAGGGGGCTAACAAAGTATCAGAGAAACAGATGGACTACAGTCTGTAACTGTAGAACTACAAAGTGCACCTATATAGTAAGTGGAGCTGATAAAATGGACAATGAGCATAGAAACAAGGAGGTGGTCATAATGTTATGCCTGATTGGTGTACGTGCACCTCAGAAAGACAGAAGAAACCAAAACACATGAGAACTGTAGGATACGGGCCCTTTAAAGTGAACATCACGCCGAGGAACATGGGAATGAGTTCTAGGAATGTTACTTCTAGGTAATACTATGATGTGTGATGGAGGGTGGAAGGATGTGTGGGTTAGAAAAGCATTCTGGGAAAGCCTGCATCGTGCGGGAGAAAGTGTCCTGATCCTCCAGGGCCTGATAATAACATTACACACACACAAGCCTATAAGTTTCTCTCAAGCACGACTAAGCAAAGGCCATTATCCCAGCACAGAGCCATGCGTCAGTGGACACAGTGAAATGTGAAACAAGGCCAGTTTAAAGCCCCCTGCTGGACTCCTCTAGAACACTACTGCCCTCTAGTGGTCACTCTCTTCAGTGCCTGATCACTGACGAGCTCTCTCTGTCGTTAAAGTAGTAAACGAAACATATTCAGGTTTTTCTCTTTCTGCGTTTTAAGGCAGGGCATTTCTGCTGAAGTCATTTGTTTACTTACCGTATTGGTCATTTAAAAGTTAAAAGTTAGATTAGGATAAAGAAGTTAGAAATTAGTATGGTAGTTTGGACTCACGGTCCTCACTGTCCGCATCATTACGACACCATGCTCACAAACTGTGTAACCTCCAGGCTTCAGCCTCACTGCAGCAGTAACGCCTCTCTTTTTCTTTTGCTTTGCTTTTTCTCTCCATTTTTCTTTCTGCCTGCTCTTCTGTAATCACTGCTGCCCCCCTCTTGTGGCCCTGCAGGGTCCCGCTGGCTCCCAGCCGTCCCCTCAGCCTCCACCTAACGCTAACATGATGGGAGCGCATGGACAGGTAACGACACAAACACACACCTGGTTCTCTTTAGAGCTGATTCTGCATGTACACCAGCGTTTGCTCCTCTGCTTCTGAGCTCTCGCATTGCTTTCGTAACTCCTTGGTGCTAAATTGGCTACACAGCTAATGTGGCTAACAATAAATGAGAATTAAAAGACAATCGGTTGTCATTATGGAAGTAAAATCCTGCTAATGTGCCCACTAGGTTCTATTCGCTGTTAGCCACATTAGCACTTCTCTTCACGCCGTTTCTTTAAAACTGCATGCATATTATTTAGATTTTAACCTTAATTATTTTTCAAAATTATTTTTCCATTCTTTTTTCTTGAAGAATGTGATTGCTGTGGCTGTCTTTTTCTTTTTTGTTGTTATTGTGCAATCCATAAATCGATCAATAGTACATAAATAAATAAATAAACACATTTAAATGATTCACTATCTACTGTGAAACTAATGTATAAGTTCTGGAGTCATGAGAGTTAAGAACTGAAGTGTGGACCCACTAGAGCTCTGTTAACCTGAGTCTGACTGGGCCTGACAGGTCATTAGGTTTTGGGCTGGGTTCGGGACAATTTTTTAAGTACTCTGAGGCTCGATTGTGACTCTTTTAAGTTGTAGAGTACTTTTTATTTCTGCCTCTCAAAGCAAAGCACTGTAAAACCGGTCTGTGATGATCCATCTTGTGTAAGCGGGTTTGGGCCGGGTTTCGGGTTTCAAATTTAGACGTACCTCTCACGCCGAGTCTCAGAGACATTCTGCACCTGAGTGAAGAACACGACCACAAACCTCTCAAGAATAATGACTCCTTGAAAAAGCCGAGTTGTTATTGTTGAAATCAGTGCAAGTAAAATCCAAACAGATGAAGAATTGCTGGCTGAACTTGCACTGGTTGCTGCTAACAGACTAACTGGTTTACACTTTATATTCTCTGTAACTGGATATATTCCTGCCCTCAGTAGAGTAGGCTGAGCTGGTCAGCAGAAAGCTAATAGGCTAATGCTCCAATAATAAAAGACGGACGTCGAGTTCAAGCCCTTAAAGATGGGTCTAATGTAATATTGCATCTTACAAAGTGAAGAAAGTATTACTTGCCCACCTGTTATGAGCTGAAAATGTCTGTATTTAAACTAGAGCTGACATTTAAAGCTAACCTCACTAGATTGGCACTAACATACCAACAGTTAGTTCTGTCTACGCAAGCTGATTGGTTGAGAAGCGTTCTAACTGTGCTGTTATTTCGCCATAACATCACAGGCTTATTCACAAACACTGTATCACTCTGCTGAGACATGCATTGCTAAGCAAGCAGCTGTAGGAGGCGCTCAAGACATTTGAACGTTTTTTACTTGGCCACAAACAGAAAATGGACACTCTTTAAGATCACATTTGACCGACAGCCGATTTGGTCAGACTCTGAAGATGAGACGACACTAAATTGCCCAAACTGTCATCACCACTGAGCAGCTTTTCAGTCGGGCAGCTGTGACAGAAGAACAGCTAAACAACCTGGAATCAGCCAGAAATGAACCCAATACCATTCGCCAGACTAAATGGGCTGTAAGATGCTTTACAGACTGGCTGGAACAAAACAACATTAATACTGATCTGGCAAAAAAAGACAAAACTGAGCTAAACTTGATATTGCGGCAGTTTTATGGCTCAGTCTGTACTTCAGAAGGCGAGGCTGACAGCAGACTGTGCAGCGAGTGGGCGGAGTTCGTCACTCTGACAGCAACAAGCTGCTTGTTAAGGAACTATAATTTGGCAGAAGGAACTGCGAACATTAAAACATATTAAACGCCGCGTTCACGGCCCAGTTTATTAATTTATTACTTTATTTATTTAACTGTTGTATAAAGCAATAGAACACTCGAGGAGTGTGTTATCGCCAATAACATCACGGCTGTGATGATCTACGGCGACCAAATCACAGCCGTGATGTTGTGATAACACACTCCCTCTCATGTTCTATTGCTTAAATAGTATATTTCTACACTAAATATTGCCATATAATGGTAAATATTTGATATTAATGCATTACACATTAATACATTTTTCAAATTTAGCAGTACTAGTCGGGCCGAGCCTCAAACTGGTGGGTTCAGGTCGAGTTCAGGCTTCAGTTTCATTCCCATCCAGATCTCTAACCACATACAGACCATATTGATGGTCGATTCCATTGCATTGCACTGTGAAATGCACGCTGTGAAGGCCAAAGTCATTGACCGTTTACTTTCCTGTTTGCAGGCCTTCATGTCTCCACGTTACGCGGGAGGACCTCGGCCTCCCATCAGGATGGGGAACCAGGTGAGTCCGTGGCTGGATCGATGCGCTGGGGCTTTTTTATGACTGAACATCCAATATAAGAGATAAAAATGGTTTCTGTGGGCCTCCGTATTGATTTTTTTCTCTGACCTATCATCACTTTCTCTCTTCATCTCTATCAGCCTCCTGGAGGGCAGCCTTTACCGCCGAATGTAATGGACCCAACACGGCCTCCAGGTACTGAAAGAGTGACGGGTTCAGCGGCTTAGTCTGTTTGAAAATGAACATTCAGGGCAGAAGATCAGTCATCGGTCATTTGACACTGAAAAAAAGTGATGTGTTGGGTATCGCTGTGGCCTCTTTCTCCAGGCCTGCTAAAGGCCGTTCCCCAAGCAGAATGGAGTTGCAGCTTTCTTCACATCAAAAAATAGCATTTTCAGCGGTTCAGATCTAAAAACAATCGCCCCAAGCCGCCATGGAGGAAAGCCTCCATGACATCCGGCGCAGCCGTCGAAGATATACTCCACGCAATTTCAGCCAGCCAATCAGATGCAATTTCGTCACGGGACTCCAGCCAATCACACGCACAAGTTGGCGGGTTCCTAATAAGCGGGAGTATGAGAGAGAGAGAGAGAGAGAAAGAAAGAGAAGCAAGCAAAACAAAACATACGTCCCTATGGACGTAACACACAATAGAAACACATTTCGTAATGCTGACGTACTTTTCTAAGACGAAAACCCAGCTCACTTCCAGTTTTGTACATCATACACATTTCCATTGAAATATACTCCATCCATGTTATTGAAGTGACCACCAAAACAGGCAGAAATAGCATTTCATGGCTGCCATTAAAAGAGCTGAAGAGCTATTTAAAAGCTGTATTTGAACGAGAGGGCTACAATCGTGGATTCAGCTGGGCTTCAGCCTGCACTACTATGGTGGATCGAAGGGTAAAAGCTGGAAAATGTGTTAACGGCATTAACAAAAACTGTGGCGTTAACAATTTACCATGTTAAAACATTATCAGCTTGTTAGCTTTGACAGCCCTAATGTACATATTGTTCTTTATTTATATATTATTGCATCACCTGAGTGGGATTGTAATGGCTGAGAGGTCAAGTTACAGTTAAGCTTGGATGTTCTGTAGAATTAGACAAGCGATCGTTGTCTGCAGAATTATTGTGATAAACTTTATTATTGCAACAAATTCAGTCAGAAAGTATCAAATTTTTCCTATTGGGAAAGATTTAATCTCCGTTTATACTGATCAGATTGAAGTCTGCTTCACTGTGTGAATTTTGGTTTATTTTATTTTGTGTTTAGGTCATCCCAACCTGGGACAAATGCAGAGAATGAACGTGCCTCGAGGGATGGGTCCAATGGGGCCTGGACCACAGGTTTGACCTTTACATCATTTCCACACGAGTAAAATAAAAAAAAAAAATGACCTCATTTTTAACGTGGTAGATTTTATTAATGTGAGACTAATGTACATATTTGAATCAAGGCATTTTAATGCAGTGTTTTTTTCAGTGCCTTCCTGATTTAGAATATTAGCCAAGTTTCCATAAGTGGGTGGTGAACTGGTTGACCTCAGGGAGGAGTTTTGTCAGAATTATTGTACCAGAATGCCACAAATACACCAATCAGGCATAACATTATGACTTGTTTCCTTGTTTCTGTGCTCATTGTCCATTTTATCAGCTCCACTTACTATATAGGTGCACTTTGTAGTTCTACAGTTACAGACTGTAGTCCATCTGTTTCTCTGATACTTTGTTAGCCCCCTTTTACCCTGTTCTTCAGTGGTCAGGACCCCCATGGACCCTCACAGAGCAGGTACTATTTGGGTGGTGGATCATTCTCAGCACTGCAGTAACACTGACGTGGTGGTGGTGTGTTAGTGTGTGTTGTGCTGGTCTGAGTGGATCAGACACAGCAGTGCTGCTGGAGTTTTTAAACACTGTGTCCACTCACTGTCCACTCTATTAGACACTCCTACCTGGTCAGTCCACCTTGTGGATGTAAAGTCAGAGACGATAGCTCATCTGCTGCTGCACAGTTTGTGTTGGTCATCCTCTAGTCCTTCATCAGTGGTCACAGGACGCTGCCCACAGGACGCTGTTGGCTGGATATTTTTGGTTGGTGGACTATTCTCAGTCCAGCAGTGACACTGAGGTGTTTAAAAACTCCAGCAGCACTGCTGTGTCTGATCCACTCAGACCAGCACAACACACACTAACACACCACCACCACGTCAGTGTTACTGCAGTGCTGAGAATGATCCACCACCCAATTAGTACCTGCTCTGTGAGGGTCCGTGGGGGGTCCTGACCACTGAAGAACAGGGTAAAAGGGGGCTAACAAAGTATGCAGAGAAACAGATGGACTACAGTCTGACACCAGAGTGATTGCTGCTCTGCTGTTTCTTCTCATAAAGGCTGAGAAGCAGCCTGACTCTTTCAGTTGCATCAGATACGGCCTTGTGCACAAAGCTGTAAGGACTGTAATGACCGGGAATGACTAACATTTTTTAAATTCCAGCAAAGTCTCACGAGTGGGACAACTGAGAAATTTGACAAAGCTGAAGTTGCTTCATAGTTGAATTTCCCGTTTCACCTTAAATGGTGCAGCAGCTGCTGCTGCCTCTTTTAAGGTGGGACAGAAAAATGTGACTAAACCAACTTTAGCCTTGCAGACATTCAGACACGCATTATTGTTTTGAATAATAAAATATTTTAGCTTTACTTGGATTGTTAACAATAAAGGACATCCCTGAATAATAAGCTACTGTAAACCTACAAAATAGGTTTACTTAACCTCTTCAACTCCTTGAGACCACCGGTGGTTCCAAAACGCACTTCGTCATATTCTTCATAACTTTCATATTTCATAAGCTACATTCTAAAGATAGGGGTCATATGAGAGCTGTAACTGTCTTCCTTCCAGTCAGATAGATGGGTGATGTAATTTTAAACCCTTATAATAAAAGAAGCTGAACTCACAATTTTTTTTTCTACTGAAAGTCGACCCATTTTTCCACAAATCTGGGCTATAAACTGTAAACAGATGGCGTCTCTTCAGTGATCTGCTCTGTAAAACATTATTTTAATAAAATAATACAAAGAGCGTCTAAGATTTTTGGCTTTTAGCAGTAAATTGTAAGCATATAGCAATATGTGTATGATCATAAAACATGTTCTGTTGATTTTAGGGGAGGTTTTACCAAAAAATAAAATAAATAAAATAAAAATTGACATTTATTTCATGCAGTTACTGAATAATTTGCCTTATGATTTGGTCATATAAATTCAGATGGACAAACCAAAATATACCCTGGAAAATAAGAGGTTAAGCATCTAAAATGTTGTTTTCTTTTGTTTTGTTTTGTTGTTTTTTTTTAATGAAATTACCAAAACAAACATTATGTAAATCAGACTGTGTTTCTATCGGCTCTGTACAAGAAAAGAAAACTCTCTGTGCATAAAATATGGAGCAAGTCTTTAATATTTAATCGTTTAAGGATGTATTTTATCTTGTAAGAATGCGGAAATAAGACACACTGGCTAAAAAAGGCCCAGGAAATACCCATTAATCAAAACGCAGGCAATCTGAAAGCAGTCAAATACACTGTTACCGTTTACCGTCTAGTCTCTGATATGACTTTATTCTGTTCGCATTTCCATTGTAATTCATTGCATTTCGTTTTATCAGCCAGAACAGTTCATCTACCTCAAGCATGCATATGCATTTTGATTGTTTCGTTCAATATGTACCATTTCCATAAGTCTGTTTTTATTCAGTATGTCAAAATATGCATAGAAGTGCATGGATGGAAGCCCAGCTTTTGTCATGTTCATAATTTGTCCTTAAAACCTGAAGATCCTGTACAAACAAAAACCTCACGATGCAGAGCGTTACAGCGTTTACCGTATTCACCATGATTATGAATGGACTGTTATCCTCTCAGTCGTTTCCTTCTAAACTAAACTAATCATCTTTTTCTCTCTCCTCTCTCCTCTCGGCGCTGTGGTCACGCCAGTCTGATCCTTGGTTGTCATTGCAGAACTACGGTGGTGGGATGAGGCCTCCGAACTCTATGGGCCCAAACATCCCAAACATGTAAGATTTCCTCTTTCAGCTGAGGTGTAAACAGAGATGGGACAGTTGATGATGTAAACCCAGTCATACACTTATAAATTAAGTCATTATTTCAAAATCAATAGTCAATATTCGGAGAAAACAAGTGATTATTTACGGATATCAAGTCATTTTTTTAGTCAGCATTTCAAGGCAATAAGCCTTTTTTGAGATACTACATTAATATTTTAAGAAAATTAGTAATTATTTCAAGATATTAAGTCAATACTTGAAGAGATCAAGTCATTATTTTCAGATACTGGGTCAATGCTTTGAGATACTAAGTTAACATTTCAGGATAGTCATTGTTTAGAGATACCAGGTCAGTATTTCAAGACAAAAGTAATTATTTCAAGATATTAAGCCAATATCTCAAAAAAAGAAAGTTACTGTTTTGAGATGCTGAGTCAATATTTTGAGAAAATTAGTCATTATTAAAAAATATCAATTCAGTATTTCAAGAAAATAAGTCATTATTGAGAGATCAAGTCAAAATTTCAAGAAAATAAGTCATTATTTCAAAATATTACATCTATTATTTTGATACTGCAGCCAGAAACAGAGAAAGAGAAACATAGTGACTGTATATGTTCTACCGTCCCATCCCTGTTAGTAAACGTGTTTAGCAGGCTGTGCTGAGAACAGCTGTGTCACCTGAACATATGACTGTGTTTGCAGTGCTGAGCGTTTGGGAACACGCTGGATTCTCTGAATCTCTCTGTGTGGGATTAGTTTAGTCTGTGGTTGAGTTTTAGGGTGATGATGACCACATTAATGTGATTTATCCCTTTTGCTCAGGGGACCAGGGACCGGCAGGCCGTGGCCTAATCCCAATAATGCTAACACGGTAAGCCTGACTTTTATTTTAAAATGTTTTCCTCTAGTTTAGTTTCATCTTCTATGTCATCAATATCATAGCAAAACCTAAAGTAAGTTTATTTTTATTGTTTTTAAATTTGCTCTTTGCATTGTGTGAACATTTCATGATCCAGAATGACTTTGGACCATAAATTCTCATTGCATATAAGGCTACGTTCACTTTACCAGGCTGAAGGGGCACAAATCTGATTTTTTGCCCTAATGTGACTCAGATCTGATGTTTTCAGAGCTGTGTGGACACAAATCTGATCTTTTCAAATCCGACCTGAGCCACTTTCATATGTGCTCCTAGATCGGATACGTTTATGTAAGTGACTCAAATCTGTCATTAATGTGACGAACCGGCGTCCTGAAATGACCCTCATGAGCTCATCCTACTCAGTAACGTCACGTGAATGAATCACGTTCATCATCAGCACAAACTAACGAGCAGAACGAGCTTCGCTGAGAAGATAATTAACTCTGATCAGCTCTCAGCTTCATTATTAGAGCGAGACGAAGGAGAAAAAGGTGAGATGAGCTGCTTTTCCACCGTTTACAGGCTTTAACTTCTGTTTGGCGCTGCTGCCATGGTAACGCTGAATGATGGCGCATGCGCAGTGGAGAAAAAGCACATGAATTCCGATCTGAGCGTTACATTAAGGTCGCATGGCCACGAATCGGATACGTATCCGATCTAGGACCACATATGAAAGTGGCTCAGGTTGGATTTGAAAAGATCTCGTTTGTGTTCACACAGCCCTGAAAACATCAGATCTGAGTCACATTAGGGCAGAAAATCAGATTTGTGCCACTTAAACCTGGTAATGTGAACATAACCTAATAACGAAGCTGAGAGCTGATCAGAGTTAATTATCTTCTCAGCGAAGCTCGTTCTGCTCGTTAGTTTGTGCTGATGATGCACGTGATTCATTCACGTGACGTTACTGAGTAGGATGAGCTCATGAGGGTCATTTCAGGACGCCGGTTCGTCACATTAATGACAGATTTGAGTCACTTACCTAAATGAGTGTGAACCATCCTGTCAGAGAGATCGGATTTGAGCAAAATATTGGATTTGAGTAATGAGGCTTGTAATGTGAACGTAGCCTAATGTACATTAAAGATAAGAACAGTTGTTTTCCCTCCCCTATAAAGCTACCACTGCTCTACTGTAACCCTGACCCTAAAATGTACAAGAAAAGGTGACTAAAATTATTTATTTTTCCAGATCCCATATTCTTCATCATCTCCTGGCACATATGTGGTAAGATAAAGATATTTTGTGAGACTGAAAAACATAACAGATGAAAACATGGATAACTACAAAACTATTTATCTGGGCAGTAATTGTGGTTTTGCTGGCTAATGGACTTGACTGGCCACTTCAACACCTCCTTGTTTCTACACTCATTGTCCATTTTATCAGCTCCACTTACTATATAGGTGCACTTTGTAGTTCTACAGTTACAGACTGTAGTCCATCTGTTTCTCTGATACTTTGTTAGCCCACTTTTACCCTGTTCTTCAGTGGTCAGGACCCCCATGGACCCTCACAGAGCAGGTACTACTTGGGTGGTGGGTCATTCTCAGCACTGCAGCAACACTGACGTGGTGGTGGTGTGTTAGTGTGTGTTGTGCTGGTCTGAGTGAATCAGACACAGCAGTGCTGCTGGAGTTTTTAAACACTGTGTCCACTCACTGTCCACTCTATTTGACACTCCTACCTTGTTGGTCCACCTTGTAGATGTAAAGTCAGAGACGATAGCTCATCTGCTGCTGCTGCACAGTCTGTGTTGGTCATCCTCTAGTCCTTCATCAGTGGTCACAGGACGCTGCCCACAGGACGCTGTTGGCTGGATGTTTTTGGTTGGTGGACTATTCTCAGTCCAGCAGTGACACTGAGGTGTTTAAAAACTCCAGCAGCACTGCTGTGTCTGATCCACTCAGACCAGCGCAACACACACTAACACACCACCACCACGTCAGTGTTACTGCAGTGCTGAGAATGACCCACCACCCAAATAGTACCTGCTCTGTGGAGGTCCTGACCACTGAAGAACAGGGTAATAAAGTACACAGAGAAACAGATGGACTACAGTCTGTAATTGTAGAACTACAAAGCGCACCTATATGGTCAGTGGAGCTGATAAAATGGACAATGAGTGTAGAGGTGGGCAGTCGGTGTATAAATACAATGTTATTCTGAGGTGGTTCTGTGGTTCTGTTAGATGCCGCTGATTTCTTGTCTTTTATTGTGTCAGGGTCCTCAAGGAGGAGCTGGGGGAGGCTGTCCACCAGGAACCCCCATAATGCCCAGTCCAGCAGGTATTTACACAATTAACCGCCTTACCCCATAGGTAGTCAATTAGCCAAAACAAAGAATGGACAAAAGACAGGCTTGAATATGGCAGCTACAACTGATTTTAGCCGTGTGATGTACTTTCATCCATGTTTATAGATAAGTGTGTCATACAGAGTCAGAAACCATAATCATAAAGTCATATTTGGACACAATAAGGTGTGAAAAAAAGAGGTTTAGCCCAGAAGGGCTTCTTGTTTGCTCTGATTTAGGCCAGCAGTTAGCTTGGACACGAAACGGTAAACCTAAACTTCCATTAATTGTTAGCTACATTAGCCTCGTAGTAAACATGTCTTGGCTGACCGGCTTCATTTGGGGGGAAAATAAATTTGATTTTCAGTCGATGCATCAGTTTAACTCTGAAAAGCAGCCTGACTCATGCTTTCAACCAGCTTCTCTGAGCTTTCACTGATGATTTGCTGGTCCATTTTTTTGCTCCACAGATTCCACTAACTCTGGTGAAAACCTGTACACGATGATAAACTCAGTGCCGCAGGCAGGGAACAGATCCAGCGTGAGTTATTCAGCTCTATTACATTCACAGCTCCTGTAGAGGAGAACAGGGCTGGTTCTAACACTGATGTCTTGAATTCAGTTCAGTATTATGATCGTGTCCATCTGAGTGAAAATATATTCAAGTGTGCTTAATTAGTGCACACGTATGTGTTTTGGGCATCAAACAATGACCAGTGTATTTGGAGTAGTCCATGAGTTACGGATGAAAACATGAAAAAATTCAGTTGCCCCTGGTCTCCCCTAAGATAATAGCCAACATGGCTGTTTGACTCACTACAGCTTTCTTTCTTCTGTTTTTCTCTCTTTAGTTCCCAATGGGCCCAGATGGCCCCCTGGGAGGGATGGAGCCTCACCACATGAACGGCTCATTAGGTACAGCTTGGTTCAAATTGCATTAGAATCCCCAGATACCTCTAATACTGTGAAGCTCTGTGCACAAAACCATCAAAATTAGGTCCCTAATGATTTTTCCTCTGTTTCTTTATAGGCTCAGGTGACATGGATGGAATTCCCAAGGTAATTAGCTGTTATAAACATGCGGTACCGACTGTTCATTAAATTTACACACAGGTTTTTAAGAAGCATCTAAAAACGTATCTTTTTAACTTGGCATTTAATTAAAACGCCACATCTGGTGGTGTTTATCTTTTAATTTGATCTGTCATTTTCTTATATGGTTCTAAATTAATACTTATAATTTCTTGTATTACTGTTAAGCTTTATCACCTGTCTGTAAAGCACCTTGAGCTGCCATTAGCATGAAAAGTGCTATATTAATACAAATTATTATTATTATTATTATTATTCTTTTGCTGCTGAGCTTGATTTGTACTCTGTATTTTATTTATTATAGAATTCTCCGAATAACCTGAGCAGCCTGAGTAACCCGCCTGGTACTCCGAGGGACGACAGCGATTTAGGAGGGAACTTCCTGCACTCTTTCCAAAACGAGAATGTGAGTAAAGATGTACTGACAATAACAATCCCATATGGAAAAAAATATATGGACACACAGCGATCAGGAATAACATTATGACCACCTCCTTGTTTCTACGCTCATTGTCCATTTTATCAGCTCCACTTACTATATAGGTGCACTTTGTAGTTCTACAGTTACAGACTGTAGTCCATCTGTTTCTCTGCATAATACTTTGTTAGCCCCCTTTTACCCTGTTCTTCAGTGGTCAGGACCCCCATGGACCCTCACAGAGCAGGTACTATTTGGGTGGTGGATCATTCTCAGCACTGCAGTGACACTGACGTGGTGGTGGTGTGTTAGTGTGTGTTGCGCTGGTCTGAGTGGATCAGACACAGCAGTGCTGCTGGAGTTTTAAATCACTGTCCACTCACTGTCCACTCTATTAGACACTCCTACCTTGTCAGTCCACCTTGTAGATGTAAAGTCAGAGACGATAGCTCATCTGCTGCTGCGCAGTTTGTGTTGGTCATCCTCTAGTCCTTCATCAGTGTTCACAGAACGCTGCCCACAGGACGCTGTTGTCTGGATATTTTTGGTTGGTGGACTATTCTCAGTCCAGCAGCGACACTGAGGTGTTTAAAAACTCCAGCAGCACTGCTGTGTCTGATCCACTCAGACCAGCACAACACACACTAACTTTCTGTATATTTGAAATATATGTCAAATAAATTGCTGTCCATGCCGAAATACATTCCAAACACTAACATATATTTCAGAATATGTTGCCTTATTTAGCAAATATATTTTAAATTGTATGTTTTCGTTGGGAACTGTGCGATGAATGGATTTTTAAAAATATGTTTAGGGCCAAAAGCGTATCTCGAAGCTATTGTAAAGTGTCTGTGAGGTGGAGTGTAGAGGCATTAAACGCTTCAGACGTCTGGTTCCTATCACCACCACTGTGAACTATTCTGACTTCTTCAATGGAGCATTTTACACCAAACCACTCTGAATGACTCTGTTTACAACGGATTGAATTATGCAGAAAAAAACACTGGAATTCTGCTTGATAATTTCATTGTGTCATATGCATCTTTCTGTATAAGCAGATATAAGCAGAATCATTAACCCCTTAAAATCCCAGCCTTATTACATACTAAGGCTTATTATTCAGTAACTACAGTGACTTCAGTGCAAACCGGTTGAGCTGTTCTTAGATTATAGAAGTGTATAATAAAACTTCGGGCCCAGTTTAAGCGATTAATGACAAAATCGTGCAGAAATTTGGAAAAATCAGTGGAATCAGTAGAGTTGAATTGTGAGGCAATAAAAATGTGACTCAAGTCCGACTCACTGACTCAAGTCCATCTCTGCTAATTGGTCATGAATAAGCTTCCATTACTTGTTATCTACATTCAGACACATAGCTGACTGACTACATTTGGGCTAAGAAATTATAGGGCTCATTTCATCGTGAACTGGTTCTTCATATTGATGGAGAATGGGCTGAAGATGGTGCTACATAGAACCTTTTTGAAAAGGGTTCTATATAGCACCAAAAGGGTTCTTCTGTTGTTACGATGTCAAGCTTGTAACAATAGCAAAACCCTTTTTGGTGCTATCCATCAACATGAAGAACGATTTCATCATGCAAAGAACCATTTAAGCATGCGAAGGGCTCTTTGAGTGTCCATGGTTCTAAATAGAACCATTGCCTTTATTAAAGAACCCTATTTAAGAGTGTGGGTGGAGCTGGTAATGGTGCGAATCATTGACTGGTCAAACACAGTCATCAAAGAATCACCACACTGAGAACCACATAACAGATTTCTCAGCAACAACAATGAAGAAGCTTCAGCTTCTGATTTACCTTTAACTGCATTAGTTTTTATGTAAAGAGTCACTGACCACTGTGTGATGATTGTGTTTGACCAGTCAGTGATTTGCACCATTACCAGCTCCAACCACACAGTTGTATGTAAAGGTCTGAAGGAAGGAATGCAGCATAAATATGACCTTTCACTGAAGTATCACTTTAAAATGTCCTTATTTTACCTTTATTTTGTCTTCAGTATTCCCCAACGATGACCATGAGCGTGTGATCAGCGCTCCGTAGTGGCCCAGAACCACAGAGAGAGCCGAGAACATCAGAGAACCAGAGACGATTCTGACAGCAGGCTGACATACCAGTGAGAACAACTTATAAAAACTCCCGGATCTCAACATGGCCAACATATCGAACATATCGTCTTCAGGACAGGGTGGACTGGTCGATCTTTTGTACAGCAGTTTTTCTTTGTTTGCGTTTTTTTATGGATATTTTATTTGAAAGTCAGATGCGGTCGCTATGGTGCTGGACCTCTTCGAAAGCCATCATTGGACCAGCGCAGCGGACGAGACCAAAAAAAAAGAAATAAAAGAACTTTATAATTTAACCACAACATTCCAGTAGACTACCTGAGGATGCCTTCGTCTCTGTCCAGAACCTTCTTGGATTTTTTTCCGTCTGCATCCCTTTTACAGCTGCCTTCAGTCTGTGTCCTTTTTGGGCTCCCTTTTCTCTCTTTTACTCTCAGCACTCCTTAAGTCAGTCCGATTCAGCAGAGGAGCACCAGAGACTGTGTCTGAGAGACGGATGGACCACCGGGAAAGATGACCTCTCCCATTATGTGTGTTGTTAGTTTATCACTTCCATTTAAATGTAATAGACTTACAAGCTACTTTCTGTTTGTTTTTTGCAGTTAATGTGAACTGTTTTTAGATTTGTTCATGAATTTTATAGTCCTTTCTTATATCGTTATGTGTGCGATTGACCTGATAATTTATCTTATGCTCACCTGAATACAAATTTGGACACAATAAGGTGTAAAAAAAGAGGTTTGGCCGGGAAGAGCTTCACATTTCTCTGCTAGCAAATAAAACTGACTAAGTGCCGTCACAGTCCACAACCCTGTATTATTTAGTTTCATAGCTATTCTTGCAAAACACTGGAAAAATTCCATTAAAAACTCAAATTTGGTCAAAATATCTAATTATAACAGTCAGTTTTCAGTTTAAAATGCTGCTCCACTGAACTTTAATTTGTTGTAACTAATCAATACTAGGCGGGTTGGCAAATTGGCCACTGTGCATCTTCCATACAAGAAATGAAATGCTTGAAATTAATAAAGCACACAATGGCCCAGTCCCATTTCACCCCTCACCCCTACCACTCAGCCCTTACCCCTCTGTTTTGCACGTTCAGGTCTAGGGGTAGTTTGTCCCGATTCTTGTTGAGATAGAGGGGTAGGGCGGAGTGTTGGGGCTACATGGCCCTCCAAACAGGGGTTTTTCAGAGACTCCAAACAGAGAGTTATGAGAAAGAAAAGATGGAGCACAAGTGACCAAAGAAACACACAAATATGAGAATTTTCTCTGTTAAAAATTACGATAATCACTGTTTTATCTTAGTTTAAGGTTGTTTTAATGGTCCTTTTCTTCATAACAAGCATAGAAAATCACTAGTAGTTTTCTGATGTTTCTGATTTTCCGTTCCACCTTAAATGGTGCAGCAGTTACATTCTGGCACCTCAGGCGTGAAACCTGCTGCTCCATTTAAGGTGGAACGGGAGAATTTAAACAAGAAGCTGATGAATATCTGATTTCAGCCTCATATCACTGAAGAATTAGCGGTGGGTGATAATAAATAATTGCCCCCCTCTTTGAAGGCATATGATGCCCTAAATGTAACTAAAGCCCAGCAGTGAGGAGCTGAACTTTACCCTCCTCTGCTGTCACTGCAGACTGGCAGCGTCGCCTACAGAGCAGCGCCAGTAGCCGTTAATGAAGTAATGCTCTTTTTATTTGAGGGTCTCATTTCAGAGTGGAAGATTTCAGGCACTACCCGTTGTAACTCCGGGGGCAAGGCGACACTCGCAAACAAGGGGTAGGGGTCAAAATAAGAAATGGGTTTGGGCCTAAATATTGTCAAAAAGAGCCGAGTGCCACAGTTTCTCATTAGGTTGAATGAGATTTTTGCCAGTTCTGTAAACTGTTGTCCAACCTAGCAACAGTTGCTACGAAACAGTTCATGAACAGATCAACTAAACCTTAGTTTAGAGTTGTCATGTGTCAGGAACTCAAGGGCAAATGAGGTTCTAACCTCAATTTAAATGGACTCAGTCTTCTCTATTGGCGTTTTTCCACCGGGCAGTAAAGTACAGCATTAAGTCTGAATCCAGAACTATGCATTTAAAGAGATGGTTCTTCAAGGCTTCTTTAAGAAAGGCAATGGTGCTATTTAGAACCATGAGTCCTATATTGAACCATTTGCATGCTTACATGGTTCTTTGCAAGAAATGTTTCATCAGATTCATGGAGAATGTGTAGCATATGATTCTAGACGGCACCAATAAGGGTTCTTCTTTTGTTACAAGCTTGGCATCTTAACAAGAGAAGAACTCTTTTTGGTGCTATATAGAACAATATACAACATTCTCCATCAATCTGAAGAACCATTTAATCGTGAAATCGGTCTATATAGAACTCATGGTTCTAAACAGAACCATTGCCTATACTAAAGAACCCTTTTTAAGAGTGTATCTGTACCTGTTTGAGGACCCGTGTCTCCCACCACATATCAGTTTTCTCATGTGGTTCTACAGCCCCACACAGAGAGCAGCAATGAAGAAGCTTCAGCTTCTGATTTACCTTTAACTGCGTTTGATTTAAGGTAAAGTCACTGACCAGTTCTAGTTAGCTTGTGTTTTTTTCAGAAATAGTGGTCAGCTGACTCCAGTATGGTGATACTGTAATGATTTGCACCATTACTGGCTCCACCCACACAGTTGAATGTAAAAGTTTGAACATCTTCAGTCAAATGACTGAAAATCTACAGAACATAAGTGAAAATGAACACATTCTGTAGAGAGAACACTGAAATATGACGTTTTTAGCAAATTTAATGCACCATTTCTATTTGTTTGTTTAGAGAAAACACCTAAATATGGCATTTTTATCAAATTTAATGCACTATTTCTATTTGTTTAGAGAAAACACAAATATGGCATTTTTAGCAAATTTAATGCACCATTTCCATTTGTTTATTGAGAGAAAACACCTAAATATGGCATTTTTATCAAATTTAATGCACTATTTCTATTTGTTTAGAGAAAACACCTAAATATGGCATTTTTAGCTAATTTAATGCACCATTTCTATTTATTGAGAGAAAACACCTAAATAAGACATTTTTAGCTAATTTAATGTGCCATTTCTATTTGTTGAGTTTAAATGGAAAAAATTAAAAAACATACAATATGTGGTATAACTTTTTTTTACAGTGTTCTCTTTAGAGGATGTGTTGACTTTTCACTTAGACAAGCAACAAGACATCATTTGGCCAAGGGTGCCCGAACTTTTGCACACGACTGTATATTCCAGCTTGTCACCACAGCAAGGTGCAACCAAATTGAGCCGTATTGTACGGTACGGTTCACTCAGCAGTGATAATGATGATAAACTGCGATTTAGAACTGTACTGTATCATACTTTAATGCACTGCCTGGTGGAAAAACACCACCTGTTCATTTCTGGCATGTTAATCATGTACATGTCTGTGGATGAGAAGCAGCAGTAAGGTTGGGTTATGAGTGCAGTACAGTATGTTTGAAGGCTCAAAGAGACTCTGGAATCATTTTCAAATCAGAATCATCTTATTTTTATGCTGAAATGTGCATTGAATTGACTTGATTTACATAATTTACACAAACAAAATAATATTACATCAACACAGTTTTGTCTTTCAGTGTACTTTTGGAAATAATTCTGTTGATGTGTTGATGAATCGAGTAAATTGAGTGCAGCTCTCACGGTTCGCTTTCCTTTCTTTCTTATCTTAATTCACAGATTGAAATATTGTCTTCTCAGGAGATCGAATGCTTGTCTCTACTGTCGCCAGTAATCTGCTATCATGTGTTGATAAGTGCTTTCTTCCCGTCCTTACGTTCTTATCCGCGTCGAAGGAAGTGCACCAGACAGCGACAGACGATTAAATTTGATCTATTTTGATACGTTTGTTATCTCTACGAAGCTTTCGTCTTTCCTGAAGCTGTTCTAGAGCTACAACGCCTCTCTGGACCTATAGCATCTGCTGTATTATATTTTTCTGCCATAAGAATGTATATTGTTTACACTGTTCATCTGAAACAAAGCTAAGCAGAAACATAAGAATGACTAGTTACATTTTACTGATTAAATTATTTTACCATCCATATGAATCTGATAATGAATGCAACTCAGTTTTCCTGCTCCTCCTTAAAATAAACATATATGAACATGTGGTGTTTGTTCTGCTGTCTGTTATCTCTGCGTCCTTTAATTGAGATCACTGCAAAAAGGAAAAGACCGGATGAGGATTTTTTATTTTTATTGTTTCCCATTAAGGAAAGGTATAAGGTGTAAAATATTACATGATGATGTGAAAAGGCTGTTGTTGGTTTTCTGGATGTTCATACTGCTCCATGGAGGTAGAGAGCCAGGAATTTCTTGAAGGTGTCAGGCTGATATCCTGATAAACCAGCAGGAACCTGCAGGCCAACAGGAGAATATAGTTAGAGAACCCAAACCTAAAAGCAGGATAATCAACTGGTTAAGTGCATTTTAATACAGCTAAAGTTTTCACTCAATTTTGTTCCCACTTTTGATTGTTTTTATGTAAAAAAAAATAATAATTGAGTTATTAATTAAACATTAAAATGTGTAAAACAGTCATTTGGGATTCAGACACATCCACACTCGATAAATGATGCACTGTTTGGCGGCACGGTGGCGCAGTGGGTAGCGCTGTCGCCTCACAGCAAGAATGACCTGGGTTCGATTCCCGGCCCGGCGACCAGGGTCATTTCTGTGTGGAGTTTGCCTGTTCTCCCCGTGTCTGCGTGGGTTTCCTCCGGGTACTCCGGTTTCCTCCCACAGTCCAAAAACATGCAGTCAGGCTGATTGGACAAGCTGAATTGCCCCTAGGTGTCTGTGTGACTGTGTATGTCTGTCTGACTGCCCTGCGATGGACTGGCGACCTGTCCAGGGTGTATCCTGCCTTCCGCCCAATGACAGCTGGGATAGGCTCCAGCACCCCACCGCGACCCAGAAGGATAAGCGGTTTAGATGATGTATGTATGTGTGTATATTTGGCTGTAGAGGCTAGAATTTCTAAACTTTCATAGTTGGCACACTATTTAGGGAGTACGGAGCCGTTTGGGATTCAGTCTGGGTTTGACGCGACTTCTGACTTTTTAGACTTTTATACTGCAGTTTTACAGTGAATCAAACCGTAAGTGCTTTAATTCAAGCCTGTGATATTAATGATGGAGTTGTTTAGGCTGTTGTTTATCTTTCAGCCTGTTAGCTAGCTGACCAGCCTAGTTCTAGTTAAGAGTATAAGTTGTCAGCCCCTCAGGTTAAACAAAAAAACAGGTTCTTACTTCATCAGAACACTCGGTGGTCCATGCAAGCAGCATGAGAGTCAAAGATTATTCCATTAACAGCACAAAGGTGTTTTTCGTGCTGTGGCGTAGTGATAAAGAGGTCATAGGTGTGGGTATATTGTGGATTTTACAACGGCTTCGAACGCGGCTCAGCCAATCAGATTTTAGGACTGGAACTATCCATTTCATAAAAAGATTTTGTTCTTGTTTTTTGAAAACATACATATTTCCAAAAAACAGAAATATCACTAGGATAAAGCTTTAGAGCACCTACCTGCACAACCTTCTTCCTGATGAGAGGCCGGACCTTGGCGAATTCGTAGAGCGGCTGGTCGGCGTCCACCCACACCAGGTTCTTCACTCCACTGTCGGACTCCAGTGCCGTGGTGTTGAGCTGGAAAACCACAAACTGGAAGAGACGGCCGTTAGTGGCCACACTCTGCACTACGATGGGCTTCTCCAGGACCTTGGACTCATTCTGTGAGAAGAAAAAGGCTGGTTACACTCAAAACTCTCACTGCGCTGTTCAATGTGAAGGAATACGTCTACTAAAAATGCTAATAAGGCTAAAAGTGCATGAAATGCTGGGAGAAGATCAGAAAATCTTATTTACATAAAGCTGAACTGCTTGTTGTTCTATTATTGTTCAGTGTTGTTCTGCTGTACTACTTGTAATATAATGCAATTGCATAATTTATTACATGGTTAGACTCATAACAAATTACATTTACATTCAGAATCAACAGGTTTGAAGAATATTTCTGCAAAACAAGACTACACACAACTCTAAATACCTCCTCTCCTACTTACAAACACGCATTGTCCGATTTTAAGGTTTAGGATCTGTCCCTAATGACATACAGTACTGTTATTGCCAGAGACCACCCTTCATTTATTAATTTCCAGTCAAAACAGCCATTACGTTAAAGGTATTCATTTTTCAGGACATATTTCTGAGGAGATTAGATATAAAATAATCCACTTGCATAAGAAAGGAGAAAGTCAAAGGAAGATAAGTGAAAAAGCAGCAGTTTCTGCTACCAATCTGGAGAGAAAATGAGACTCCTAGCAACCACCTGGAACACCTGGTAGACACCAAAACTGCCCCCATCAGATAAACAGCACTTAAAGCTTTCATCTCTGAGAGAGAGGAGAAAATCAAGCTGCTTCAGATCTGAAAACATCCACAGGTGTTTCTGTCCATCCTTCCACTGTGAGAAGACGACTCAGCGCTGTGGGTCTGAAAGGATGTGTAGCTGTCAAGAAGAACCTCACTGAGAAAAGGAGACGGACACATCAAACAAAGAAGCTGAACGATGGACTGACCACCCCAGAGTCCAGACCTCAACACCACTGAATGTGTTTGATTACTTCTGAAAATGATCAACCAGCTTCTAAGACTGAACTTCGGAGGTGTGTCTGCAGATTCTTTGAGGAACTGAAAGTGAGTCTCCTGAAAAGAATGGAAGCTGGAATGAAGGTGAAGAGTGGACACACTGAACACTGCAATTATCTGGACAATTTAAAGCGGAAAAATGAAGAACTTGTACTTAATAGCTGTTTTGACTGGAGATTAAATAAATAAAGGGTGGTGTCTGTCTTTACTGCACTGTATATAATTAATAGATTCTTTTATCATAAACATTAATGGGTGAATGAACACTAAAGGAAGTGAAGTGCTGAAGGAAGTGAAGGTCTTACCCCATAAAGGGCTCGGGCGCGTGCTAGAGCGTTCCCAAAAGTGAACATGATCATCTTAGCCCGGAGCTGCTCGGGGTAGAGCTTAGGAGTGTTTCCAGCCTCCATCACATACAGAGTGTGAGCGTGAGGGTACGCATAGTCCTCTCTGAAACCTAAACAAACACCAGAAAACACAGACAGAACACTCTCAGATATAAAGGTAGTAAGCTGTCACTGGGGCAGTGTCCCCTCTTGTCACGGTGGTGGGACCCTCAAGGGTACGTCTCAGTACCTTTAGTCAGGGAACATATCTGTACCATAATCCACTGAAATGATATTCTCTAAGCTGTATTGACTCCACACACCCCGTCTCGTCTCCAGGCTTTTATTTTACTGGTCTGTTTTAAACATTCGGTTATGAAAAGGTACAAATACGAACTTTTCACCTGGAAAAACGTATTTAAGGTGCACAATCAGACCTTAAAACCACTGTTGTACCTTTGAGGGAACGTTTACATTGTTTGTACTGTGATGAATGAAAAATGTACCTGAACAGAACCTTTATCTCTGACAGTGTACTGATCACTCAACAATAATGACTCAGTTATCAATGAAAATAAGAATTTGACTTGTATGCAAATCCACTGCCACTGTACTGACTGTATAAGGCAGCAGAGTTGTCTTGAAGGACCAGCATTTGTCCTGCTCTACCACCTCTGGCTCTACTCACGAAGGAATCAGTAGCCACGTTTACATGCAGCCTGATAATCCGTTAATAATCCGACTAATAGCTCAATCGGAATAGAACACGTCCATGTAAACACCTCAATCGGAATAGTCTAGTCCGATTGAGGCCATTCGGAATACAATTTCTATCCGATTGAACGAGGTGGGTAAACTTCTAAATAATCCGTTAAATAGAAGAATAATAGCCATGTAAACGCCTGAAACCGATTACATTCCAATCGGAACGTGTAAGTATGTTCTGCGCATGTGCGTCGCGTCATGGCGAAAGTTTATACCGTTCAGCATGGCGGAGCAGAAACGGGTCTGCAGAGGAGGTGAAGTTTATGCTCTGAGCTTTAAAAGACGGCGGTGGGACGGACGTCCAGCTTATGTGTCTCAGAACACGACTTGAGTTTTAAAGCAATTAAAACACAAGCGCGCCAACTGGAAACTCATTTCACGCGGACTGGACCTCACGTGATGTTCGCTGTCATGGTAACGTTTACTCTAAACGCTACTCCACGCATGCGCGTCATTTTGCATCGGATTACTTGTAGTGAGCATGTAAACGAAGATTTTCCATCAAATCGTTGAATAGAGTGTGCATATAAACACCTCAGTCTGAATCTGTAATCGGATTGTATTCAATCGGATTGGCAAAAATCTTTGCATGTAAACACAGCCAGTGATTAACTGTGGAGTTAATGACTCGAAAAAGGAGAAAACAGACCGCTTTGCTATTAATAGATGCTCGTTTTGTCTTGACCGCACACTGAACTAAATAAATATTCATATCTATTAAACATCTAACCCTCATTTTAATCCTAACCCTGGTCCTAATCTTTAGCCCTAATCCTCAATAACTCCATAAGAGCCAGTTTGTGGGTGTAGGTTTTACTCAAGCAAATACAGGAAAACCGACCTGTGGCGTTCTTCTGGTCGTAGACGTGAGTGCACTGCAGGTCGATGGTGGGGGAGATGGGGTAGAAGGTCTCCAGGACGTGTTCAGCTGTTGACTGGACCTCCTCCTGTCCAGCCACCACAGGCAGCGGGGTCATGCTGTTTAAAAGTAGCCCGTTCTGACCGCGGATCTGAAACAAATCCTCACCTGAGGGAACGCAGACAAGAGTTACTTCACAATTCGGACTACTTAGTTTAATAATCGTGAGAGTTTATATCACTCCGATATTGTATTGTAATAATTAGTCATCAAACAATGTTGATTATGAGAAAATGACGGCAAACATTGTACAACCCCATTTCCAAAAAAAGTTGTGCAAAATGTAAATAAAAACAAAAGGCATTGAGGTGCAAATCATTTAAACCCTATGTTTAATTGAAAACAGTACAAAGACATTTTTGGACAGAGTTGAACAAAGTACTGAAAAATATATTTAGTTTAGAATTTCCCTGTAAATTTGATACACTTTTTCTAGGGGTACTGGGTTTCGATGTGGCAAGATCGGACAAATATTTATGGAATATTCTATTAATTGCGAGTAAAAAAGTTATAACAAGGAAGTGGCTGTCTCCTGATCGCCCTACACTGGACGACTGGATAAATCAGGTCAATGAAATATTTCTAATGGAAAAAATTACTTTTTCTATTAGACTGAATGACAAAGTTTGTAAAATTCTGGTTAAAATGGGTTAATTATATAAAGTCTGTAAGACCAGAGTTTGTGGAGATACAATGTGAGTGAGTACTCTCCCCCCCCCCTTTTCTTCTTACCTGACCCCTTTATTTTTGACCCCAAGGCATCTCCTCAGGTTTTAATGTATATAGTTATTTGTTTACTTTTACAGAATGTCAAAAAGAAGGGGAGAAAAAGATTTTTTAAAGAATAAACAAGATGGAGAGATATAGATCACAAGGTGTATGAAAGGATATATATAATTGGAAATGAACACGTGCATGGAATTATATGTTGTCATTGCCTGCTTTCGAATGTCTCCCCTGGAAAAATAGAATAAAAATAAAAAAGAAAATAGTACAAAGACAACATATCAAATGTTGAAACTGAGAAATTTTAATGTCTTTTAAAAAACATTTGCCCATTTTGAATTTGATGCCAACAACACGTTCCCAAAAAGTTGGGATGGGGGCAACAAAAGACTGGCAAAGTTGTGTAATGCTAAAAAAACACATGGTGGTTAATTGGCCACAGGTCAGTAACATGATTGGGTATAAAAAGAGCATCTCAGAGAGGCGGAGTCTTTCAGAAGTAAAGATGAGGAGGGTTCACCACTCTGTGAAAGACTGCACGAGCAAATAGTGCAACAATTCAAGAATAACGTTTCTCAATGAAAAATAGCAAAGAACTTTTGCTTTTCATCATCTACGATTAAACGATTCAGAGAATCTGGAGAAATCTCTGTATGAAAGGGACAAGGCAACAAACCAGTATTAGCCGGCTGTGATCTTTGGGCCCTCAGGCAGCACTGCATTAAAAACAGACATGATTCTGTAGTGGAAATCACTGCATGGGCTCAGAAACACTTCTGAAAACCACTGTCTGTGAAAACAGTTATGCAAATGCAAATTAAAGCTCTAAAATGCAAAGAAGAAACCAAATATAAACAGGATCCATTACTGAAAGAGTAAATGAGTAACTTGGCATCTGGCTTGACTGGAAACTTGATTTTAAAACTCACATCAGTAAACCTACAAACAAACTGAGGCAGCAGCTCAGATTCTTTTACAGACACAGACCTTGTTTCCCGAAGCGCAGCAGGAAAACCATTGTGGAGGCAACTTTCCTGCCTGTTCTTGATTACGTTGATGTGCTGTACAGAAACGCCTCAGCGAGCTCTCTGAAAGCTCTGGGCCCTCTTTATCACTCTGCTCTGAGAGTCATTACTGGAGATCCATACAGGACTCATCACTGCATGTTATATGAGAGAGTGGGATGGTCCTCTCTATCTGTAAGAGGGGAAACACACTGGCTACTGTTTATCTATAATGCTCTCATCGGTCAGATGCCAGAGTATATTCCCTCCAAGCTCACTGTAAATGATACACGTTACAAAACCCACTCAGATGATCTCATTTCACTTGAGGTTCCCCTGAGTTTTTACTGAGCTGGTAAAACTGCCTTTAGCCACAGTGCACCAGTGAGCTGGAACCAGGTACAAGGTACTCTAGGCAAGCCTGACTCGCTCGTTTCTCCGAGGGTTTTAAAAATGTTACTTTCGAATTATTTTAGTTCTGTTTGTAACTTTTTTTTAGTTTAATTTTTTTTTTTTCATTTTACGTACTGTTATTATTTATATATATTTTTACTCATATATTATTGTTTATTATTATTGTTTTATTGTTTCTTATAATTATTATATAATAGTTGTTTATTGTGTATTTCTTTAATATTTTTAAAAAATATTTTCTTTTATTACTTTATCTTTTATTTGGAATCTTTATTTTAATAATCCTAATTTGTTATAAGTTTTTTTTTTATAATTTGGGATGTGTTTTTTTTTTACTCTTTTCTTTTATTATTTTATCTTTACTTTGGAATTTTTCTTTAAACAATCCTAATTTGTTATGTGTTTTTTTTTACTCTTTTACTCGGCTATATTGTAAATGAGGGCCCCCCAAATGTAAACCTGAGCTTAAATAAAGAATGATGATATATATATATATATGTATATCATACACACACACACACACACACACACACACACACACACACACACATCGAAAAAGTAAGCTACATGGAGTTAAGAGATTAACATACACATTATAGTTCTGTTCATTTACTACTGAAGGTTTATGCACTGTTTAATTGACTGACTTATTATTGATTTTCTGACAGTTCGCATTCTTTATATTAGGCCTGTCAGTTGGTGATTAATCGCAGCATAATGACAAACAGTTATCAAATTTCTCAGAATTTGTATTCCTACTTATACGCAGCCCTAACTGTGTCTCATTCCTGTGTAGAACCAAAGCAAAGCAACGCCTTCTACATCACAACCCCTGTGGTCGACTCACCTCTGCTCCAGCTGGCTGCCAGGCTGTATTTATCTGCCAGCATCCTCCTGGCCAGGCCAGGATGAGTGACCTGCAGCCCTCCACACAGGTGCAGCAGGTTGTTCAGGAGAGACGGACTGCAGAGGAACAAGAAAAAAACTGGACGTGAAATCAAACATACTGTCTAAAACAGGAGGAGACAAACACACAGCTGTTCAAAAGGCTGGAATCAGTGTCTTCAGCAATTTCAACACTTTGTTTCAGATGAATGTTTAGCATCATAGTAAAGATTTGAATAGTGTATATCAAACATTTACACAAGTACAGTAGCTGTAATGCATAAAGAAAGAAAAAAAAAGAAAAAATGAATGAATTAATGAAATGTTAGACACGTCCAGAGCTGATGATTCTAAAACGACTAAAAAAGCTGTAAAACATCAAGAATTAAGTTCTAATAAGATTAATATCTTAATATAAAAGAATTTCCATGGTGAGTTTATAATAAAAGTAACATCTAAAATGAAGCTAAAATTAATTTAATATCCAGAATGAAGTTTTGATAGTATCGATACCCATAATGAAAATAAATAACAAAATAAGTATGTAATCAAATTAATAAAATAAATATCCAGAATGGAGTTCTGATATTGATATCCATAATGAAAAAATAATAAAATAAATATTTAATAATTAATCAAAAAAAACATCCAGAATGCAGTTCTAATAAAATTGATATGTAGAACAAAATAATAAAATTAATACGCAGAATGAATTTCTAGTACAATTTACATTTACAATGAAGTTATAAATAAGATATAATAAAATAAATATCCAGAATGAAGTGCTGATATTATTAACATCCATAATGAAAAAAATAATAAAATAAATATTCAAAATTTAATTAAAAAAACATCCAGAATGCAGTTCTAATAAAATTGATATGTAGAACAAAATAATAAAATAAATATCCAGAATTAATTTCTAGTATAATTTACATATAGAATGAAGTTATAAATAAGATATAATTAAATAAATATCCAGAATGAAGTTCTAGTAAAATTATTAACCAGAATTCCTCGTATTCCAAGAGTGATGATCAATCTTAAGGCTGAGAATCTGATAAAAAAACTACTATAAATAGAAATGATTTTTTTTATAGAAATAGAAATGATGATTTTTTTGAACAAAATGATTTTTGTTCTCTTTGCAATATAAAAACTGACAATACACATCAAAGAAGATATATAAACAAAATATATTTTCAGTCATAACTTAATAATTTAACCCCTTTATCTGCAACACAAATTTGGTATAATAAGGAAAGAGTGAAACAGAACTTGTTCTGACTGGTCTCAATCAGGGGTCAGCAACATGCGGCTCCTTTACTGCCCTGTTGTGGCTCCACAGCAGAATTAGATTTGTAGGTAAAAATAAAATAATCCTCCTTTACAGTAAAATAAAGCTCTGCTGATCGTTCAACACAGTTTAACAATAAATGGTCTTAAACTCTGGAGTTAATGTAGAACTGCTAATTCACCCTTTAACCCTGAAGATCAGCGCCATAGCAACACAGACAACAATCTCAACTAGCCAACAGCTAAAGAAAAGGCAAAGAAAAAGATTTAAGACGAACATCAATAATTTGGAGACGAATGGACTTATTTGCGTTTATAATCACTCCAGCTGGTTTCCTGATACGTTTAATCTGCAACGAGAAACTGACAAACACTGAAAAGTCACGAGGCTGAAGTCAGTTTCTCGTTCTCCAGCTTCTTGTTCAAATCTTCCCGTTCCACCTTAAATAAAGCAGCAGTTCTGGCACCTCAGGCACCATTTAAGGTGGAACGGGAAAAACAAGAAGCTGGCGAATGAGAAGCGACTACAGCTTCATAAAAAGTCGAACGTTGAGAGACATTTTACAAGAAACTGTTCCACTTTTGCAGAAAAGTTTCCTGCCAGAGATGCGAGAAAACTGAGCTAAGCTATAGCTGAGCTAAAGCTTAAAGCAGAGCAGAGTAAGTCTGTGTTTTTGCTTAAATTTTTTTGTCTATATTAGTACATCAGCACATACTGAGACATATTCACAGCCAAGATGGTGAAACGTTACTTCAATAAAATGGACATGAAATGTTGTGGCTCCCAAGGTGGTTAGATTTTTGATGAAACTTGACAAAATGGCTCTTCTTAACATTTGGGTTGCCGACCCCTGGACTAAATACAGTTTATAAGTTTTAAATATTATATAGTTATAAGCTGGATGATCATCTAACAGGTGAATTCTTTAGAATACAAAGAAATCCAAACAATTCAAGGAGACTTATTGTAACACATGTGGTGTCATATATTCATCATTTATTCAGAATCAAATTTGGATTTGTTTTTGTTGAATTGAAACTCTGTAGTCCAATGTGAGGAAAAGACAAAATTAAATCAATTAATAATAATAATAATAATAATAATAATAATAATAATATTTTTCAAGATATCCAAGGACACTGTACACAGAAGATAAAGTTTAAGATATAGATTTTAAAAAATAATAATTGATTAAAACTCAAATTTGTCAAATTTGTGCTCAGAGCTCAGAGAACATATGTATCAAAAACGTACATTTTCAGATACGGACATTAATGGGTTAATTAAGTTCTATAGGAAAATGTCAGCTGAATTCAGTTTAATGGCCTTTCTATATATTGCCTCATGCCGGACTACAGTGCGGAGAGAAACGGTACAGAGAGCAGAGCCAGGCAGATGAAAAGGATCCAAAGGGCAGCGTTTCGGAGGGGGCAGGAGGGGTATCAAAGCTTTGGCGAAGAGACTCCCATGAATAGCAGGCTGCCTGGGGGCAGAATTAATTAATAAAGGCTTTACGAAGCAGGCCCCCCGCTCGGCCGGCAGACTGCTCCGTGTTTAATGACCGTCATTAAATTCAACACCCTGTCAGAGCAGCGCCGGGCCAAATGCCACTCAGCATATCGAAGAGACTGAGCCAATTACAGAACAGAGGCCAGGAGAACCGAGGAGGATACTAAAGAACCGGTTCTACCCTGTGACAAAGGTGCCACAAGGTGCTCCTGGGTCGTACTGACTGGCAACAATTTCAAAGTCATTTTGTAATGTGTGTTCAGCCGGCTAATCCAGTGCAATGACGCTGCACAGTCTGGTTAATTTATCTCCTAGTAAAACGGCATTACTCTATTTTGGCCACAAGGTGGCGCACAGTAATTTAAAATAATACATTATGGGGGAAAATTATATGCAAAAGAAGCACATTTCGTTGTTTTGCAGCACATAACGTTATAATACTAGAAATAATGTACAATATGAGGATTTTTATGTAAATAAATAGCTGCAAACACATAAATAAATGCATAAAATCTATCCCCACACAGCCGGGTCCCAACAGTACAACACAGTTTATGTGTTCTGTCTTTGGCCCATTATAATGAGCAGCTTTATCATAGATAAAATGGGAAACTTCTGCAAAAATCCACCATTAAGATGTAAACAAGGTCATTCAGAGTGGTTTGATATAAAATTGTAGAGCTCACTGTAGAGAAACATACAGAACTGTTCACAGTGGTGGTGATAGGAACCAGCCGTCCACCTCTGAAAGCTCCCTCACAGAAAGTTACTACATGAAATGGTTATGATTATGCTGCCTGATGTTTGAGACACTGTTTTACGGCAGTTTCATGGCGACCCCTGGCTCCCATCACCACCACTGTAAAGAAATCTGAGTCAGTAAGTGTCTCTATAATTAACCCTTTCCAGAAAGCCATTTGTTGTGATTTGCGTGTGAATGCACAGCCCTTTTCAGCTCAACCCTGTGTGTCTGTAAGCCTTTCGAACAGCTGAACATTTACAGAGAAGGTTCCTCACCAAAACCTCTCCCTGGAAGGCCGGTTTTCCGTGGTGTCCCAGAAGCGGGCGTGTCTGATGGCGTTCTGCACTCGCTCATCCTGTTCGATGATCTGATTGGCTGAATCTTCCGCTAATGACACGATCTGCTCAGGTAAGCCTGCGACGAGTTTGGCTTTAGTGAGCCACAGAGCCTGTCTGACACCTGAACAGAGAGAGGAGCATTAGATTTACAGGGAAACACACACACACACGTATTCCTGTCTTTGTGGGGTGTTTCATGGTCTGTAAGCGTGTGTTTAAACGCTGTTCTAGTGTGTATTAATATACACCGATCAGGCGTAACATTATGACCACCTCCTTGTTTCTACACTCATTGTCCATTTTATCAGCTCCACTTACTATATAGGTGCACTTTGTAGTTCTACAGTTACAGACTGTAGTCCATCTGTTTCTCTGATACTTTGTTAGCCCCCTTTTACTCTGTTCTTCAGTGGTCAGGACCCCCATGGACCCTCACAGAGCAGGTACTATTTGGGTGGTGGATCATTCTCAGCACTGCAGTAACACTGACGTGGTGGTGGTGTGTTAGTGTGTGTTGCGCTGGTCTGAGTGGATCAGACACAGCAGTGCGGCTGGAGTTTTTAAACACTGTGTCCACTCACTGTCCACTCTATTAGACACTCCTACCTTGTCGGTCCACCTTGTAGATGTAAAGTCAGAGACGATAGCTCATCTGCTGCTGCACAGTTTGTGTTGGTCATCCTCTAGTCCTTCATCAGCGGTCACAGGACGCTGTTGGCTGGATGTTTTTGGTTGGTGGACTATTCTCAGTCCAGCAGTGACTCTGAGGTGTTTAAAAACTCCAGCAGCACTGCTGTGTCTGATCCACTCAGACCAGCACAACACACACTAACACACCACCACCACGTCAGTGTTACTGCAGTGCTGAGAATGATCCACCACCCAAATAGTACCTGCTCTGTGAGGGTCCATGGGGGTCCTGACCACTAAAGAACAGGGTAAAAGGGGGCTAACAAAGTATGCAGAGAAACAGATGGACTACAGTCTGTAACTGTAGAACTACAAAGTGCACCTATATAGTAAGTGGAGCTGATAAAATGGACAATGAGTGTAGAAACAAGGAGGTGGTCATAATGTTATGCCTGATCGCTGTACATGTGCTGTGTGTAAGCAGTTGCTCAGGACCCTTAAGGAGACCCAAGGACATAAGGACGTACTTTTAAAACAGTGTTTCCTTCCAAATTAGTGTTTATTCATTTATAACAATTATAGATGTAAAGAGGTTTAACAAAGAATAACAGCTGATTTATAACACACTGTCAAAAAGGTGTTTTAATTTCCACAACAGAAGGTGGAGTTAATGGTAACATAGCACTGATATTGTTTGCATGTGTAAAGTCCACTCCTAGCAGCGCACAGTTCAGCTTTAAAAAAAAAGAAGAAAACATGTTCAACAGAAATTTACACAGAAGCCTCCACAACTAAACAGAACATTTTTTTGAAATATTTAGTATGTCCACCTTTTGTCTTAAATCCTTTCAGGAGTCTCACTTTCAGTTCCTCAAAGAATCTGCAGACACACCTCCAAAGTTCAGTCTTAGAAACTGGTTGATCATTTTCAGAAGTAATCAAACACATTCAGTAGTGTTGAGGTCTGGACTCTGGGGTGGTCAGTCCATCCTTCAGCTTCTTTGTTTGATGTGTCCATCTCCTTTTCTCAGTGAGGTTCTTCTTGACAGCTACACATCCTTTCAGACCCATAGCGCTGAGTCGTCTTCTCACAGTGGAAGGATGGACAGAAACACCTGTGGATGTTTTCAGATCTGAAGCAGCTTGATTTTCTCCTCTCTCTCAAAGATGAAAGCTTTAAGTGCTGTTTATCTGATGGGGGCAGTTTTGGTGTCGACCAGGTCTTCCAGGTGGTTGTTAGGAGCCACATTTTCTCTGTAGTTTTTAATCATTTCTTAAGCTCTTGTTTTGGACGCTTGTCTATTTTTCTTATGTAAGTGGATTATCTTATATCTAATCTCCTCAGAAATATCTCCTTTAGAAATGTGTGAGGCAGCTGCACTGAGCTTGAGTGGTTTGTGTGAACATTATTGTATGTTTGAAGGGGAACATATTGTCAGTAAGTCCTTTGGAAACAGCTTTTGTGGGGAGGACACAGCTGTAACTGGTTGGTTTTAAGACTGGAAGAATGGAATAAGAGACTTAAAGTGACAGTAAGTGCATAAAAAACTATAGAATGGACAAAATAAATACTGATATACACTATGTAGCCAAAAGTAATTGGACACCTGGCCATCACACCTACATGAGCTTACTGAATATCTCATTCCAAAACCATGTGCATTAATATGAAGCTGCCCCTCTTTGTGGCTATAACTGCCCCCACTCTTCTGGGAAGCTTTCCACAAGATTTTGGAGTGTGTCTGTGGGGGTTTGTGCCCATTTAGTCAAAAGAGCATCTGTGAGGTCAGACACTGATGTAGGACAGAGTCTGGCTCACAATCAGTGTTCCAGTTCATCCCAAAGGTGTTCAGTGGGGTTGAGGTCAGGGCTCTGTGCAGGTCACTGGAGGTCCTCCACACCAAACTCATCTATCCATGTCTTTATGGAGCTCACTTTGTACACAGTGGCTCAGTCATGCTGGAACAGGAAAGGCTCTTCCGCAAAGTTAGGAGCATATTGTTGACTAAAACGTATTTGTGTGCTGTAGCATTAACATCACCCTTCACTGGAACTAAGGGGTCTGAAAAACAGCCCCAGCTCATTATCCCCCCTCCACCAAACTTTACTGTTGGCACTGTGCATTCGGTAGGTAGCGTTCTACACCCACCAAACCCAGATTCATCCATCAGGCTGCCAGATAGTGAAGCATGATTCATCACTCCAGAGAACATATTTCCACTGCTTCAGAGTTTCAGAGCCCAGCGGCAGCGTGCTTTACACCACTCCAGCCGACGCTTGGCATTTCACATAGTGAACATAAGCTTGTGTGCTGCTGCTCAGCCTGGCTACCACCTGTTCCAGCTCCTTCTCTCAGGCTGGCGTTTCAGCCAGATGAGGATCAGGACATCCAGGCTGCAGAGGAGCTTCTACCCACAAGCCATCACTCTCTTCAACAGTTAATTATTACACAAACAATTTTCCAGCTTCTAAACTGCACCTCTAAATATACTGGTATATAGTATCACACTCACCTCCATCCTCTGAAACTACCGGTAAACCAGTGTTTATTCTTGCATCTTACTTACCTGCCTTATTACCCCACTTATCTGCCTTATTACCCCACTTACCTGCCTTATTAACCCACTTTTCTGACTGTCACCTCACTGATCCCTTTCTCTGCCACTATACACCCTTTAACTGCTGCTGCACTCAGCACTTTAACTTTAGACCCATACTTTGCACAATGTAAAGGTTACAGGTTTGACTGTGTGTGTGTGTGTGTGTGTGTGTGTGTACAAGTGAGTGATGGTAGGAATGCATGTTTTATTTTACTTTATTTCATTGTATTTTATTTTATTTTATATTTATCTTATTTTATTCACTACATGTAAATGTCTGATATTGTGCACTGTGAGCTCCTGTAACCAAAACCAAATTCCTTGTATGTGTAAGCAAACCTGGCCAATAAAGCTTGATTCTGATTAAAACCATTTCATGAAGCTCCTGATGCACAGTTGTGCTGACGCTGCTCACAGAGACAGTCTGGGACTCTGTAGTGAGCGATGCAACCGAGAACAGGTGATTTTTTTATGTGATTTAGCCCTGTGAGACTCCATTGTCTACCGCTTCAGGGTTGAGATGCTGTTGCTCCAACACGCTTCCATTTCACAACATTAGCACTTACAGTTGACCAGGGCAGACCTAGCAGGGCGTAAATCTCATGAACTGATCTGTGGTAAAGCTGGCATCCTATGACAGTGCCAGTGCTTGTCTATGGAGATTGCATGGCTGTGATTTTATGATAGTAAACTCAAAATTTAGGAGGGGTGTCCACATAATTATGGTCATATAGGGTTGTTGACATCACATTTATTCACTAAAGCTTTAATTTTCTGACACTTGCAACTGAATAACTTGTACTGGCCGAGCTGGTCTGTGCTCTTACCCTCCAGTGCGTTGGTCGTCTGGGTGTAGATGTGGCAGGGTTTCTCTCTGTAGAGCTTCATCTGCTCAGGTTTGGGTGACCGGTTCTGTCTCGGGTCCTTCCAGCCCCGCTCCCACGGCGGCAGCTCCGGCTTAGCCAGCCCGGGCACATAGTGCATCCGCTCGGCGTAGGAGATCCGTTCCAGCCCGGCGATCTGCGGCACATCCCGGGGCTTCGGGCGCGGAGCTCGAGCACACAGAGCCGCACTGAGAGACAGACAGCGGGGCACGAGCACCCTCAGGTCCCTCACTACAGGACACACCGGGCTACTAACAGCTGCCTTGAGCATTTTACAGAGCGTCTGAGTGCAGCTTCGAAAAGCTAAACCTGTGGGGTTTTAAGGAGTAAACAGAATAAACAGTCCGCTTTGACATTTATTGTCATTTTCCTTCAGGAGGCAGCCATGTTCCTCAGACACGTGGGGTCGTTCTTCCTCTCAGAGTGACGCTACAGAAACAGCGGGGCCTTTACTGTCATCTGCTGGACAGCAGGGACAGCGGCGGTGGGTAGAGGAGCCTAAACCCATAAACATTTAAAGTTATTTGCCATAACATGAATGGCTCCTCCTGTTTTTCACACTCATCCATTTTATCATCTTGTCCATCTTAAATAGATGATTATTTAAGGGTTCTTTAGTAAAAAAAAAAACAATGGTTCTATATGGAGGTGGGTAATCCAGGTCCGAAAAGTAAAAACCCTCCCCAGGATTTTGTTCCAACTGCTCGACTGCTCTGATTTGCTCAAGCGAGCAGCGATGGTGTTCGGGCAGTTGGAACAAAATCCTGGAGAGGCTTTTTATTTTTTGGACCTGGATTACCCACCTCTAGTTCTATATAGACCCAGAAACAGCCGTGTGTCAGTTAGACACACAGCAGTGTTTAATAACGCGTATATAAGCGTTTCTTCAGGCGATTCACACCGCTAGCATAAATGCTAATTACGTTAGCATCGCTAGCGCCAAGCTAACCGTACGTAAAGCAGTTCATAGCAGCTGTAGCTGAAACACAGTCAGCTGGCGACTGAATAGATATTCACATAAAACTTAAGTTACATTACATCTGATCCCTTTTAGTAAAGATTTGAAATTGAAGTCTGTAACTGAATATTTTCGAAGGGGCCTGGCTGGTTAGCATGTTAGCAGGTCAGTCTACTCCAGTGTTGTGGTTCATAGAATCAGCAAATAAAGTGGCACGCTTGTGAAACACAGCGTGTTTAATAGGGTTATTACGGTAAATATAGCGTGTAATTATTTTGTAAGTAGTTAGTGGTAAACATTACTTAAATTAATTTACTTACACTACATTAATTGTCCATTTTATCAGCTCTGCTTACCAAATACACTCTTAAAAAGATGGTTATTTAAGGGTTCTTTGGTAAAAACAATGATTCTATACAGAACCATGAACACTCAAGGAGCCCTTTGCATGATCAAAGGATTATTTGCATCATTAAAGTGTTCTTCAGACTGACGGAGAACGTGTTGTAGATGGTTCTACATAGAATCTTTTTGAAAATATTTCTATATAGCACCAAAAAGTGTTCTTTTATTGTAACAAGTTTGACACTGTAAATCGTATCAGAAGAACCCTTTTTGGTGCTATATGGAAACATTTTTAAAGATATTCAATATAGAACCATGTACAACATGTTCTCCATCAACCTGCAGAACCACTTCACCATGCAAGGAACCTTTTAAGCATGCCAAGGGCTCTTTGAGTGTTCATGATTCTATATTGAACCATGTTCTTTATTGTAGAACCCTTGAACGACCATGATTTTTAAGTGTGTACTTGACTTTAGGTATGAAAAAACCACCAACAACAAAATAGCATTTATAAATAATAAAGTACATGAGAAAGATGGTGTCGTTTTTATGTACCAGACTTTATGAATAAAAAATTCCCAACAATAAAACAACATGAATAAAAAGTCTAGTCGTAATTCCAAAATGAATGGGTTGATATGGAGCATTTGAGCAAAATCATAGTTTGTAAATGCTTAAACATTATTTATGTAAAAGAATACAATCATTTCCTGAACACAGAACAGCATAAAACATTTTAACACTGCTGTCATATTTTTAAGAGCTTTTAAACTCTTATAGTTATATGACGTCAGTGAGCGCGAACAGCCAATGAGCTTCTCCGCTCGCCAATCAATCAGCGCTCACTAGCAGTAAAGCCCGCCTTCTGTTGCCCAAAACCCGTTTGCTGTAGAATATAGGACAAATATAGGCAGAGCCGGTTTGTGAGGAGTCTGGCTTCTTCCTATTTCCCCCGTTATATCAAAAACAGGACTGCTAAACAGCAGAGGGCGCCCGCGAGCGAGTACTCAATGAATAGGAGTAAATGGAGCTCAAAGGCTAAAAACGACAAGGTAAAATAGTTTCTAATCACTCGCCCAGAACTTTCCTTTAATTTTAGAAAGTAGAAGGATGTATTTTACTAAAAAACAAAGAAATCTCACCTAAATATTTCCTTTTTTCTACAGCAAACAGGTTTAGGGCAGCAGAAGGCGGGCATTACTGCTAGAGCGTGATGATTGATTGGCGAGCAGAGCAGCTCATTGGCTGTTCGTGCTCACTGACATCATGGACGTACATGAGGCGCTGTTATAAACTCCTATAACTCGAGTTTAAAAGCTCTTAAAAATATAACAGCGGCGTTCAAATGTTTTATAATATTCAGTGTTCAGGAAATGATTGTATTCTTTTACAATAAAAATGTTTAAGCATTTATAAACTACTATTTTGCTCAAATGCTCCAAATCAACCCATTCATTTTGGACTTGCTCGGGAGCGCCCTCTAGCGTTTGAGAAACCCAGAAGACATTAGAGTGGTGATTCTCCTCTCTACAAGTTCTCTGATATAGGTACGTTTTCTTTGCTTTTTAGTGAAATACATCCTACTACTTTCTAAAATTAAAGGAGAGTTCTGGGCGAGTGATTAGAAACTATTTTAACTTGTTTTTAGCCGTTGAGCTCCACTTACTCCCATTCATTGAGGACTCGCTCGCGGGCGCCCTCTGCTGTTTAGCAGTCCTGTTTTTGATATAACGGGGGAAATAGGAAGCGGCCAGACTCCTCATAAACCAGCTCTGACCCGTTCCCTTTGTTATAAGATGACGCAATCTTGTAACACAATCCTTATTGTCCGCCTAAGGCTAGCTGGGCTCCCCCCTCACACAGAGAATTTGTAGATAAATAAACCCGGCTCTGCAGCAACTACTGGAGGCCGGGGCGAGTTTGCTGAGTCCGGCCATGTCGAGAAGGCGCTGTGTTCTCCGCTGTGAGGGGAAATCTCCGCTGTACGCTTTGCCGAAGGCAGAACCACAAAGAAGCCAGTGGCTGAGGTTCGTTTTCCCCTCGGTTCCCTCCACCGTCCCGAACGTCGTGCTGTGCGCCCGGCACTTCACGGAGGACAGCTTCAGGAACCGAGCGCAGTTCAACGCCGGGTTCTCGCAGCTCTTACTCCTGAAAGACGGGGCGCTTCCAACTCTGTGTGGCCCAGCGGGAGATTCAAGGTCCCAACCTGTAAGTGAGCATTACTGTTTGCGGATTTGTGACGTTTATAACAGACAAGGCAGCGCTGAAGTGTGGAGCCGTTGGCTGTAGCTGAGCCGCAGAGCCAGTGCTCATCTGCAGGCTTCCCGGCTGACTGACGAGGCTAACTCGCCAACTAATCTCTTATTTGCTCCGTAGTTCTGTATGAAATGAATCAGTACACAGTAAATACGAGCTCGGGCACTGACTCGGTCCCTAGAGGGGGGGACACTGAGACACTGACCGCTCAATTCCGTGGTAACACGGATGGTAAAGCAGCAAAACAGTACGCAACGACAAACTAACTTCACCACCACCAAGTGGACTGGAAAGCTCGTTAGCTGCACTGTGATTAGCCATACTGTCATTTTTAGGATGGAATATTTCAGCCATTTCTTGAACTTTCTCATTTTGTTGACATTGAGACCCAGATTCAGATGTATGTCAGTCAAACACAGCAGTGTTTACTAACATTAAGCCTTTCTTCAGGCGATTCACACCGCTAGCATAAATGCTAATTACGTTAGCATCGCAAGCGCCAAGCTAACCGTACGTAAATAAGTTCATAGCGACTGTAGCTAAAACACAGTCAGCTGGCGACTGAATAGATATTCACATAAAACTTAAGTTACATTACATCTGATCCCTTTTAGTAAAGATTTGAAATTAAAGTCTGTAACTGAATATTTTCGAAGGGGCCTGGCTGGTTAGCACGTTAGCAGGTCAGTCTACTCCAGTGTTGTGGTTCATAGAATCTGCAAATAAAGTGCAACGCTTGTGAAACACGGTGCGTTTAATAGGGTTATTACGGTAAATATAGCGTGTAATTATTTTGTAAGTAGTTAGTGGTAAACATTACTTAAATTGATTTACTTACACTACATTAATTGTCCATTTTAGCTCTGCTTACCAAATACACTCTTAAAAAGATGGTTATTTAAGGTTTCTTTAGTAAAAACAATGATTCTATACAGAACCATGAACACTCAAGGAGCCCTTTGCATGATCAGAGGATTCTTTGCATCATAAAAGTGTTCTTCAGACTGACGGAGAACGTGTTGTAGATGGTTCTACATAGAATCTTTTTGAAAATATTTCTATATAGCACCAAAAAGTGTTCTTCTATTGTGACAAGTTTGATACCGTAAATCGTATCAGAAGAACCCTTTTTGGTGCTATATAGAAACATTTTCAAAGAGATTCTGTATAGAACCGTATACAACACGTTCTCCATCAACCTGCAGAACCAGTTCACCATGCAAAGAACCTTTAAAGCATGCCAAGGGCTCTTTGAGTGTTCATGATTCTATATTGAACCATCAGTGTTGTGGTTCATAGAATCAGCAAATAAAGTGCAATGCTTGTGAAACAGCGTGTTTAATAGGGTTATTACGGTAAATATAGCGTGTGATTATTTTGTAAGTAGTTAGTGGCAAACATTACTTAAAGGCTCCTAGGTTAAAGTAAATCATGAGCAAAATTTGGTAAGAGAAATGCACATTTCATACTTTTTCCAGGTGAAGAGGCATGTGAGAGAACACAGCTTTCAAAAGTGCAAAACTGTTTTTAATTGATGCAATTATTCATAACAATTATAAGACACGTCATTGTAATATACATCACTATTACACTAAAAAGGTAAAACAACTGCTGTAAAATAATCTAATTCTCCAATTTCAAACTTTCTGAAAGTCAAGGTGCAGGCGTGACGCTGTTTCCTGTCAGGGAGTGTGGTCAGAGAATACACCTGATTTCCTCTTTATTCCTTGCATTCTCTAGCACATCACACATGGACGGCCAACTGATACTAGCCCCATCCCTGTGGATGACAGGGCCGAGACTGCAGCCTGCAGACCCCGTCAACAGAAACGGTATGTTTTTATTGCTTCGCCTCTTCTAGAATGAATTTAGCATCAATAGTCTGAGCAAAGAACAGTTCCTTTGGCTGACAAACATGTACAGGAGAGAGTACAAACATGGAATAAAACAGGTTACGGCACTACCATTCCAAGGTTTTATGAGCACTTGCTTGTTTTTATTCATTTGTATTATTCTATATATAATAAGACTGAAGTCTTGTAGATTTATATGTAAGTTTAAATCTTACAAACTGGACACCAAATGTTTTTTTGAGATGTTTTGTTCAGTATTTCATAGATTTTTAGATACTGTAACTGTATACTGTAAATTATGTACCTTAACAATGTATTTGCAGTCATTTTTTTCTCAAGGTATCTACCTGTTACCCTGATTACCACTTTTCTAATATGAGGCGTTCTGGATTATTGTTATTTGATCTTCATTTTCAGTGTTCTACATCTTATTTAGTCAGTCAGAATCTTCTAGGGCTCCGTTCATCATTAAGAGCTACGTTCATTACAAGCCTCATTCCTCAAATCCGATTTTTTGCTCAAATCCGATCTCTCTGACACTCGTTTAGGTAAGTGACTCAAATCTGTCATTAATGTGACGAACTGGTGTCCTGAAATGACCCTCATGAGCTCATCCTACTCAGTAACGTCACGTGAATGAATCACGTTCATCATCAGCACAAACTAACGAGCAGAACGAGCTTCACTGAGAAGATAATTAACTCTGATCAGCTCTCAGCTTCATTATTAGAGCGAGACGAAGGAGAAAAAGGTGAGATGAGCTGCTTTTCCACCGTTTACAGGCTTTAACTTCTGTTCGGTGCTGCTGCCATGGTAACGCTGAATGATGGCGCACGCACAGTGGAAAAAAGCACATGAATTCTGATCTGAGCATCACATTAAGGTCACATGGCCACTAATCGGATACGTATCTGATCTAGGACCACATATGAAAGTGTCTCAGGTCGGATTTGAAGAGATCAGATTTGTGTGTCCACACAGCACTGAAAACATCAGATCTGAGTCAGATTAGGGCAGAAAATCGGATTTGTGCCACTTAAACCTGGTAATGTGAACGTAGCCTTATATAGACATCTAACATTTTTACTGCTTCCCACTAATTAGTTGAAAGCAAGTATTGGCATACTGATTTAATTTTATACATTTATCTGCATCCAGATTTTTTATATAGATTTATACATAAATTATAAACATATAATACAAATTGTATTAGGTTTTGTATTATTCAAAACAGTGACTGCAAAACTTTGGGTGGTAGTTTTGGTGGTAGTTTACTAAAATCTCTAATTTTCAGCAAGTTTTAATAATGTAATCAAAACAAAATCTGTGATAATTAGAACTGAATGGGTGATATTTTGCATTTCCAGGCATTGTCCGGCCCCAGTTCCCCTTGGGGACGTGAATCACAACAAAGACACCATGGTGTGGCTATCCAATGCTACAGCTGCTGGTGAAGCTCAAGAGAAAACTGAAGAATCAAAAGGTGTGTTTACTTCCCTACAGCTTTTGCACATCAGCCAAGTATCAGCATCTTCAGGTCAGGGAATCTTTGTGAGTCACTAGCCACATTTATATGCAGCCTGATGATCCATTAATAATACAACTAACAGCTCGATCGGAACAGAATACGTCCATGTAAACACCTCAGTCGGAATAGACTAGTCTGATTGAGGCCATTCGGAACATAGTTTCTATCCGATTGATCGAGGTGTGTAATCCAGTAAATAATCCGTTAAATAGAAGAATAATATCCGTGTAAATGTCTGTATCTGATTACATTCCTTATCAGAAAGTTTAAGTTCGTTCTGATCATGTTCGTCACGTCATAGTGAAAGTTTATACCGTTCAACATGGTGGAGCAGAAACTGGTCTGCAGAGGAGACGAAGTTTCCGTTCTGATCTTTAAAAGACGGCGGTGGGACGGACGTCCATCTTATGTGTCTCAGAACACGACGTCTTCCTCTCGGCCTTCTTTAATAAGGACATGTGAAGGACGTTTTCCTGAGTCTGACATCATTTTAAAGTAATTAAAAACACAAGCACTGCTCACTGCTGCTCATCTCACTCTGACTGGACTCACGTGATGCTCGTTGTCATAGTAACGCCTACACTAAGTGGTTCTCTACGCATGCATGTCATTTTGAATCTGATTACTTGTAGTGAGCATGTAAACAGAGATTTTCCATCAGATTGTTGAGTAGAGTGAGCATAAACACCTCATTCTTAATCTATAATCGGAATGTATTTAATCGCATTTGCTTAAAGCAGAACTATTATTAATAGTTTCATATCCAACATAACATTTAAAGCTGGAACAAAATGGTTGATTCAGTTTACTTTGTGTAGACTGTATATAGGCAGCAGATCTGTCCGTGTCAACAGAGCCTGTTTTCTTTGCAGCAGGCCTTCTCTAAACAACAGTGTGTTTCTCTAAACAAAACTTGTAAAATCATATATGGTTTGAAAATTTAAAAACGGGGTCAAAGGGTTAAGGGTTCTAGATAGGAAGGTTAGGTACCTGACTAACTTGTCCGCCTCATCTGAAGAGTCATATGTCATTTGAGTGATCTATTTTCTCCATTGTAATGATGATTAAACGGCTGCAGTAAGCTATTAGGCCTTCTAGCAGTCATATTAGCTGTCTGCCCTCTTTCTGTGTTCACCAATAAAAAACAATACTGAAAAAGATATTTTAACGTAAGTTAACATACTGAGGCTTTTCTAAGTAATGGAGATGCATGTTTTTTTATGTATAATATTTCAAACAGCCGGTTCTCAAAAATCCACCACAAAGCAGTTAGTCCAACCTTCGAGGTATGTCATGAGAAGGGGGTTTTCCTAGTCTTTGAACTGGAAACTCTCACTCTGGAGACTATTTCAGCACCATTATATAATGAAGCAATAAGCCACGAGAGGCTGTGGGTTACTGCGATCAGTGCGTCACTGCCTTGAGTGGCTTATTGCTTTTATAAAACGACGGCCAACATAAAATATATTAAAATACACAATATTTTAGATAATTATTTAAGTTATTATTAATAATAACCGACATAAGCATTCCGCCAAGAAATGTACTTTCTTTACAGTACAGTATGGTATCATTGCTAAGCAACCATTGACCGCTGAATGAGGAGAAGAACGTTTGGTCGCCAATCACTGTAAACTACAGACATTTCATGATTTTTATAACTTTTATCGTATAACAGTGAACATATGATAACACATCACTGTTTAATACAAATACTTTCAGTTTATAAGAACTTTTTGGTCACTAAATTACCACCGTGAGTCGTCTGCCAGTCTGACGGCGCCACTTTTCTCACGCTGGGGCTGAATCTCAAATGGCTCCCTGCTCCCTACATAGTGCACTACGTAGGAATTTAAATACTGACTCCCGCAGCCCAACAGAGCCAAATATCGCTAAAAATGGTTATTTGGGATTCATCCACATTCACACTCGACAATAAGTGCACTATTTGACAGCAGAAGCTAGAATTTCTAAACTTAATGTTACACAGCAGACTATTTAGCTAGGGAGTACAGAGCCGTTTGGGATTCAGCCTGGGTTTGACGCGACTTCTGACTGAAATGGACATTTGAAGCATGTGAGACATTCAGGTGACATTCTTTAGACTTTTATACTGCTGTATTACAGTTAATCTTACCGTAAGTACTTTAATTCAAGCCGTGATATTGATATTGGAGTTGTTTAGGCTGTTGGCTCTTTTAGCCTGTTAGCTATCTGACCAGCCGAGTTCTAGATAAGAAAATAAGTTGTCAGCCCCTCAGTTTAAACAAAAACGGGTTCTTACTTCATCAATACACTCAGTGCTCCGTGCGATCACCGTCAGAGTCAAAGATTAATCCATTAACAGTAGAAGGGTTTTTTCGTGTTGTGGCGCAGTGATACAGAGTTCAGTCGCTGTGAGGCGGTCACAGCCGTGGTATATCGTGGATTTTACAATGGCTTTGAACGCAGCTCAGCCAGTCAGATTTCAGGACCGGAACTATCCGTTTTAAAATGCGAAATATTCCATATTTGCAGTAAGTTATACATTTTTTCTTTTTTGTTTTGTTTTCCAGGACAGGCACGTATGCAGCAAACACACGGTGAGACAAGCATGATGACTGAAAACACCCAAGGAGGCGCGAGAACAACAGTGAGAAAGCAGCAGGAAGAGACTGAAGCCCTTAAAAAGCAAAAACAGCAGGAGTGTTTAACACCTAACAGAAGCTTATTGAACTGTGGGCGTTTGACACCTGAAGCAGTTCACTACAGCACTGTTCCCAAGTACTTTGAGTACTGCACAGGATTTTCCTACGACCAGTACAACAACCTCTGCGCCTTTTTTGGACTTCCCAGCAGCGCCCACGCCCCACAGTCTGAGGTGCCGCTTACGTTTCTGAGGTTGACTAAGTCAGTCAAAAGCGTGCCACTGCGTGTGCAGTTCTTACTCGTTCTTATGAAACTAAGGAACAACTTCGATGTAAAAGATTTGGCGTTCAGATTTCAGATCGATCCTCCAAGCGTGAGCATCATTTTCCGCTCGTGGATCCCCTACTTATATAACAAGTTAGGTCAGATACCAATGTGGCCTCACAGAGACGTAATCGCTTCCCAGATGCCCACAGACTACAAAAAGGACTATCCGACAACGTTTGCGATCTTGGATTGCACCGAGATTAAAAGTTATTCCGAGCACAAGTCGGCGGGTAAGTGCCTGATAGCTTGCGACCCCCGCGGGTCCGTGATGTTTGTGTCAAATCTGTTCGCTGGGTCTGTGTCCGACAGGGAAGTGTTCAATCAGTGTGGAATTACAACACAGCTTAAAAGTCTCGTCATGTGTGGCTACCTTCATAAAGGGGACGCACTGATGGCACAGAAAGGCTTCCTCCTCGACAACGACGTCAAGAAACTAGGGCTCAAACTTGACGTGTCTCCCACTGCAAAATCTAGGGCACAGACTTGTAGCATGGGCACACAGACCACCAAGACAGCGGCCAAGCACAGGGTGCTCGTCGATAGAGCAATAGGCAAAATCAAGAAGTTCAAGATTGTGTCAAACAGGGTTTCACACACAGGACTGAAGAACATCAATGAGATCTGGTTTGTGGTAAGCATGCTGTCCAACTTTCAGCCCCACATCATTTAAAAATTGATGACTTGTGCTGACCTGGTAGCTTGAAGCACTTTCTAATGGGGATCCCTCTCGCCATACTGATGGCTACAAAGGAGCCTTATTGAGTTTCTGAGGCGTGCCTCAGGAAGGCCATGTCCAGGGCCGATTCTGAATGTTTGAGGGCCATAAGCGACCTCAAAGTCAAAGAGAAAGAACAGGAGTTTCCAAAACTGGAGAATTATCGTAGGACAGAGAAAATACTTTCATCTTCTAAAGACCTCAACACTGTGGGTCTGAAAGGATGTGTAGCTGTCAAGACAAAGAGGAAATGGACAAAAAGAAAAGCATTTGCTCAATCAAACTGGACATCTGAGGTGCAGGGTCAGGTCTGAAGGACTGATGAAATGGCTAAATTTGTAACGAGATTACTTGAATCCTGCAAAGAACATGCTAAACCAACTTCTAAGACTGAACTTTGGATGTGCAGAGAAATATCTTCTAGAAGGCAAAGAGTGGACACACTAAATACAGAACAACAGTGGGTTTAAGGTCTGATTGTGAACCTTAAATAAGTTTCTCCAGGTGAAAAGTTCGTATTTGTACCTTTTCATAACCGAATGTTTTAAAACAGAACGCTAAAATAAAAGCCTGGAGACGAGACGGGGTGTGTGGAGTCAATATGACTTAAAATACGATTTCAGTGGATTATGGTTCAGTTATGTTACTGTAAAGGTACTGAGATGCACCCTTGAGGGTCCCACCTCAGTGACAAGAGGGGTCCTGCCCCAGTGACAGTTTACTACCTTTATTTCTGAGCATGTAGTGATAAAAGAAATTATATTAGGTGGTTGAGGCTTTATTGTAATTTTCTGTTACTTATGTTTTTTACGTTTTCTGTTTTTATTATTATTATTATTATTATTATTATTATTATACTGACACTGAAAAATTAGTCATTTGTACTTAATGGCCGTTTCGCCTGGAAATTAAATAAATAGTGGCCTCTAATTTTGCACAGTACTGTATATCTGTCGCTGATGTCCCTGTAAGATAGTTAGTGCATTCAATGCACTCAATAAACTAATCGTAATCTGATTTCTTCTGTTTATCTGATTATTTGAATGGTCATGTAATCAGCACACTCCGATTTCTTAGATCGGAGTAAGGTCTAGAAATCCGATAAAGAGAGCTGGATTTTAGCTCAGTAATCAGATTTCTCAGTGTGAACTCTTACTCTGATTTCTTTCGGATGTCTCAGTCTGTGCATGTGCGAAAACAAACTGCAGTGCCAGGACTAAGTGACCAGCGTCACCGCAAGACGCAGCAAAACACTTTTGGAGCGACACTGAAACCAAAACCATGCTTGACGAAATGAAGGATTTAAATATTCTTCATCTTCTAGATGACATACGTTCATATTTTCACGTGAAGCGGCGCCTTTTATTTTTTTTATTAAAAACAAAAAAGTTTGTTTTTATATTACAATTACATCACGTCTTCTTCTGTGAGTTTATTGGCTGGTTGCAAAGCAGAAATCTGATTACTGTCTGACTCATGTAGACCCGGAGTTTCCCCATTATCTGATTACTCAAGTGCATGTAAACGCGTTGATCTGATTACTGACAAAATCTGATTTTCTGCAGTTATCGGATTATTACGTGCATGTGAACTCACTCATTGTCTTATTGTCCTGGGTGTGTTTTGTGTTCATATTTGTGGACAGTTCAGATATTTTGTGTTTGAACCAAAACCAAAAACCATGAATGCAGCATCAGTGGTGATGTTCTTGTTCGTGGTCCTACATCTGTTTCCTTACCTCATCGCTGTCTGTTAATAAAAGGCAGTACATGCTGGTATAACCATCATTAACATTTCATGCTGGCTTTCTAAACAGTGTCATGACAAGCCGCCGGTGTGCATTCGATAGTGTTCATTAATATGTAGAGGAGAAGGTGCGGGTGGCCCTCGGGTCAGATTCCACATCCAGGCCTGGACGGCGGCTGTGGCGTTGTGTTGCACTCGCAAGCTTTCATTCAGGAGTTTGACACGATTCCTGTTCTTTCTCACTCGCTTGTCCGCGGCCGACTGTCACAGCTGTCACAGTATGGATTTAAGGATCGCCTTCAGCTGCCTTCAGTTGCTGTGTGTTTTTGGAAAGGCCATTTCCAAGAAAGGTAAGACTGTTAGAGAGATGTAAAGGAAAGGCTTTCTTAATTAAAACTGCTGTATAAGCTGTTGCTCAGGGCCCCCGAGCCACCAGGGGACCCTCTGAGCACATAGCGCTTATTTACATCGATCAGGCATAACATTATGACCACCTCCTTGTTTCTACGCTCATTGTCCATTTTATCAGCTCCACTTACTGTATAGGTGCACTTTGTAGTTCTACAGTTACAGACTGTAGTCCATCTGTTTCTCTGATACTTTGTTAGCCCCCTTTTACCCTGTTCTTCAGTGGTCAGGACCCCCATGGACCCTCACAGAGCAGGTAGTATTTGGGTGGTGGATCATTCTGAGCACTGCAGTAACACTGACGTGGTGGTGGTGTGTTAGTGTGTGTTGTGCTGGTCTGAGTGGATCAGACACAGCAGTGCTGCTGGAGTTTTTAAACACTGTCCACTCACTGTCCACTCTATTAGACACTCCTACCTTGTCGGTCCATCTTGTAGATGTAAAGTCAGAGACGATAGCTCATCTGCTGCTGCACAGTTTGTGTTGGTCATCCTCTAGTCCTTCATCAGTGGTCACAGGACGCTGCCCACAGGATGCTGTTGGCTGAATATTTTTGGTTGGTGGACTATTCTCAGTCCAGCAGTGACACTGAGGTGTTTAAAAACTCCAGCAGCACTGCTGTGTCTGATCCACTCAGACCAGCACAACACACACTAACACACCACCACGGAGAATGTGCTGAAGATGTGAATATAGAATCTTTTTGAAATCGGTTCTATATAGAACCATAAAGGGGTCTTCTACTGTTACGATGTCAAACTTGTAACAATAGCAGAACCCATTTTGGTGCTGTATAGAACCCTTTTCAAAGAGGTTCTATACAGAACCATAAACAAGACATTCTCCATCAATCTGAAAGAACCATTTCATCATGCAAAGAACACTTTAGTCATGCAAAGGGTTCTTTGAGTGTTATTGATTCTATATAGAACTATTTTCTTTACTAAAGAACCTTTGAAGAAGCATCTTTTTAAGAGTGTAGATGCATAAATGGTTCTTCATGGTGGAAAACTTGTGTTTGGTTCTCTAAAGAACCTTGTAAAATGGTTCTTGATGGTACTACACAAGATGTAAAAAAAGATGGTTTTAAAAAAGATGGTTCTTCAAGGGTTCTTTAGTAAAGAAAATGGTTCTGTACCATGAAGGACCCTTTGCATGACTGAAGGGTTCTTTGCATCATGAAAGGGTTCTTCAGACTGATGGAGAATGTGCTGAAGATGTGAATATAGAATCTTTTTGAAATCGGTTCTATCTAGAACCAAAAAGGTTCTTCTACTGTTACAGTGTCAAGCTTGTACCAATAGCAGAATGCTTTTATGGTGCTATATAGAACCCTTTTCAAAAAGGTTCTATATAGCACAGAGCTTTTCACACCAAACCACTCAGAATGAGTTTGTTTTCATCTCAACCCTTTACTCGTGCAGAAATTTTGAAAAATCAGTGGAGTTCCCCTTTTAGGCCACCAGATGTTCAATAGCAGTCCTTAGCATTAATCTGTGTTTATTTACACACTTAAAAAAGATGGTTCTTCAATGATTCTTCAGTAAGAAAATGGTTCTATATAGAACCATGAACACTCAAAGAACCATTTGTGTGATCAAAAGGTTCTTTGCATCATTAAAGAGTTATTCAAATTGATGGGGAGTGTTTTATATGGTTCTATACAGCACCAAAAAGGGTTCTTCTACTGTTACACTGGTTCTTCAGGGGTTCTTTCATAAAGAAAATGATTCTATGTAGAACTATCAACACTCAAAGAACCCTTTGTATGACTAAAAGCTTCTTCAAATTGATGGAGTGTGTTTTATATGGTTCTAAAAGAACCTTTTTTAAAAAGCGTTCTATATAGCACCCAAAGGGTTCTTCTACTGTTATGTCAAGCCTGTAACAATGGAAGTACCCTTTTTGGTGCTATATAGAACCCTTTGCAAAAAAGATTCTATATAGAACCATCTACAGCACATTCTCCATCAATCTGAAGAACCATTACATGATGCAAACTCTTTAATCACACATAGGGTTCTTTGTTCATGGTTCTATGTAGAACAATTGTCTTTACTAAAGAACCCTTAAAGAACCATAATTTTTAAGTGTAGGTAATACATCTTCAGTAGTGACCATTAGGGGTGTAAATCTCTGACCTGAACTCGATTATACTACTATTCTTTAGGAAACGATTCAGTGAATCATGGAATCATAGTTTGCACCATGATTCCTGATGATTCAAAGGACCATTTGAATGCATAAATGGTTCTTCATGATGGAAAACTTGTGTTTGGTTCTCTAAAGAACCTTGTAAAATGGTTCTTGACAGGACTACACAGTTTAAAAAAGATGGTTCTTCAAGGGTTCTTTAGTAAAGAAAATGGGTTCTTTGCATCATGAAAGCCTCATTCAAATTGATGGGGAGTGTGTTTTATTTGGTTCTAAATAGCACCAAAAAGGTTCTTCTACTGTTAGACTTAAAATGAATCATGGAATCATAGTTCGCACCATGATTCAATTTGATTTTATTGCTTTGGTCCGACTATTTAACTTCATTTAAAATTGTTTTTTCTAATCATTTAGAGATTGTTACACTGCATTTAGGCATGTAACACCACTTATGCTTATGTTCCTAATCTGAACACACTGCCTGTTTTTAAACATCACAATAATTGTGTGAAAAGTTTCCTTTTAAAGAGGAATTCTGCCTGTTTTTCCCTAATTTTCTACATAATTAAACTCAGTTATAAAACAAACTTTCTGTGAGGGAGCTTTTAGAGGTGGACGTCTGGTTCCTATCACCACCACTGTGAACAATTCTGACTTTAAGTCTCTCTAGAACAGAGCGTTTCACACCAAACGACTCTGAATGACCACTGAACTGTGCAGAAAAATTCAGTGGAATTCCCCTTTAAACTCTGAGTCGTATTTCCTTAAACTTATTTCTTCATCCAGGTGTTAAATGTGGAGGAATCCTCTCTGCGACCAGCGGAAACATATCCAGCCCTAACTTCCCAGGCCTCTACCCGTATAACGTTGAGTGTTCGTGGCTGATCGTGGTGTCCGAGGGTTCCTCTGTGCTGCTGACCTTCCATCACTTCGAGCTGGAGTACCACATAGACTGCGCCTACGACTACATCAAGATCTATAACGGCATCTCGGAGGACGAAGGGAACCTGCTGGGGAAGTTCTGTGGAGATGTTTCTCCTCCACAGTTCAGCTCATCCTGGAACGTCATGTCCATCATCTTCCACTCTGACCGACATGTGGCCCACCGAGGCTTCTCTGTGGGCTACAGGAAAGGTGAAGGGCCTGCTCTCTTAGAGTATGATGGATATTTCATTTGGCTGACATATATATATATATATATACATATAACATCTATATACTCTCTATTACATCTCTATGTACTATACTGACCATATAGTTTCACTTTGTAGATCTACAGTTACAGACTGTAGTCCATCTGTTTCTCTGCATACTTTGTTACCCTGTTCTTCAGATGTCAGGCCCCCATGGACCCTCACAGAGCAGGTACTATTTGGGTGGTGGGTCATTCTCAGCACTGCAGTAACACTGACGTGGTGGTGGTGTGTTAGTGTGTGTTGCACTGGTGTGAGTGGATCAGACACAGCAGTGCTGCTGGAGTTCAGTGTCCAGCCAACAGCGTTCTGTGGGCAGCGTCCTGTGACCACTGATGAAGGACTAGAGGATGACCAACATAAACTGTGCAGCAGCAGATGAGCTATCGTCTCTGACTTTACATCTACAAGGTGGACTGACAAGGTAGGAGTGTCTAATAGAGTGGACAGTGAGTGGACACATTGTTTAAAAACTCCAGCAGCACTGCTGTGTCTGATCCACTCAGACCAGCACAACACACACTAACACACCACCACCACGTCAGTGTTACTGCAGTGCTGAAAATGATCCACCACCCAAATAGTACCTGCTCTGTGAGGGTCCATGGGGGTCCTGACCACTGAAGAACAGGGTAACAAAGTATGCAGAGAAACAGATGGACTACAGTCTGTAACTGTAGAACTACAAAGAGCTCCTATGTAGTAAGTGGAGCTGATAAAATGGACAATGGACATTAAGTGTAAATACAAGGAGGCGTACTTAATGAAGTGGCCAGTCAGTGTGTGTGTGTGCTTTAATCAATTATAATGATGTTTAATTAAGTATGCGCACATTGTTTTGCTGGAATAAAATTCTGTTTTCAGGCTCAAAAACCCGAACAAAATAATTTACTAAGAATGTTTACGAGGTGATCATGAGGTGTAAGCGCTGTGTTGTGCTTTTCAAAATCTTAAAAAGTTGAAGATGGTGCAGTTTTCTGACCCCATGAATGAAGAACTGCATGCAGGCGATGACCATTTATAGTCGTATGCAAAAGTTTGAACTCCCCCAGTCAAATTGTGTTTTGTTGATTTTCAAAGTGAAACTACATTAACACATTCTCTCCAGAGAACACACTTAAATATGACATTTTCTGCACATTTTAGTGCAATATTTCCATTTATTTTCTAAATTTCTCATATTGGAAAAAAATTTAATGTAAAATATAAAATGTGCCATAACTTTTGCACAGCCCACATTTTATATTTTATTCGTTTCAGCCAATAAACAGTAATTGTGTATTAAAATGTGCAGTGTGTTCTGTAGAGCTCTGTAGTATCAACAAAACATCATAATTTGACTTGGGCGCCCACTGATTTTTGGCCTCTGATGGAGAGAACTAAGCTGTAATGTTGAATTCTTGTGTCACACGTGTATATAAAATATCAGCATTGGCCCACAATTCCCAAGTCAGTGCATCACGATTGAATACCAAACTCAGTCATCTTGAAAACCAAATCAAAAAGCATATTTTTATATCTCTGACCCCACACAGACTTTAGATAAGATAAGAATTATTTATTAGATAATTTGATGTTATTATTTTGGTGCAATTCAAAATTTTACTTAAAAATACTTGATTATTATTATTATTATTATTATTTCAGCTATTCAAAAATCAATGCAGCTGAATCATTATAATGTACCGTTCATCCCTTGTCTGTATATTTGATCGGCCGTTAAAACTGGCTCATATTAAATGTTCAAGGATTTCAAATTTATTGACATTGGTGCCAATTATATTTGTTTAAATGTTGCGTAAGAAAATCACATTTTGAAATATGAACAACAGTCAGACATATTTGAGATTTCAGGTTATTCACCTGTTAAGAATACGTTTTAAGGTTATTTGTAAGTAGCTTATGCTATATTTATATCATTTAATATGCGAGTTTCTGCTGTTTAGAGTCATTTTTGACAATCAGTAAAGCAAATATAGCAACATCAGTTATCAAAATTACCTTAAAATTGACACAATTTAAGGAATTCTCATTTCTTCTTTAAAGGAAATATTTGAGAACTGTCAATCATATTCGGTAACGATCATATCAGTCAGTAAAGCACTGCTTAACTGTTTAGAGTTTGTTTTATTTTTGACCTTATAAGTTTGTATCGGTTGATATCAGTTATCGTAATTTTTTACCTTCTTAAAATCGGTATCGGTGATAAAACTGTCAGGTCGGTCCTCATATCACCTCTCTATGACTCAGTGGACTGCACTGATACCTCCTCCTCCTCTGTTTTGGGCAGATATGTGCGGTGGTGTGCTGACCGGACTCTCCGGAGTTATCTCCAGTCCAGGCTACCCGCTGGAGTACAGCAACAACGCTGACTGCTCATGGACAGTGCACGTGTCCAACCGCAGTGTGGTCAGCCTGGTCTTCCTGGACTTCCAGCTGGAGAACAATGAAGGATGTAACTTTGACTATATTGCCCTCTTTGACGGCCCCACGGTCAAACACCGGCACATTGGGAATTACTGTGGAAATGAGCGGCCTCCAAACACAGTGACCACCTCAAACCAGCTGCTGGTGGTGTTCAAGTCTGATTTTAACATCGGAGGCAGAGGATTCAAAGCCTACTACTACTCAGGTGAGACCACACTGTGACCTTTAGAAGCGTATAATAATTTAATTATTATTAACTATTAACAATAAGCACAGCTGGCAGTTCTTCCTCAAAGCGTTGCCGCTCTATCAGTAGGCTGGGGTTTCAGTTCAGCTGACGTAATCATAGCTTTTTTATTTAATGGTTTCAAATGTGGCCAATCAGGTTTTATAAGCAGAACTATTTGTTATATAATGTATATTTTAGGGGCGGCACGGTGGCTCAGTGGGTAGCGCTGTCGCCTCACAGCAAGAATGGCCTGGGTTCAATTCCCGGTCCGGCGACCAGGGTCATTTCTGTGTGGAGTTTGCCTGTTCCCCCCGTGTCTGTGTGGGTTTCCTCCGGGTACTCCGGTTTCCTCCCACAGTCCAAAGACATGCAGTCAGGCTGATTGGACATGCTAAAATTGCCCCTAGGTGTGAGTGTCTATGTGTATGTCTGTCTGTCTGCCCTGCGATGGACTGGCGACCTGTCCAGGGTGTATCCTGCCTTCCGCCCAATGACAGCTGGGATAGGCTCCAGCACCCCACCGTGACCCAGAAGGATAAGCGGTTTAGATGATGGATGGATATTTTATGGGGGTAACAATGTATGTATGCATCAGTCTACAAGTGGCAATTCAACAGCATCAAATCTGTAATGTTAGAACTGAATATAGTTCATTATAAATCAATCAATCAGTTAATAGTAATGATAGAATAATAAAATAATACAAATAAATAACAAAAATATAATAAATCAAATAATAAAACTTAAATATAAAACAAATATAAATATAAAAAATAAGAAACAATAAGACAAATCAGGACAATCACTTATTATAAAAAGAAATCAGAAATAAAAGTCAGTAAATAAAATTACTGATAAGGGTAAGAACAAAAAGGAGGAAACAACAATAATAGTAATGATAAAAAAAAAAATAATAAAAAAATAAATGGGAATAAAAATAATAAATCAACCAATAAAACAACCAAAAAAAAACTAAAATACATTACATAAAATTAACTAAAATATAAAAAACTGAGTCAAATAAATAGTTGCAGGCTGAGTGGAGGCGGTTAAAGATTAAACGTTTAAAATGGTCACCATTACGTGGAGTTTTAGAGATTGCTATAATAAATTAATAATAAAATACATTAATATAATATTTTTTAATAGTATTTACTGAAGTATATGCTCTTTTCCAAAAACTGCTTGTTGTTTTTACTGCCTGTGTTTCACTACTGTGTAAATAGTTCCTTTAGTCTCAATTTTCATTTGACTGAATCATTTTGTAAAAGATTCATAATGTAATCGAATCATTTTCGAGATTTACACCTCCAGAACACCTGATGAAGAGAACTTCAGTAATACAGTGTGAAACTACTAGAGTTCTGTAGTTTTGTATAATAATTCTATAATAATCAATCATATTTCACTGGTGATGAACTGTGGCTATTAGTACTCACTGCAGTTCAGGCCATAAATGTCAAAGCTTAAATATAAGATTATGTTTATGATCCTCAGAAATTCCTGTAGAACCACTGTAGCTTTTTCAGGAGGGAAATTTCAAATAAATTTAAAATTTCTCTACTTTTTGAAGGGGAGTGCCAGCAGATTCTTAAAGCGATCAGCGGGAACTTCACCAGCCCGAACTTTCCAAACATCTACCCCAACAACATCAACTGCCACTGGACCATCGTTCTGGCCGCCGGGTACAGGATTAAGCTCTTTTTCCCCGTGATGGAGTTGGAGGATCAGAACAGCCTGACGGACAGCTGTGACTTTGACTCCGTGGCTGTGTACGACGGGGGCACTGAGGCTGACCCTCTGCTCGGACGCTGGTGTGGGACAGAACAGCCTCCGTCCTTAACGTCGAAAACAAACAAGCTGCTGGTCGTCCTCAACACTGACCGCAACTCTGCTTTTAAAGGCTTTACTGCTTCCTATACAGGAGGTGAGCACCTTGTTTCAACGCTCATTGTCCATTTTATCAGCTCCACTTACTATATAGGTGCACTTTGTAGTTCTACAGTTACAGACTGTAGTCCATCTGTTTCTCTGCATACCTGTTAGCCCCCTTTTACCCTGTTCTTCAGTGGTCAGGACCCCCATGGACCCCATCAGAGCAGGTGCTATTAGGATGGTGGATCATTCTCAGCACTGCAGTAACACTGATGTGGTGGTGGTGTGTTAGTGTGTGTTGTGCTGGTCTGAGTGGATCAGACACAGCAGTGCTGCTGGAGTTTTTAAACACTGTGTCCACTCACTGTCCACTCTATTAGACACTCCTACCTTGTCGGTCCACCTTGTAGATGTAAAGTCAGAGGCGATAGCTCATCTGCTGCTGCACAGTTTTTGTCGGTCATCATCTAGTCCTTCATCAGTGGTCACAGGACGCTGCCCACAGGACACTGTTGGCTGGATATTTTTGGTTGGTGGACTATTCTCAGTCCAGCAGTGACACTGAGGTGTTTAAAAACTCCAGCAGCACTGCTGTGTCTGATCCACTCAGACCAGCGCAACACACACTAACACACCACCACCACATCAGTGTTACTGCAGTGCTGAGAATGATCCACCATCCTAATAGCACCTGCTCTGATGGGGTCCATGGGGGTCCTGACCACTGAAGAACAGGGTAAAAGGGGGCTAACAGGTATGCAGAGAAACAGATGGACTACAGTCTGTAACTGTAGAACTACAAAGTGCACCTATGTAGTAAGTGGAGCTGATAAATTGGACAATGAGCGTAGAAACAAGGAGGTGGTCATAATGTTATGCCTGATTGAGATTAGACATTATTATTATTATTTATAACACTGCACTCTGTATTTATGTGTTCCAGTGGTGCCAGTCAATGTAAGCTGCACCAGGACAGAGTTTCAGATTCAGATTTCCCTGCAGTCTTTGCCCCAGCTGGACCGTGAGAGTGTGTATTTGGGAAATCCGTCCTGTTCAGCCCAGCTGACCGCAACCACCTACAAGATACTGGCTCGATTCGTCAACTGTGGAACTGCTGGACAGGTAAACAGCTTGTGCAGAGATCTCAACCTACACATTACGCTCACTGGCCACTGTGCAAAAGTCAGAGACCCCCATTCATTTATTTAATTTCCAGTCAAAACAGCCATTAAGTAGAAGTTATTCATTTTTAGGTGGAGATAGGATATGAGATAATCCACCTGCATAAGGAAGGAGAAAGTGAAAAAATAAGAGGTAACAACCACCTGGAAGACCTGGTAGACACCAAAACTGCCCCCATCAGATAAACAGCACTTAAAGCTTTCATCTCTGAGAGAGAGGAGAAAATCAAGCTGCTTCAGATCTGAAAACATCCACAGGTGTTTCTGTCCATCCTTCCACTGTGAGAAGACGACTCAGCGCTGTGGGTCTGAAAGGATGTGTAGCTGTCAAGAAGAACCTCACTGAGAAAAGGAGACGGACACATCAAACAAAGAAGCTGAACGATGGACTGACCACCCCAGAGTCCAGACCTCAACACCACTGAATGTGTTTGATCACTTCAGAAAATGATCAACCAGCTTCTAAGACTGGACTGTGGAGGTGTGTCTGCAGATTCTTTGAGGAACTGAAAGTGAGGCTCCTGAAAAGAATGAAAGCTGTAATAAAGGTAAAGAGTGACTCACTAAATACTAAAAAAAAAATATTCACTTGTTTCTGTGCAATTTTCTGTTAAATGTTTTCAGTTTTTCATGATGCTAAAAAATGAATAACTTGTACTTCATAGCCATTTTTATTAGAGATTAAATAAATGAAGGGTGGTCTCTGTACTGTCTACATAACATACCTTATAGGTCAACTATATCGGTGTACAGTTACAGAGTGTAGCCCATCTGTTGCTGCACAGTTATAAGCCCCCCCGACCCCATTCATCATTACTATACATGCTGTTGGCTGGATATTTTTGGTTGGTGGACTATTCTCAGTCCAGCAGCGACACTGAAGTGTTTAAAAACTCCAGCAGCACTGCTGTGTCTGATCCACTCAGACCAGCGCAACACACACTAACACACCACCACCACGTCAGTGTTACTGCAGTGCTGAGAATGATCCACCACCCTAATAGTACCTGCTCTGTGAGGGTCCATGGGGGTCCTGACCACTGACGAACAGGGTAAAAGGGGGCTAACAAAGTATGCAGAGAAACAGATGGACTACAGTCTGTAACTGTAGAACTACAAAGTGCACCTATATAGTAAGTGGAGCTGATAAAATGGACAATGAGCGTAGAAACAAGGAGGTGGTCATAATGTTATGCCTGATCGGTGTATTAAAAAAACATTGAATATACAGAAATGTAACTGAGCTACTTACACAATAATGGAATGTAGACACAAACATTTTTTAAATAAAAAACAATTTTTTAAAATAAAATGTCCCAAAATTTTATGTTGGCTAAAAATTGGGCATATACTTTATTAAATATTATATTAATGGATCATAATAGATTCTACTGTTTCAACATTAATGCAGTTCACCTTCAGTTCAGTGGATCATGATACATTTTGACCCCTAAGCATCCGACTGGGCTTATTTACTTTACACTTCTACACGTATTTCTCTCCTGCAGAAACGGCGCAACATCACGATGCTGGTGAACACTCTCTACATCGACTTCTCTGACGGGAAACAGCAGAACGTTCAGGAATATGAGGTTCAGTGTGACGCCCAAAGAAAAGTGGCCATGGTCAGTATCATCTCAGTGGAGGAGCGCGTGCGGATGAACGAGCTCGCTCGACTTGCTGAGGTGTCCAGCAGCCAGGGAGCGGGAGAGAACTCAGAAACGGAGCCGCATGAGACCAGCGACATTGTCTTCATCAGTGTGTGCGTGCTGGCTGTTATCCTCATGCTGATTGCCATTGTGTGGCTGGTTCTTCTGTAGAGACTCAACATTTGAAGGGGAATTCCAGCAACATTGCAAAATTTCTGTATAATTCAAAGGTTAAGACAACAAAGTCATTCAGAGTGGTTTGGTGTGAAATACTCCATTCTGGAGAATCTTAGGGAGTCAGAATTGTTCACAGTGGTGGTGATGGGAACCAGATGTTTTTGGATAGTACATCATTTCCAAAAAAGTTGGGATGCTGTTAAGAATGTAAATAAAAACAGAATGCAATGATATGCAAATAATTTAAACTATAAATTTAATTGAAAATACTACAAAGACAACATATTAAATGTTGAAACTGAGAAATTGTTTTGTTTTTGTGAAAAATAAATGCCCATTTTGGATTTGATGCCAGCAACACATTTCAAAATAGTTGGGACGGGGGCCTGTTTACCACTGTGTTGCATCACCTCTACTTTTAGCAACACTCTGTAGGCATCTGGGAACTGAGGAGACAGATTGATGTAGTTTTAAAAAAGAAATGTTTTCCTGTTCTTGCTTCAAATAGGATTCCAGCTGCTCAACAGTTCGGGGCCTCCTTTGTTGTATTTTTCATTCCATAATGCGCAAAATCTTTTCAATGGTTGGCGACAGGTCTAGGCCAGTTTAGCACCCTGTCTCTTTTACTACGGAGCCATGTTGTTGTTATACGTAGAGAATGTGGTTTGGCATCATCTTGCTGGAATAAGCAAGGCCTTCCCTGAAAAAGACACAGTCTGGATGGCAGCATGATGATTGTAATATTGACATTTTGCTGTTAAAAAAGCTGTTAAAACCAAAAAAATATAAAAACGTTTTATAAAAAGTAAAAAGATCCTTTTCCAGTTTCCTCAAGCAGCAGTGAATGTTAAGAACTACTGGCTGAAGGATGTTTCCAGTCTGTCTTCATCTCACTGTTTCTTCTTATGGTTGCTCACGAATACGTTCACAGGGACTTTACCATCCTTCACTTGTGCTCTGATATCAGGCTTGTGTTTGAGAGCGAAGACGAGAGCTCTAATAGTCCTCCTGTAGACTCCGTTAACCAGCCGTGAGCACTGGTGAAACACTTCCCTCTCGATGTTCTCGACCAGTCCGTCATTAACCTGGAGGAACGAGAGGAAAAGGACAAGCCTGGATGAGTTATAGCCCAATTCCTATTAAGGGGAACCCACACATTGTTATGAATGGCCTGCCAAACTAGCATCACCCGTTTAACTAAGCCAGACATTTTAGACCAAATTGCTTTTTACGTAAACAAAGCAGAATCCTGATCCTTATTTTCACCACAGCAGCCGGTAGCCAATAACATGAACAAGATAATGGACACATGTTCATCTGATATCTGGCAAAGGCAGGGCTGGTTAAATATGCAGGACTCGTTAATTACACAGTACAGAGAAAAGCTCGAGAAAACTCTTCAACAACTAAATATAATATCAGTTTTTCAGTGTTCAGTGAGTCTCTCTTTACCTTTATTCCAGCTTCCATTCTTTTCAGGAGACTCACTTTCAGTTCCTCAAAGAATCTGCAGACACACCTCCAAAGTTCAGTCTTAGAAGCTGGTTGATCATTTTCAGAAGTAATCAAACACATTCAGTGGTGTTGAGGTCTGGACTCTGGGGTGGTCAGTCCATCGTTCAGCTTCTTTGTTTGATGTTACACATCCTTTCAGACCCACAGCGCTGAGTCGTCTTCTCACAGTGGAAGGATGGACAGAAACACCTGTGGATGTTTTCAGATCTGAAGCAGCGTGATTTTCTCCTCTCTCTCAGAGATGAAAGCTTTAAGTGCTGTTTATCTGATGGGGGCAGTTTTGGTGTCTACCAGGTCTTCCAGGTGGTTGTTAGGAGTCTCATTTTCTCTGGAGCTTTGGATTTTTTGAACTCCAGTTTTGGAAACTAATGTTTTTTTTCCATTTATTGTCCTTTTTTTATGTGAGAATTATCTTATATCAAATCTCTTTAGAAATATCTCCTTTAGAAAGGTGTGAGGCAGCTGAGGTGTATTCGGGTAGGTGCCTGTGTGAGCATCTCTTAGAAGGGAACAAAGGTGCACAAAAGAAAAGTGTGGGCAAATTAAACACTGACTGATCTAATATTAACTTGTTTTGGAGGCTGTGTGTAATTATATGTTTTCTGCTTTATGGTTACTCAGATTATGAGGAGCAGAAAGTGCAACCAACTTCTAAGACTGAACTTTGGAGGTGTGTCTGCAGGTTTCTTTGAGAAACTGAAAGCGAGTCTCCTGAAAAGAATGGAAGCTGTAATGAAGGTAAAGAGTGACACATTTAGTACTTGAAAATGTGATATATGAAGTTGCTGAGGATTCTGTTATCTTCTACTTTTTCCCTCCTGAAAAATAAATAAGTTATACATAAAGGCCACTTCAAGTGGAAATTAAACAAACAAAAAGGTGGTATGAATAAGGAGTGTATATACACTATATGGACAGAAGTATTGGGACACCTACACATCACACCTACAGGAGCTTTTATGACGTCCCATTCTAAATCCCTAGGCATTAATATGGAGTTTGTCCCCCTTTGCAGCTCTAACAGCTTCCACTCTTCTGGGAAGCTTTCTACAAGATGTTGGAGAGAGTCTGTGGGAGTTTTTGCCCATTCATCCAGAGCATTTGTGAGGTCAGACACTCATGTTGGACGAGAGGGCCTGGATCAAAATCTCTGTTCTAGTTCATCCCAAAGGTGTTGGATGGGGTTGAAGTCAGGGCTCTGTGAGGGCCAGTCAAGTTCTCCCACACCAAACTCACCCAGTCAGGCCTTTATGGAGCTGCTTTGTGCACTGGGGCTCAGTCACGCTGGAACAGAAAAGCTTCTTCCCCAAACTGTTCACACAAAGTTGGAAGTGTACAATTGTCCAAAATGTCTTGGTGCTGAAGCATTAAGGTTCCCCTTCACTGGAACTAAGGGTTCTAGACCAACCCCTGAAAAACAGCCCCATATCATCATCCCTCCTCCACCAAACTTTACAGCTGGCACAGTGCAGTCAGGCAGGTAACATTCTCCTGGCATCCGCCAAACCCAGACTCGTCCATCGGACTGACAGATAGAGAAGCGTGATTGGTCACTCCACAGAATACGTTTACACTGCTCCAGAGTTCAGTGGCGGTGCTTTACACTGCTTCCCCATAACTGAATGCATTATGTATTTGGATCTTAGGCTTGTGTGCAGCTGCTCAGCCATGAAAACCCATTTCGTGAAGCTCCTACCATGCAGTCCTTTTTGCTGAAATTGCTTCAGCACTCAGTGGCCCCACTCAAGCTGTTGTTGCTCCATTTCACAATAATAGCACTTACAGTTGGCCGGGGCAGACCTAGCAGGACAGACACACAAACTGACTTGAGGCAGAGGTGGCATCCTATGACAGTGCCATGTTTAAAGTCACTGAGCTCATCAGTACGACCCTCTACTGCCAGTGTTTGTCTATCCAGACTGCAAGGCTATGTGCTTGATTTGATCCACCTGTTAGCAACGGGTGTGGAGGAAACACCTGAACTCAGTAATTACAAGGGGTGTCCCAATACTTTTGTCCATATAGTGAACTAAGACACAAGAGCCTGGAAGGATTATTGCTATGTTAAGAGTTTTATCCTGCTGAACTACTGAATACGCTCTGTATGTAGAAACGCAGTAAAGCCCACCTCCAAGCCGATGCTTTCAGAGAGGAGTTTCACAGCGTTGCTCCTGAGTCCTTCAGTCTGTTTATCACAGCGGACCTCTATGGACGGTTTGTTGGCGTTCTCCTCGATGAACGTTCTCCAGTGTGTGTAGACTTCTCGTGCCAAAGCCTTCACTTCAGCGTCTGGATGCTGTTTGCGCACTTTGTTAACCGTGTGGCCTGCAGGAGAGACGATATTCTCACAAACAGACACAGTGATGCCCAGAATGTACAGGGATGTACACAATACCAGGAACAGCACAGGAAAGGCTGAAACTATATAGGTGCTTTTTTATAGGTTGCAGATTTCTTTCTGCACAGTTTATCGGCCTCTTCTATCCTGTCCACCACAGGTTCACTGCTGACCAGATGTTATCTGGGTGCTGGACCATTCTCAGCACAGCAGTGATAATGAAATGATCGTAGTATGTTACTGTGCATGTATAACCACGCTTACTGACCACCTTATTAGGCACCTATTAGACATTTTGTAGGTGTACAGAGAGTGTAGTACACAGTCTAATCCCATTTCACCCCTCACCCCTACCACTTAGTCCTACCCCTTCATTTCACGTGTTCATGCCTAGGGGTAGGGTGTCCTGTTTCTTGTTGAGATAGAGGGGTAGGGCGAAGTGTTGGGGCTACATGACCCTCCAAACAGAGTGTTATGAGAAAAAAAAAAGAAAAACCAGCAAGATGGAGCACAAGAGACCAAAGAAACCCACAAATGTGAGAATTTTCTCTGTTAAAAATTATGATAACCACTGTTTTATCTTAGTTTAATGTTATTTCAATGTATTATGGTCCTTTTTCTTCATAACAAGCATAAAAAAATCACTAGCAGTTTGCTCAGTAGCTAGCTAGCTAAATTTCCCGTTCCACCTTAAATGGTGCAGCAGTTACATTCTGGCATCAGGAAACCTCAAACAAGAAGCTGGGGAATATCTGAGTTCAGCTTCATATCACTGAAGAATTAGGGGTGGGTGATAATAAATAATTGCCCCCCTCTTTGAAGGCATATGATGCCCTAAATGTAACTAAAGCCCAGCAGTGAGGAGCTGAACTTTACCCTCCTCTGCTGTCACTGCAGACTGGCAGGGTCGCCTACAGAGCAGCACTAGTAGCTCTTTTTATTTGAGGGTCCCATTTCAGAGGGAAGATTTCCACCACTACAACTTGTAACTCAGTTCCAAGGGGTTAGGGTGACACTCGAAAACAAGGGGTAGGGGTAAAAATAAGAAATGAGACTGGGCAATGCAGACGCACAGATTCATCAGTGGTCAGTTTCCTGATAGCATTTGGTCAGTGGTGGTCTTATTGTGGTCTCTTTTCCAATGACGAATGGGGTAGAATTGATTAACTGTGCAGCAGTAGATGAGCTACATTCTGAAATTGTAAACCTACAATGTTTCCAATAAAATGGCCAGTGAGTATTTCATACGGTGTTTCTGTGTTTTGCACACCCCCTGCAGATGCTCTGTATTATACATTAGAGTATGATTACAGTTTGTCCTATGCAGTATATTAAAAACACAGCTTCGTGATCTTGAGGTCGGAAGATAATTAACTAAATATCTTGAAATTAAATTTCAAGATAACAACTTTGTTATTTTGAAAAAACAAGATAATTAACTTGTTATCTCAAGATAACAATCCAGCTGGTGACATCTTGTATTAATAAAAATAATGCGTGGCCACACCATATTAACGTGTGGGAATGAGATCCTAATGTGTGGCCATGACTTAGTAAGGCATGGAAATGAGATAATTAAGTCATGGCCATGACTTGGTAATGCATGGGAACGAGATCATTTCTTACTAAGTTGTGGCCAAGCATTAGGATCTCGTTCCCATGCCTTAATAAGTCGAGGCCACAACTTAATTTTCTTGTTCCCATGCCTTAAGTAGTGGCCATGGATAAGGATCTCATTCCCATGCCTTACTAAGTCAAGGCCACAAGTTAATTATCTTGTTCCCATGCTTTACTAAGTCGAGGCCATAATGTAATTATCTTGTTCCCATGCCTTACTAAGCAGTGGCCATGCATAAGGATCTCATTCCCATGCCTTACTAAGTTGAGGCCACAACTTATCTTGTTCCCATGCCTTACTAAGTAGTGGCCATGCATAAGGATCTCATTCCCATGCCTTACTATGTCGAGGCCACAACTTAGTTATCTTGTTCCCATGCCTTACTAAGTAGTGGCCATGCATAAGGATCTCATTCCCATGCCTTACTAAGTTGAGGCCACAACTTATCTTGTTCCCATGCCTTACTAAGTAGTGGCCATGCATAAGGATCTCATTCCCATGCCTTACTATGTCGAGGCCACAACTTAGTTATCTTGTTCCCATGCCTTACTAAGTAGTGGCCATGCATAAGGATCTCATTCCCATGCCTTACTAAGTTGAGGCCACAACTTATCTTGTTCCCATGCCTTACTAAGTAGTGGCCATGCATAAGGATCTCATTCCCATGCCTTACTATGTCGAGGCCACAACTAATTTATCTTGTTCCCATGCCTTACTAACTGATTGCCAGGCATATTTTTATTTATACAGGATGGCACCAGCGGGGCTCCGTAGTTTTCCATTGTATATCAGTTGTTATTGTTTTAAAAAGCTCATCATATCTGAAACTGTTACAACTCTATATAAAGCACTTCAGAAAGAAGCTCAGTTTGTGTGGAAGTCTTGATTTTTCATAAAGCCCACAGAAACTCTGGATCATCCAGCGTTGATCAGGATGATCTCAGCACACAATAAAAGACTCAGTGATTTGTTAGTGTAGTTTGCAGCCTTTTGCAATATCAGTATTAAAAGTCAATATACCATGCAGCCCTAATGCACTGGGTGGGTCAAGATTTGAGGGCTTTCTTACCAATCTTGGTGGACCTAAGCACCTCTTTAGAAGGGACCTTCTTGTCAAGCTCACTCAGCGCCATTAACATGTTGTCCTTGGTCTGGCCAGGCAGTTCAAGAATGGACTTGTACCTTTCAATGTCCTCAATCACAACCACTCTCTGTAAAGCCAAAGTTAGCAACCAATCAGTGTCCATTTCTGTCATTTTACATTTCCTTTAGTCCACAATGAACATGTTATTCAAATAAATAAATAAATAAATATATATATATATATATATATATATATATATATATATATATATATATATGCATGCACACACACACCATTAAGTCCATCTCCTTGTATCTACATTTACTGTCCATTTTATCAGCTCCACTGACCATAAAGTAGCACTTTGTAGTTCTACAGTTACAGACTGTAGTCCATCTGTTTCTCTGCATACTTTGTTAGCCCCCTTTTACCCTGTTCGTCAGTGGTCAGGACCCCCATGGACCCTCACAGAGCAGGTACTATTTGGGTGGTGGGTCATTCTCAGCACTGCAGTAACACTGATGTGGTGGTGGTGTGTTAGTGTGTGTTGTGCTGGTACGAGTGGATCAGACACAGCAGTGCTGCACTGTCCACTCTGTTAGACACTCCTTGTCGTTCCACCTTGTAGATGTAAAGTCAGAGACGATAGCTCATCTGCTGCTGCACGGTTTGTGTTGGTCATCCTCTAGTCCTTCATCAGTGGTCACAGGACGCTGTTGGCTGGATATTTTTGGTTGGTGGACTATTCTCAGTCCAGCAGTGACACTGAGGTTTTTAAAAACTCCAGCAGCACTGCTGTGTCTGATCCACTCAGACCAGCGCAACACACACTAACACACCACCACCACGTCAGTGTTACTGCAGTGCTGAAAATGATCCGCCACCCAAAAAGCTGCTCTGTGAGGGTCCATGGGGGTCCTGACCACTGAAGAACAGGGTAACAGTGTATGCAGAGAAACAGATGGACCACAATCTGTAACTGTAGAACTACAAAGTGCTCCTATATGGTCAGTGGAGCTGATAAAATGGACAGTGAGTGTAAAAACAAGGAACATGAACATGTTTTGTGGCATTTTTCTTTTTTTCCTATTCCAATAAAACACAGTCCAGTGAGTTCTGCTCACCTTTAATGACTCCAGAGTGGCCTGTCTGTAAACTCGCTCCGAGGACTTCTTCTCCTGCTTTCCGTCATCGGCCTGCTTTGGGGCGCGAACCACAAATTTATCCATGTTTTTCCGCCTCAGACGGTCCGTGTTCTTCAGGCTGGACAGCTAAACTTAAATATCACAGCGCAGGACTGAGTCTGTCCATTATTTGAAGACCACAACAAGCCGGCTCTCTAACTAACTTCCTATGAGAGACGGACATTTCAGAATAAAAGTCACTGCGTAGTCGTCCTGAGGTCGTGACAGAGCCGGTTTATGAGGATTCCGGCCGCTTCCTATTTCCCCCGTTATATCAAAAACAGGACTGCTAAACAGCAGAGGGCGCCCGCGAGCGAGTCCTCAATGAATAGGAGTAAATGGAGCTCAAAGGCTAAAAACGACAAGGTAAAATAGTTTCTAATCACTCGCCCAGAACTTTCCTTTAATTTTAGAAAGTAGAAGGATGTATTTTACTAAAAAACAAAGAAATCTCACCTAAATATTTCCTTTTTTCTACAGCAAACGGGTTTAGGGCAGCAGGAGGCGGGCATTACTGCTAGAGCGTGATGATTGATTGGCGAGCAGAGCAGCTCATTGGCTGTTCGCGCTATCTGACAATATGAATAAACATGAGGTGCCGTTTTAAACTCCTATAACTCGAGTTTAAAAGCTCTTAAAAATATAACAGCGGTGTTAAAATGTTTTATGCTGTTCTGTGTTCAGGAAATGATCGCATTCTTTTACATTAAAAATGTTTCAGCATTTATAAACTATGATTTTGCTCAAATGCTCCATATCAACCCACTCATTTTGGACTCGCTCGGGAGCGCCCTCTAGCGTTTGAGAAACCCAGAAGACATTGCAGAGTGGGAATTCACCTCTCTACAAGTTCTCTGGTCGTGACGATTTTTAAAAAATGGTTAAATGGCTAAAAATCACTTAACATATTATTTTTTGTGCTATTTTATATATAAAAGTGGTAATGAGGTATTTTTATTTTTATTCAATATTTAAAGAATTTTGTGAAGAAGATGAGAAAAAGATACATAATATACTGTCTATTTAATCTATTTATATTAATTCTTTAACAGGCTATCAGCCTTGATCTCCACTTTTTAATTATGATTAATTCCTGATTTTCTACAGCTTTCTTAGTCATTTTATAATTTTGTATGGTTCTGTTCATCTCCGTTCAAAATTCCTTATTTTTTAAATGACATCTTTGTTGCTTTTTACCAATTATTTTAAAGTTGCGTGGGAGAAGCATATTATTTATTCATGTTGATTTATAAAAGTATCTGCAAGCAAAGCAGTTTTATATTGTTGAAAACACTGATTTTCCATTTTGAAGGTAAGCATATGAAATTGTTTGATCTCTAAAGGTGGGTTTATGTACGAAAATAAAACATACAGAAAAAAATATGTAACATGGGCGTGTATTTAGATTTAAATAAAACAGACTGTGCCTTGTTCTTTTCCAAATGGTTTCAAAGAAATATTAATAATAAGATCAAAGAAGTTCACTTTAAAATGTTTACATAAAATATTCTCTGTGAATCCTTTTATTTCCAAATTTGTTGACATTAGTAGCTTCTGTGGTTCTGCTGATGAAACTTTGATTCTTTCAGTGTGAGAGAACGAACGACTTCTGGTCCAACTTACATGCTCACATTTTTAACCCTGTCAAAATGACTTATTCCTTTAATCTCAAAGATGTTATTTATTACCACAATAACTTTACTAACAAGCCTCTCAAGTTTATTGTTAATCTTTTCATTCTAGTTGCTACATTCTTTATTCGTAAACAGAAGTTTTCAAATGCTCAGCCGACCCCGTCCCTCTTTTTAGAGGAATTTAGATCACTACTGCAGTCCTTACATCCTGTAGAAACTAGAAAAGTAATAGGTTTTTGAGTTTCTGTGAGCAGCTTTATGGAGAGACACTTGATTAACTGGCTTTCCTCCTGCATGTGTGTGTGTGTGTGTGTGTGTGTGTGTGTGTGTGTGAGAGAGAGAGAGAGAGAGAGAGAGAGAGTGTATATGTATAAGTATATGTGTATGTATATGTCTATGTATATGTATATGTACATGTATGCAGGAGTACTGTTCACATATTCTTATATGGTGTCTGATAATGTATTGGTCTGACGTAGTTTGTCTATTTCGTATATTCTAAATAAATGAATGAATGAATGAATCTATTAATCAATCAATCAATCAATCAATCAATCAAGAAATGAAGTAATCAACGAATCAATGAATGAATGAATGAATCAATCAATCAATCAATCAATCAACGAATCAATGAATGAATGAATGAATGAATGAATCAACGAATGAATCAATGAATGAATGAATCAACGAATGAATGAATGAATGAATCAATCAATCAATCAATCAATCAATCAACGAATCAATGAATGAATGAATGAATGAATGAATGAATCAACGAATGAATCAATGAATGAATGAATCAACGAATGAATGAATGAATCAATCAATCAATCAATCAATCAATGAATTAATGAATCAATGAATGAATCAATGAATGAATCAGACTGCGAGTCGTTCCTAAACAATAAACTTTTATTTTGAAAATGCCCACGGTTCGTTCATAGTGCGTCACGTGGTGTAGCTGTCGGTTTTAGCGGGCTTTTCCGTGTCTGTTTACTGAAGTTTGCGGATAATTCGCTGTTTTTACTCTCAAATCTAACTTTCAGTAATATTATAGTTTATTTTAATAACAGCACAACTGCCGTATGATACTGAACAGCGGAGGAAGGGGCTGTTTTCTGTGTGTCGCTGGTGGCGGAAGCGTTTATAACGGATAATTGTTGAAGTTTAGACTATTTAATGAGCGTTAGCATTGATGCTAATACGCTGAGACTGTGAGTATTCAAGCCTGTCTGTTTATCTGTTAATCCAGAATAACGGAGGTAAAAGTGTTTAAATTCTTTATAAAATACTGTGTTGTACTTGTTATTAGGTGTTTAGGCGGGACGTATCGCAATGGAAGTAGCGCAGACTTTGGACAAAGGAGGAGAAACGGAGCAGAATAAGCGCAAAATCCCCAGTAAGACCGTCTTGTTTATCCTCTCTTCAGCTGAAATGTACACTCTAAAAAAGATGGTTCTTCAAGGGTTCTTTAGTAAAGAAAATGGTTCTACATAGAACCATGAACACTCAAAGAACCATTTGTGTGATTAAAAGGTTCTTTGCATCATGAAAGTGTTCTTCAAATTGATTTAGAGTGTGTTTTATTTGGTTCTAAATAGCACCGAAAAGGGTTGTTCTACTGTTACACTTAAAAAAGATGGTTCTTCAGGGGTTCTTTCATAAAGAAAATGGTTCTATGTAGAACTATCAACACTCAAAGAACCCTTTGCCTGACTAAAAGGTTCCTCAAATTGATGGAGTGTGTTTTATGTGGTTCTAAAAGAACCTTCTTTAAAAAGGGGTCTTCTACTGTTATGATGTCAAGCCTGTAACAGTAGAAGAACCCTTTTTGGTGCTATATAGAACCCTTTGCAAAAAGATTCTATATAGAACCATCTACAGCACATTCTCCATCAATCTGAAGAACTATTACATGATGCAGGGGGTTGATAGGGTTCTTTGCTCATGGTTCTATATAGAACAATTGTCTTTACTAAAGAACCATAATTTTTAACTGTAGATAGGTTCTTTAGGAAAGGGTATGGTTTTATGTAGGACCATTAGTTCTATATAGAAGCGTTTCATGCTAAAATGGTCCTTGCATGGTATAATGGTTCTTCAGATGGAGAATGTGATGTATGTGGTTCTGTATAGAACATTTTTGGAAATGGTTCCATAGAGCGCTAAAAAGGGTTCTGCTGTTGTTACAAGCTTGACATTGTAAAAATAGAGAAAACCCTTACACAACACATTTTCCATCAGTCTGAAGAACCATTTCATCATAGAGAATTCATTCCTTTTACTAAAGAACCCTTGAAGAATGATCTTTTTAAGGTAAGTTAAGTTAATAATTAATAAAAATAAATGAAAATTAATTTAAGCACGAGGTTATTCTAAATAGAACCACTCCCTTTACTAAACACCTTTGAAAAAACATTTTTAAAGAGTGTATGATTCTGTCTAGATTACTGTCTTACTGTCCTATATAGAACCATACACAACACATTCTCCATCAGTCTGAAGAACCATTTCACCAAGCAAAGAACCTTTTTAAATGGTATTATAGAACTCATTCTCTTTACTAAAAAACCCTTGAAGAATCTTTTTTTAGGTTTGTAGGTCAGTAATTAATAATAGTAATGATAATAACAGTGGATTTCAATGTAAAGTTACCCATGGACACTTTTTTCCAAGATATTTAGCCTAAGAAAGAACATATGAGCCCAGGTACATGTCAAAATGTCACTTTAAAACAATAATAATGAAAACGAGAAAAATACAGTACTGAAAAGTGAAAACTAATGTATCTGTTAAATTTTAAAAAGCTGCATTAGCTTTTATTGTCTTTCTGCTGTTCTGCAGCTACTTATTTTGTATGCTTTTGCTTTTGTTTGTGTTTGTTTTGTCCAGGAGATGTTGAGATGGACATTGAATATCTGTATGAAGTTGTGCCCCAGCTGTCCAGAGTTTTTCGGATTACTGACAAAATTGGAGAAGGTTTGGAGTTCTTATTTATACAATAAAATTGTAAGGAAGTGCAGTAATTACTTCCCACAGGCTTTCACAGGAGAAAAAAAAAACAACATAATAAAAGTGGTTTTAGAAACTCCAGTATACCACTAATGAAGTGGCATAATATTGTCCATCAGATGTGCTGTTATTTCCATCTTATAATAGGATGTGATGGAGGAAGGAACTCTTATAATCTTTACACAATTTACACATTAAAATGAGAAAGTGATCTCACTGAAAAATTGTAAGATTAATTTTAAATCAGTATTTTAAAATGACAAATTTAAAATGACCTAAAAATGAAATACAACTAAAAATTTTACAGTTATTTTAAAATATATTTTAAAATTTATTTTTTGAAATAAAACTAAAATTAAATGAGTTTTTGAGTTGTATTTCATTAAAAAAGGATCAAATAATTTTTAAAATGCTGTAAAACGTTAGTGTTTTTTAAAAGGCCCTTGTCCTGCGTTTTTCTTGTATTTAATTTTTTTTTCTTCAAGGTCCACTTATAACATTTGTGTGGTTTTTTTATGCACCAAAAATGGCCATAATTTATTTTTACATAACCATTTTTTAAAATTGCTTCACCCATTACAATTAAACAGGCTGATATACGGTAAATGATCTGTTCTGATTGGCTGCTCTGTACTGTCTCTTAGTCAAAAAGCACTCCATTCAAACACTCTCCAGAATTTCAGTATGAGTGGGTGGAGCTAAACTGCTGTCGTATGAATATGTGCATGTATGTAAATGAGTTGGTTCTCAAGACCTCACAAAAACAGTGAATTCAAAATGGGCTGTTTTTGGAGCTTAATTTCCATATGTGGACTGTATGGACTGGGAAGTTAATGGTATGTTTTGAAACTTTACAGTAATTACGTACCACATCAGAGTCTTTTATTTAAAAAAAAAGCAGTTGGTTTTCCATGATCTGGGCCCTTTGATGTTTATATCCTTTTGTCCCATTAGCCACGTTTACATGCAGCCTAATAATCCAACTGACAGGGCAATCGGAATACAATACATCCATGTGAACACCTCAGTTGGAATAATCTAGTTTGGTTGAGGCCATTCGGAATACAGTTTCTATCTGATTGATCGAGGTGGGTAATCCTGAAAATAATCTGTTAAACAGAAGAATAATATCCGTGTAAACGCCTGTATCTGATTACATTCCCTATCGGAAAGTTTAAGTCCGTTCTGATCATGTTCGTCGCATCGTAGTGAAAGTTTATACCGTTCAACATGGCGGAGCAGAAACTGGTCTGCAGAGGAGACGAAGTTTATGCTCTGATCTTTAAAAGACGGCGGTGGGACGGACGTCCATCTTATGTGTCTCAGAACACGACGTCTTCCTCTCGGCCTTCTTTAATAAGGACATGTGAAGGACGTTTTCCTGAGTCTGACATCATTTTAAAGCAATTAAAAACACAAGCACTGCTCACTGCTGCTCATCTCACTCTGACTGGACTCACGTGATGCTCGTTGTCATGGTAACGTCTAATCTAAGTGGTTCTCTACACGTGTGATTTTGGATCGGATTACTTGTAGTGAGCATGTAAACTGAGATTTTCCATCAGATTGTTGAGTAGAGTAAACATAAACACCTCAGTCTTAATCTGTAATCAGAATGTGTTCAATCAGATTGCCAATAATCTTTTCATGTAAACACAGCCAATGGGAGCTTTCTTGATCTAGAAACCATGTTTTCATTAATAACACATTTTTCTTCATTCTGCAGCCACATGACAGTTAACTGAATTGATTACACCCAGAGATACATGTTCAAACTGTATGTGGTGCTTCTTTTCTTTAGGTACCTTCAGTTCAGTCTACCTTGGAGAAGCCCAGATGACGAACGGCAGGAGAGAAAAGTTCGCACTGAAGCATCTCATCCCTACAAGCCACCCAGTGCGGATAGCTGCAGAACTCCAGTGTCTGACTGTGGCCGGGTGAGTTTTTCTCACAGTAGTTTGAGTTAAAGGGGAATTCCACCAAATTTTGTTACAGTTTCTATGCAGTTAAGAGGTAAACGAAGTCATTCAGAGTGGTTTGGTGTGAAATGGCTGATTGTAGCAACTCAGATGTCTTTACAGTGGTGGTGATAGGAACCAGGGGTCGCCATGACTACAACACAAATATAGCCATTTTATTTACTATCCAAAACCATCAGTGAACCGACACGAGTCTTCTGAGTTTTTTTTTTTTCTTTTTCTTTAAGTATGTAACAAATATGGTAAAATAGTGATAAATTTGCAAACAGGGGGTTATGTTGACTCGTAGACTCATATGCCCTGCTTATATCTCTCCACCATAATGGATTTTAAAGATATGTTTTAGGAAGTGTGTTCATAACCGTTTCATGTAATAACTGTCTGTGAGGGAGCTTTTAGAGGTGGACGTCTGGTTCCTATCACCACCACTGTGAACAATTCTGACTCAGTAAGTTTCTATAGAACAGAGCGTTTCACACCAAACAACACTGTTTACATCTTAACCATTTAATTATGCAAAAATGTAGAAAAATAGGTGGAATTCCCACCTGTTTTTTGATTGAAATGTTGTTTTGTTGAAGGGCTGTCACAATTAACACGAATAAACTCAGTTTATGGACGATGATTACTTATTAGTTATTAATTAGCATTAATTATTATTTGGTCATTTTCCCTTATGGTAATGCATATTTTACATTTTCTCATTGTTCTCTCCAGTAAGAAACAGCCTCATGGACACGCCCATTTACATATTTGTATGTTCATATAGTGTTTTCTATAATGAAGCCTTTTAAAATTCTTTCTAGTTCAACTTTTTCCAGCAAGTTATTCATCATTATGGTTTACTGTTTAGTTAAGCCTGTTTTTATTGTTTGGCCTGTTTAAAAACAATCGATAGTGATCAGCCTAGTTTATTGTTTGTTTTACAGCGGTAAAGAAAATGTGATGGGGGTCACTTACTGCTTCAGAAAGGACCACCATGTGGTGATTGTTATGCCCTATGTGGAGCACCAGCCTTTTGTGGTAAGTGTCCTATGATTGCTATACAGTACATTTTTATGTGACCATCTTCTAAACTCTCTTTATCCCTTAAACAGGCTGTTTCTGTTACTGTGCCTTTAAGACTAATATGTGTAAATGAGCTCTGTTCTGATTGGCTGCCCTGTATTGCACCTCATTCAAAAAGTAGCCCTGGCTGAAACACCACTCATACTTCCAGCGTGAGTGGGTGGGACTAAACTGCTGTAGGCTGAATAGGCAGATGTATGTAAATCACTGTTAAATCACAGTTTTTTTATCACAAAAAAGTGAATTTGAAACAGTCTGTTTTTGCAGCTTAGTTTCCATAAATTGACTCTGAGGACTGGATAATGAACTGTATGTTTCAAAACTTTAACACTGTTTATATACAACATCAATCTATTTTATTCCTTAAAAGTGAGAAATTCAGTTTTCCATGATATGGATCCTTTAACTAAGTGGTTACCTATCAATACAGCTAGCTTAACTCTTATTCTCCAGGGTATATTTTGGTTTTTCCATCTGAATTTTCATGACCAAATCATAAGGCAAATTATTCAGTAACTACATGAAATAAATGTAATTTTTTATTTTATTTATTTATTTGTATTTTGTTATTTATATTACGTTCCTCTCAAATTAACAGAACATGTGTTTTATGATCATAAACATGTTGCTATATGCTTACAATTTACTGCTGAAAGCCAAAAATCTTAGACGCTCTTTGTATTATTTTATAAAAATAATGTTTACAGAGCAGATCACTGAAGAGACGCCATCTGTTTATAGTTTACAGCCCAGATTTGTGGAAAAATGGGTCGACTTTCAGTAGACAAAAAATTGAGAGTTCAGCTTCTTTTATTATAAGGGTTTAAAATTACATTACCCATCTATTTGACTGGAAAGAAGACAGTTACAGCTCTCATACGACCCCCACCTTTAGAATGTAGCTTATGAAATATGAACGTTAAGAAGAATATGACGAAGTGCGTTTTGGAACCACCGGTGGTCTCCAGGAGTTGAAAAGGTTAAATTCAGCATTGACAGTAAACAGTAATCGATCATATACTACCCAGCACTAATGTAATATAATCTAATTTACACCAAATCCTCATTTTTCTCCAGGACATTGTTGGCATGCTGAGTTTTGAGGAGGTCCGGCTGTACATCTATCATTTGCTCAAAGCCTTGAAACACATCCACAAGTTCGGCATCATCCACCGTGACATCAAACCGACAAACTTTCTGTACAACCGACGGGAGAGAAGGTGCGTATCAGATTTAGTGGTACAGTTACTGTAACTGTGTGCTGGTAAACAATGTAATAAATAGAAATGGGAGGATATGAACATTTCCTGTTGCTCTGTTATTGTAGGTTTGAAATATTTATTCCTTTTTATTTTTTTTTTAGTTTTTGAATTAATATTTTAAGTTTTGTTTTTATTTTCTGAAAAGCAAGAGCTTTAGTTTTAGGTCTTTATTATTATTATTATGGAAGCTGTGATAGTGGTCATTTAGAGTTTTATTGCAACCCCAAAACACAATTCTTATACACCGGATATACAGGAGATGCAGGATGATATTGGCGTCATATCAGTTTAGGCAGATATTTGCTTAAAAAAAATCGTCAACAGACCAATGTTCAGATTTGAACGATACTTCAAACCCGTATTTGATGATGTGTTTATTGTAACGTTTAGCTCACACTGGGTAGATGTGATAAAATATATGCATTTTATTCTTTTTACTGCATTTATGAATGTTTTATTTCCCTGTAATGCTATTCCAGGTAAATGTTGTACCATTTTCGACATTTTAGAAAAGATTATGTTTTGGCATCAGCAGATATGCACATAAGAAATATGAAATCCGCATCGGCCAAGAATTCCCATATCAATGCATTCCTAGTACACTGCTAGAAATAAAGGTTGTGTGCAGGTACAAAAGTAAGTAAGTTACCCTTTATTAATCTCACAACAGGGAAATTCACCTCTGCATTTAACCCATCAGTGCAGTGAAACACCACATACACACTAGTGAACACACACACTAGGGGGCAGTGAGCACACTTGCCCAGAGCGGTGGGCAGCCCTATCCACAGTGCCTGGGGAGCAGTTGGGGGTTAGGTACCTTGCTCAAGGTACTTCAGTCACGTACTGTCGGCTCAGGGGATCAAACCGGCGATCTGGTCACAAGGCTGGTACCCTCACCTCCAGCCCACGACTGCCCTAAATTTTTCATTCATCAAGGTACAAACAATGTAAATGTTCCCTCAAAGGTGCAACAGTGGTTTTAAGGTCTGATTGTGAACCTTAAATACATTTTTCCAGGTGAAAAGTTCGTATTTGTATTTTTTCATAACCGAATGTTTTAAAACAACAATAAAAATAAAGTCCTGGAGTCGAGACGGGGTGTGTGGAGTCAGTACAGCTTAGAAAATATCATTTCAGTGGATTATGGTTCAGTTATGTTCCCTGACTAAAGGTACTGAGATGCACCCTTGAGGGTACCACCCAGTGAAAAGTCCTGCCCCAGTCACAGTTTCTTACCTTTTTTTTTTTTTTTGAGAGTGTAAATACTGACGAACTTAATGCTTCAAGGCGAGTCACCAAGATGGTTTGTTGACACGTTGGGAACACTTACACCAGTACATCTTCACTCTTGTGCTGTTCAGATATTACTGATCACACACTGCTCACATTCAAGTCACATACAAGCTTAATACTGTTGCTGGTGCTTTAAGGATGAGTAACTAAATTGTTATTAGATACATCTAGAATAGCGTTCAGTAACAAGACTAACAGAGTCCTTTTCTGCTGACTCAGGTACGCGCTGGTGGATTTTGGCCTCGCTCAGGGAACTCCTGACACTCAGATCGAGCTGCTGAAGGTGGTGAAATCTCAGAAGGTTCAGAAAGGTGGTGGGTCTGCAGGCAAATCTGAGGAGTCACAGGGGAAACGGGCACTGATACCTTTACCTCCCAACGTAAAGAGTCCTGCACCTCACGCTTCCACAAAAACAGCAGCTAAAAGACCGTGTCCACCTGTACGCACCAAACACAACAAGGTGTCTGCACCGCCTCTCTAAGGCACAGCTTTCCTAAATACTCACTGCTTCTAGTATGGTGGGGGTTTTCTGGGTCACGGTGTGGAAAAAGGGTCAAATCAAACTCCTAGACGTTGAGTCGTTATGACTTTTTTACTATTAAAATAGGATTACATAACTGTATATTTAATTACATTATAGATGCATTACATTTATGTTAAAGTCTGGATTATTTTCTGTTTGTTTCAATGTCAAGAAATCACAAAAACGTAAAATGTTAGATTTAAATCTTATAAACTAGACCCAGAAAAGTATTTCAGACGTTTTATTTAGTGTTTCAGGGATTTTAAATGTGATATACTACGAATTATATACTGTAATTATCTATTTTCAGTAACTTTTTTGTGAAGATACCTACCACACGATTTTATCACTGCTACATGAGAGTATTAATTTTATTATAACTTCAATCTTGATGTTCTACAGCTTGATGTTCTTATTACATTTAGATCTACATCTATTTTTATGTTTTTTTTTTGTTTTTTGTTTTTTTTTTTCACCTTCCAACTACTTAGTTAAAAATCTGTGCAATTACACAGGACCTGCTACTAATTTCATTTTATACATTTTGTACATTCAGAGTGGTTTTATATTATTGAAAACATTGATTCCAAACCTTTTGAACAGTAATGTTTACTGTAAGATATAAAAAATATTGCAAAGCAACAATTAAATTTAAATCATAGTAACATTTCTCCTCTTAGAAATAGAAATAATTCATATAAAATTACAGCATGATTTTGTTATCACCAGCAATAACGGCAGCGTTTAAGGGTTAAACTACATTTTTCCTTGTGATAAATTTCATTTGGGTTAAAGTGTTTTTGACTGCGTCCTCCTCACAGCTGTACTGACATTCCTCTGTCTGTTAGGAGCTGATGGGACTCTGTAAATCATCCCGTTCTGTATTTGGGGAGAGAAACCTTAACAACATAAACGCTGCAAAGAACCCAGCAGATAAGGTCGAGGTTGGTGACTTCATGTTCCTCTTATTTAGGGCTGTCCATTATTAATAATAACAGACATAGACGTTTGATTAATTTATGGTAATAGCCCTATGGTCATATGGTAGGATGCAAACAGTCGAACACCCTCAGCCAAATTACCTGTTTTATTGATTTTCTAAGTGAAAATAAGCTACAGAGAACTCACTTAAATGTGACATTTGTCTGCAAATTTTGCAGAATTTTTTTCCTTCTTTCTTTTTAAACATTTTGAGAAAAATGTGAAAAATGTGCGGAAACATTTAATAAAATTAAAAAATAAATGGCTTGGTAAATTAATCAATATATAAAAATAACTAAATAAGATATATATTGCTTATTTTGATTGTAATTTTACACACATTTCCGTTTTCCTTCCAGTTCTATATTTCTCAGTTTATTTATTTCTTTATTTTGTTTTATAATTTTTCTTCATATCTATATTTTTAACAGTTGTTTGCTTTATTTATTGATTCATGTATTAATTTTTTTTTCATTAATGTATTTATCTTTTCATTAATTCGTTTATTTATTCCTGTATTTCTTTGTTCATATGATAATAAGGGGGCGTGTTTTTCACGTTCAGGCTTAGCAATCAAGACCAGGAGAAGAGTTGATTAAACTGTTCTTTCACCAAGTCCAAAAAGAACTGCAACGTCAGACAGACAAACATGCCGATAAATAAGCCTCAGCCTCCAAACGAAAGAGTGAATAATCCGTACTTGCATTTTCAGCCAGATCAGCCGAGAGTCTCAGATCTCTGACTGTCTGTAAGCAGCCGTTACTGTACTGTCTGGTCCTTAGTGACCGCTGAGAGAGCAAGACATGAACAATCGATCTACAGAATCTGATACTGAACAACCAATAGGAATATTAAGATGCTGTGACATCATTGACTAACAGCCCCTTTATTAGCATAAGGACAAGGAAATACAGAAATTAATAGGGAAATAAATAAATATAGAAATGTTGGAAATAAATGAATAAAAAAAAGAAAAAATGTTAATAAAGAAACATAAATAACAAAAATTAGTGAGGAGGGGAAATTACTAAATAGATATAAGTAAATGCAGACATTAATTTATATAAGGTTTTATTTATTAATATGTTAATTTTAATGTATATTTATTTATTTTTAGATTTATCATTATTCTTTGCAATTCTGATTTATATATTAATTTACTGAGTCATTTATTTTTAGTTTTATTTGTTTGTCATTCTGGTAAATCTGGTCCTCTATAATATGTTCCAAAAATTCAAATAAACAGCAGTTGTGCATTAAAATGTGCAGAAGACGTGCTCTCTGTGGAGGATGTGTTCGCTTACGTTACAGTTAGAAAAACAGCAAAGCATGAAAATTGACTGGGGCACCTAAACTGTTGCATACACCTGTACTGTTTAACAGTGTGTTACACGCTGCACTTCACCTCCGAATGTGTTACGATTTCAGGAACACTTGTTAAAACCAACAAAAGCCGATGACGTCATTGGACGCAAGTTTGTGTCCTCTAAACGGCGCCCTCTTCCGACGAGAGCCGCAGTGACCAGCCAGAAGCCAAAAACTGCCCCCCTTAACCCGTCACTCACCTGCAGCTGCTACATGACGGACCGCATCTGCAACATCTGCCTGTCTAGGTAAAAGACCCTGCCTGAGAAGAACAGCCTCCAGATTACTGTTTAATAGCGGCAGGGATTAGAAAACAAATGCTTTATCACAGAGCGCAGTCAAAACTGAACAAAACATCTCACACAGAGAAAACTTTAACTGGAGAAAAATGTTATTACATCATTATAGTTCATCATTCTTAAACATGAAATTTTAAAAATGTAACAATGCATGTTACTGCGGTGTTTATAGTGGAGGCACAGTGTGCTATACAAAAAGAACATTAACCCTTTTTTACAATATTCTAACCAATCATCAATGAAAATTAAGTGGAACTAAATAATAACATTAATAAACTGTCACATTTACTTTACTATTATTTAAAGATTTCCAGCATACAGTCCTTTTACATTCAGTATATATTGTTCACCAGAGCATATATATATATATATATATATATATATATATATATATATATATATATATATATATATATATATAACCCTCATATAAAAAGAGCATTACTTCATTAACAGCTACTAGCGCTGCTCTGTAGGCGACCCTGCCAGTCTGCAGTGACAGCAGAGGAGGGTAAGTTCAGCTCCTCACTGCTGGGCTTTAGTTACATTTAGGGCATCATATGCCTTCAAAGAGGGGGGCAATTATTTATTATCACCCACCACTAATTCTTCAACTAAAGTCAGATATTCACCAGATTCTTGTTCAGATTTTCCCGTTCCACCTTAAATGGAGCAGCTGTTCTGAGGTGCCAGAATGTAACTGCTGCACGATTTAAGGTGGAACAGGAAAGTTAGCCAGCCAGCTACCGAGACATCAACAAACTACTAGTGATTTTTATGCTTGTTATGAAGGAAAGAGCCATAATACACTGAAACAACATTAAACTAAGATAATACAGTGGTTATTGTAATTTTTTAACAGAGAAAATTTTCACATTTGTGTGTTTCTTTGGTCTCTTGTTCAGCCATCTTGTCGGTTTTTCTTTTTTTCCTTCATAAAACTCTGTCTGAAGTGAGTCTCTGGAAAAACCCATTTGGAGGGCCGTGTAGCCCTAACACTTCGCCCTACCCCTCTATCTCAACACAAATCGGGACACCCTACCCCTAGACGTGAACGCACAAAACGGGGGTCTAAGTGGTGGGGATGAGGGGTGAGATGGGATTGGGCCCAAGTTTCAAAACATCCTGTTCACTCCCCAATCCATACAATCCATATAAGGAAACTAAGCTGCATGAACAGCCCATTTTAAATTCTTTGTTTTTATGTCACAGAAAATGGTCCCCACCTGTTCAGCCTACAGCAGATTAAACTTGGCCAATCATGCTCAAGTTATAAAGAGGATTTCAGGCCAGAAAGCATTCTGAATTTCGTAGGGCAGCCAATCAGAACAGAGCTCATATACATATCAGTCTAAAAACACAGTAACAAAAACAGTCTGTGTAATCATAAGGGATAAAGAGAGGATGGAAAATGGTCATGTGAAAGTGAAATATGACTGTTGTGGTATGCAAAACCAACTTTCGGTCTCACTTTATTTGGATGGTCCACTATAGTCCCCTACGGATTATCTACAGATGTTCAGATTGTTAACAAACTATCTGTAGAAACTCAGTTGCTTCTAAACAGTGGTGGGGTTAGAGTTAGGATTTGGACCAGGGTGAGGGCTGGGTTTAGGTTTTGGGTCGAGGTTAAGGTTAGGATTAGGATTAGAGCAGGTTTAGAGTTAAAGAAAATAATGGTCAATTTAGATGTTTAGTTGAATGTAACTTGAAAATAAATGTAGTATCTACAAATCATCTAAAGTGGACCATCCAGATAAAGTGTTACCCAGTTTTCTGTGAGGGAGCTTTTAGAGGTGGATGTTTGGTTTCTATCACCACCACTGTGAACAACTCTGCCTCAGATTCCTCTACAGTGGAGAATTTCACTTCAAGCCACTCTGAATGACTCTGTTCACATCTTAACCATTTAACTATGCGTCAGTTGGTGGAGTTCCCCTATAACAGTATTTGTGCTCTATAGGAAACAGCAGATGGCTCCTAGAGCAGGTACCCCAGGCTTCAGAGCTCCTGAAGTTCTGACAAAGTGCCCCAATCAAGGAACAGGTATGGCATCGTTCAGGTACCATATGTGTTGGTATAGGAAGTAACATATGCTGCACACTTCTGTCCAGAGTTGTTGAACTGTTGAACTAGTCTCTCATTCTTCCGCAGCTATTGATGTCTGGTCAGCGGGCGTGATTCTGCTCTCACTTCTGAGTGGCAGGTATCCATTTTTCAAAGCCAGCGACGACCTGATGGCCTTAACTCAAATCATGACTATTCGTGGTTCCAGGGAAACAGTACAAGCTGCTAAAAAGTTTGGTAAGAACGTGCTGTCTTGAGGGTCTTTAAGCTCTATTCAAGCTGGATTTATGGAGAGAAGCTGTATGATTACCAACACGATTCGTGATTTTAATCCAGTATGAATCTGCAGGACCTGATCTTTTTATAGTCGGTCAGTAATAATTGTGGAGCGATTTTAATCCAGTATGAATCTGCAGTGTGTGTAGTTTTATAGTCTGACGGTAATAATTGTGGAGCGATTTTAATCCGGTATGAATCTGCAGTGTGTAGTTTTTACAGTCTGACAGTAATAATTGTGGAGTGATTTTAATCCAGTATGAATCTGCAGTGTGTGTAGTTTTTACAGTCTGACAGTAATAATTGTGGAGTGATTTTAATCCAGTATGAATCTGCAGTGTGTGTAGTTTTACAGTCTGACAGTAATAATTGTGGAGTGATTTTAATCCAGTATGAATCTGCAGTGTGTGTGTAGTTTTACAGTCTGACAGTAATAATTGTGGAGTGATTTTAATCCAGTATGAATCTGCAGTGTGTGTAGTTTTTACAGTCTGACAGTAATAATTGTGGAGTGATTTTAATCCAGTATGAATCTGCAGTGTGTGTAGTTTTACAGTCTGACAGTAATAATTGTGGAGTGATTTTAATCCAGTATGAATCTGCAGTGTGTGTGTAGTTTTACAGTCTGACAGTAATAATTGTGGAGCGATTTTAATCCAGTATGAATCTGCAGTGTGTAGTTTTATAGTCTGACAGTAATAATTGTGCAGTGATTTTAATCCAGTGTGAATCTGCAGTGTGTGTAGTTTTACAGTCTGACGGTAATAATTGTGGAGTGACTTTAATCCAGTATGAATCTGCAGTGTGTAGTTTTACAGTCTGACGGTAATAATTGTGGAGTGATTTTAATCCAGTATGAATCTGCAGTGTGTGTAGTTTTACAGTCTGACGGTAATAATTGTGGAGTGATTTTAATCCAGTATGAATCTGCAGTGTGTGTAGTTTTACAGTCTGACGGTAATAATTGTGGAGTGATTTTAATCCAGTATGAATCTGCAGTGTGTAGTGTTTACAGTCTGACAGTAATGACAGGGTGTGTGATCAGGCGATGGGAGCTCCCTCAGTAATCATGTTCTACATATTTCCATGATAAATTAAGCAACATTTGAATGATGAAAAATGACACCCCATATTGTACACCTTAATAATGAGATTAGCACAGGCAGACAGGAGGCGTGAAACGTGAGCTTGCTGGAAAGAGTGTTTAAACAATGCAGTTACGTAATATGGCACAAAAAATTGAATTCCATGGTGCACCCAGTCACATTTTTGTCCTGATGTATTGTTAGACCCCTGTCCTAAACTAATCCATTTCCATCTAATACATGGCTTGAAATGATTGGTTATTCTGAAAGCTGTTAAGCTTAACTGATTTAACTGTTGTATGCATGCAGGGAAAGCCATAGTGTGCAGCCGTGAGCTTCCTCCTCTGGACCTGAGGATCCTCTGCGAGACCCTGAGAGGCGTCCGACCGTGTGGAGAGGATTCGCTGCCCGCTGAGTTTCAGGCCACTCGTCACCCTGTAGAACTCAAGCAGGAAAACACTGGACCTGCTGAGAAACAGAGCGGCCACTCTACCTCACAGTCACCCGAAAACCCTGCAGCATCCCAGGGGACTGGATGGGACAGTATTCCTGATGATGTCTATGACCTACTGGACAAACTTCTGGATTTGAACCCAGCAACAAGAATAACTGCTGCTGCGGCTCTGCGGCATCCGCTCTTTAAGGACATCAGTGATTAACAGAAGGACGTAGACACCAGTTGACCTGACCATGTTCTGCCACGCTCTTTTGGAGCAACTGCTTGGTTGGGAAAAGCTTTACAGAACAAATTGTGATCTAGTTTTTTGTCAGAATACCTACATTTAGAGTGCGTTATTCATTTTTAAGTTATTTCTTTTCGTATGCATGTGAAACGTCGCATTAACATGGTGGAGAATGTCCTCATCCTTTTCAACTTGCCTAATTTCAATTAAACAGCACAGTTAGTGTCGTATTTTAAATTGGACACTCAAACAAAATGATTAGATCTGAAATATGATACAAATGGGATTTTTCCAGCGTTCTAGTCTATGAAAGACTGTGCTTGTGGATGGATTCAGTTCTGTTTATCCACCAGGTCAGAATCCTCAGGGTTGTTTGTTTGGATAAAGCACTGCACACAGAGTTGAGTGCTGCTGTCGTTTTGTTTAATGCGAAACGCTACATAGAAAGTGCATTAGTTTTGTAACATATTGTAAAGTCTGTGTTTATTTATCCAGTGTGATAGTTTTACATTGTCTGATATGGATTTCTTCAACAGTGCAAACATTGTCGAATAATTCCAAACTGTAATAGACCAAGAAGTGATTGTCAGCTTTTTTCTTTTGCCAGGCATCCTATTGGAGCGATACAGGTTCATGAAATGTATAATACTTTCGATTAAATAATACTTTAATAAATTCTAATTAACATCCTTATCATGTTCTGCTCTTTTCTCTAAACGCGACAATATTTCAGAGTAACGAAACGTGGATGGAAAAACGTAAAATTGGACTGAAAGCTGAAGTTTTACAAAAAATGAGCTTCATTAGGATGGATTCTGTTCTAGAGAAACTTACCGAGTCAGAATTGTTCACAGTGGTGGTGATAGGAACCAGACATCCACCTCTAAAAGCTCCCATTATATGAAATGGTTATGTTGGCTCAGCCATTGTTTTATGGTGGCTTTTGAGACGGTTTTGGCCTAGAATGGCTTTTTAAAGCCAGTTCATGGCGGATGGGTACTTGCTTGACGTTGTTCGGCGAAAGAAAACTTGTTTTTCAGATTTATCACTGTTTTACCATCAGCAACTTTCCATATAAAAGCTCAGAAGACTCGTGTAGGTTCACTGGTGGTTTTAGATAGTAAATAAAATGGCTATATTTGTGTTGTAGTCATGGCGACCCCTGGTTCCTATCACCACCACTGTAAAGACATCTGAACCATTTCACACCAAACCACTCTGAATGACTGTTTACATCTCAAACACTGAATTATGCAGAATTTAAAAAAAAAAAAAGATGGAATTTAGGTATTTACAGACATGTATCCAGCACCAAACACCAGAACTCTGAGGGGTTATTTAACACAGGGTCAATCTTCAGCCTCACATGAGCATGTAATTGTAATTATGCCTAATGGTCATTTGCCACTGTACATTTAATGAATCAAAATAAATGGGAAACCATTTTATGGCATTTTTGGAGCTACTGAAAACGCCTCATACAGTAACAGCAGTAACAGTGTTGATCTCATATATAGGTCGTACAGCAACTATGACGAGCTTCTCGAAGGAACAAGTACAAGAGTGTAATAGTAAACTAAGGATCACTGTGATACAATTTTATGGGGTGGTCTGTTGTATGCAAAAGTTTTGGCACCCCTGGTCCAGGGGTCGGCAACATGCGGCTCCACAGCAGAATTCGATTTTTAGAAAAAATAAAATAATCCTCCTTCGCAGTAAAATTACAGCTCTGCTGATCGTTCAACACAGTTTTAACAGTAAATAGTTTTACACTGGAGTTAATGTAGAACTGCTAATTCACCCTTTAACCGTGGAGGCTGGCGCGCAGACTGCTGGTCACCATAGCAACACAGACAACTCGCCTAGCTAGTGGCTAACGAAACGGCAAAGAGAGAGATTTAAGACGAACATCGACAATTTGGAGACGAATGGACTTATTTGTGTTTATAATCACTCCAGCTGGTTTCCTGATACGTTTAATCTGCAACGAGAAACTGAAAAACACTAAAAAGTCACGAGGCTGAAGTCAGTTTCTCGTTCGCCAGCTTCTTGTTTGAATTGTCCCGTTTCACCTTAAATGGTGAAGCAGTTACATTCTGGTGGGAATGAGAAGCGACTTCAGCTTCATAAAAAGTCAAACGTTGAGAGATATTTTACAAGAAACTGTTCCACTTTTGAGGAGAAGTTTCCTGCCAGAGATGCGAGAAAAGCAGCTATAGCTGAGATAAAGCTTAAAGCAGAGTAAAGTTTGCTGTTCGTTTATATTTGTTAGTCTACTTTAAGACATTAACTACCACATATTAAGACATTTTCAGCCAGCATTGTAAAACATTACGTCAATAAAACAGACATAAAATGTGGCTCCCAAGGTGGTTTGATTTTTGTTAAAAGGACAAAATGGCTCTTCTTAACATTTGGGTTGCCGACCCCTGCCCTGGTCAAACGACGTGCTTTGGTGACCTGTCCATATCAACTAGTGGTATCTTCTACAGAGAACACACTTTTGCACATTTTAATGCACAATTACTGTTTATTTGCTGTTTATTTAACTGTTTCTCACAGTAGCCATAAAATGCCACTTCTGCCTGTTTTGGAGGTCCCGCAGTTGAACTATGCATTTTTTCTGCAATAACATTGCAGGAACATGTTTCGAGGAAATGCATTATTTACGAAACAGGAAGCGAATGGCCACCAGAGGGCCTGCAGAAGAGGTCAACGTAGTGGGGAGGGGCAGGAGTGGGCATAAAAGGTATGGCACATTATATATGTTTTTTCCCAATATGTTAAACTCAGCAAATAACAAGAAATTATGCACTAAAATTAGCTTTAAAATGTCATATTTAACAGTGTTCCCTGTACAAGATGTGTTAACTTATTTTTGCATAATTTGACCGGGGGTGTTCAAACTTTTGCATGCAACTGCACAATTATTTGTTGACCATTATCACCTTTGCAATGCCCGATACAGCAGAAGCTGCAATATTCAAATAAGCCCTCTAACCAATCACAGAGTTTTTCCTGTGTGCTGTGAGCATCCTGACCAACACTGGACTATCTAGATTAGTTTCTTGTATTTATAATATATTGCAAAATATATTACAATTGCAATGTGTAGCACTATAATCACAGTACTAGTATTCTGTCCATGTCCACTAGTGGTTGTCCATTTTGCAAGACTAAGGCTAATTCAAGAGCCGATCTGTTCACATTTGATGGGGCTGCCTCCCGCTGTTGCTGGGTTGTGATTTTGGAATTTCCTTGAGTGATCCGTTCTTAGAACAACAAAGCTTTTGGCAGAGCGGAAAACAGCGGGATTTGGTGGATTCCTGCTAGAAGTTCGTATCCCGGGCCTAAACTCTTCCTTTAGCCTCGGCGATCTCCTCGATTCTTGCCAAGACGCTCTCGATCAAATCAAACGTGAAGAGGGCGGACTGCAGCACCTGGAGGAAACAATGGATTGCGTTTGTGATTGAGTACTGGAGCGCTATCATTACAAAATAAAAGCTTCCTATCTCCACAGTAACCCTTGTTAAGTCTACATGTACATTATTCCACATAATAATGAGATTTTATTCCAAGTGATTTCTATTGGTCCATTTGTCATTAATGCGTACGCAATGTAAAGCTATCTGATGTTTACAAAGGGGTTACAAGGGGTTAATATAACAGGGTTGCTCTGCATTGTGAGATTTAGATGTGCTTTAAGTCCTGATTTATTTGGCCCACTGCACAACAGTGCACATCTGGTCAACAGTCAGTAAGTTGTGATTATGGGAAAACATGTTATTTACTTAAAGGGGAATTCCACCAATTTTTCAAAACATCTGTATGGTGGTGATGGTAACCAGGGGTCGCCATGACTACAACACAAATATAGCCATTTTATTTACTATCCAAAACCACTAGTGAACCTACACGAGACTTCTGAGCTTTTATATGGAATATTGATGATGGTAAAATAGTGGTAAATCTGAAAAAATGTTTTCTTTGTGGACTATATTTTGCCTTAGAATATCCTTCATGTATCCCTCCACCATGAACAGATTCAAATAAACTGATATGTTTTAGACCACTTTACCACAAAACTGTTGTAAAACAGTGTCTCAGACATCAGGCAGTGAATTCATAACCATTTCATGTAGTAACTTTCTGTGAGGGAGCTTTTAGAGGTGGACGTCTGGTTCCTATCACCACCACTGTGAACAATTCTGACTTGGCAAGTTTCTCCAAAATACTAAAAACCCTTTAATTATGTAAAAATTTTGAAAAATAGGCGGAGTCTCTTAAAAAGAAAAGTGCTCTATAATGTTCATATGATCCACACAGTCACTCTGACAGACTGTAATACAGTACAGGAAGTGTAGGGGGCGATATGGCTTCTACTGCTTCATTTAAAAAGCTCTATAATGTTCATATGATCCACACAGTCACTCTGACAGACTGTAATACACTACAGGACGTGTAGGGGGCGATATGGCTTCTACTGTTTCATTTAAAAAGCTCTATAATGTTCACATGATCCACACAGTCACTCTGACAGACTGTAATACACTACAGGAAGTGTAGGGGGCGATATGGCTTCTACTGCTTCATTTAAAAAGCTCTATAATGTTCATATGATCCACACAGTCACTCTGACAGACTGTAATACACTACAGGAAGCGTAGGGGGCGATATGGCTTCTACTGCTTCATTTAAAAGGCTCTATAATGTTCATATGATCCACACAGTCACTCTGACAGACTGTAATACACTACAGGAAGCGTAGGGGGCGATATGGCTTCTATTGTTTCATTTTAAATTCTGTTTCTTTTCTCTAGGTGTCAACACGGGCTTTTGTTTCTAGCAGTATCTGAGCTCAGAACCGGCTTTCTCTCTAACCTATTTGTAACTAGCAAGGATACTTTCTCTGGATAGACAGCAAAGCACTTTTGTAAGTCGCTCTGGATACGAGCGTCTGCTAAATGCTGTAAATGTAAATAAAAAAAATCCTTCACCTGGAGCTGCATTTCTGGAGTCATGTTGGGTAATCTCTCATTTCCTACAGTAACTGTGCAGGCCGCTGCTTTAGATTCTGCAGAGACAAAGAAAAGTTGCAAAACTTAACTTAAAATAGGTGATGTTTAAACCATAAAATATCAGATCTGATGAGACAGCATACACGCTGAAAGTGTTCCTCAGCTCTCAGCACATGATTTCCTTAAATTTTAATGCTTTAGGGGGCATTTGGGGGCAGTCGTGGGCTGGAACCAAGTCGCCGGTTCGATCCTCTGAGCCGACAGTACGTGACTGAAGTGCCCTTGAGCAAGGCACCTAACCCCCACCTGCTCCCCGGGTGCCGTGGATAGGGCTGCCCACCGCTCCGGGCAAGTGTGCTCACTGCCCCCTAGTGTGTGTGTTCACTAGTGTGTATGTGGGTGTTTCACTGCACAGATGGGTTAAAATGCGGAGGTGAAATTTCCCCATTGTGGGATTAATAAAGGTCACTTAATCAAGTGCGCTTCAGCTTGAGGTCACAAACAGATGGCTGGACATTCTCCTTCAGGATTTTTTGGTAGACAGCAGAATTCATGGTTCCATTTACCACAGCAAGTCTTCCAGGTCCTGAAGCAGCAAAACAGCCCCAGACCATCACACTACCACCACCATATTTCACTGTTGGTATGATGTTCCTTTTCTGAAATGCTGTGTTTCTTCTTTGCCAGATGTAACGGGACATACACCTTCCAAAAAGTTCAACTTTTGTCTCGTCAGTCCACAGAGTATTCTTCCAAAAGTCTTGGGGATCATCAAGATGTTTTCTGGCAAAACTGAGACGAGCCTTTATGTTCTTTTTGCTCAGCAGTGGTTTTTGTCTTGGAACTCTGCCATGCAGGCCATTTTTGCCCAGTCTCTTTCTTATGGTGGAGTCATGAACACTGACCTTAACCTGCAGTTCTTTGGATGTTGTTGTGGGGTCTTTTGTGACCTCCTGGATGAGTCATCGCTGCGCTCTTGGGGTAATTTTGGTCGGCCGGCCACTCCTGGGAAGGTTCACCACTGTTCCATGTTTTCGCCATTTGTGGATAATGGCTCTCACTGTGGTTCGCTGGAGTCCCAAAGCTTTAGGAATGGCTTTATAACCTTTTCCAGACTGATAGATCTCAATTACTTTGTTTCTCATTTGTTCCTGAATTTCTTTGCATCACAGCATGACGTCTAGCTTTTCAGGATCTTTTGGTCTACTTCACTTTGTCAAGCAGATCCTATTTATTATTTTCTTGATTGAGAACAGGTGTGGCAGTAATCAGGCCTGGGTGTGGCTAGGGAAATTGAACTCAGCTTTTCAAAGATGTGATAAACCACAGTTAATTTATGTTTTAAAGGGAGGGGGGGCAATCACTTTTTCACACAGGGCCCTGTAGGTTTGGATTTCTTTTTCCCTTAATAATAAAGTCCTTCATTTATAAACCGCATTTTGTGTTTACTTGTGTTATCTTTGTCTTAATATTTAAATTTGTTTGGTGATCTGAAACATTTAAGTGTGACGAACATGCAAAAGAATAAGAAATCAGGAAGGGGCAAACACTTTTTCACACCACTGGATTTGTCAGTATTCTATCCCCTGTGTACCCTACATCTCATTATGTATCTATCTCACAAACTGCATGTATGGAAATGTGTATATTTTGACTGTATATATTTAGAGTCTTGTATACATACATATATATATATATATTTTTTTTTTCCTTACATGTTTTTTGTATATTGATGTACTACAAGGCGTTTTTAATGGAAATTAAATGACTTTCGCACAGCACTGTGCTTGACAGTTCAGTGGTGTTTTAAAGTTACTCCAATAAAACAGACTAACAGTAAGTTTCCTTAGTGATGTGAAAGCTCAGCTCAGAAACTATCACAGTGCATCCAACAACAAAGGCAGCATGGGGCTTCTTCTATACAGTGATAGGAAACATGGTAACTCACAGAAAGCTCCAGTTCCACATACTGATCCATTTTACTGATCAATGTTGACATGCACGCTCGCCAACTACTCTCGGGGCGGATTTTAATGGGTTAAACACTGACGCAACGTTAGGGTTGACGGGGTTAATGGGTATTAAAAGATCTCCAACCTGTTCCGCTGCTCTTCTTATTCTCTTTAGCATTCTTCAGCTCCGCCTCATAATGTGCTTTAGACATGTTCAAGCCCATCCTCAGCGGCTTCAGGAAATTATCTTCGATCTTGTACAGTTCGTTCCATATTCCTGTCTGAGGAGCACAGTCAGGTTATCAAACGTCATCTGCACACTGTGAAACGTTTTAGCACACTGCTGTGGAGCAAGCCTACCTCGTTCTCCCACTCTTTATCTCTGATCAGCAGATAACGCAGCAGGTTCAGCGACTCCATGATCCTACATTAGCGCAGAATACAATACTTAAACATGAAGGAACGTCCTCTATAAACTTTAGTCAGGCTAACTGTGGTTAAATAAGACTGGGCGATTCGGCAAAAACCTATCACAATACTTCAAAACACAATATGTAAGCTGGAACATTAACCAGCAAAGCAACCATTTAACATTTCAAGATGCGAAAAAAACTATAATTTTTTTTTTAATTCAACATGCAATCAAGACGCTATTTCAGAAGGAATAAGAAGAAAAAACAAACAACTGCTCAAAATTAAAGTAACAAAATAAGATGATGTCATAACAGCCTGATGTCCAATCGGCTATTTGGTACTATTCAGTTTATTGTCACTGTCTGGACAAAACCTTATATCTCCATTTTTAACTTTTTCTATTTTAGGCAATATTTAAAAAAACACCAGCTGCATTTTATAATGTGTCAACAAATTAATAGGAAATGGACCAACAGAAATGGTCAGAATTACTTGGAATAAATCATTTCTGCATTGACTTCCACGTATGTTTTATGTTTCTCCTGCAAAGTTACCATTTTGGAGACATGAAGTTTTGTTCCAACAGCAACGTTATGCAGTTACTAGGGGTGGGAATCTCTAGGCACCTCACGATTCGATTCGATTACGATTCAGAGGCTGCGATGCGATTATAAAACGATTATCGATGCATCTTTTTTTTCTATATAGCATTCATATTTTCTCACTGTGTGAGCTCAAGTTTCGAATTCAAGTTTCAAGTTTATTTGTCATTTGCACAACATGTCAGGACATTTATACATTGAAATGCTTGTGGTGAGGCTCAGATAATCACTCTACCGAAAGTAAATAAATAAAAATACAAGAAAAACCAATTGAAATATTTTAAATATACACAGAATATACATAAAATATACACAGAATATAGAGACAATATACATTTTAAAGTGACTAAGTGACTCAGTGTTGTTATTTAAAATGACTTGGTACTTTTAAAGCAAAGTATTTGTAATGATCCATAATGAATTTACTTCCAATATCTTTTTTAATAAATCAAATGGAAGTGATGTGGTAAGTGAACTGGAAGGCTCTCATTCACTGCTCTTGTTTGGAGACGCTGCTGCTACTCATCTGTGATAAAATGCGCAGTTACGGTGAAAGAAGATCCAGTGGTGATGGACGTCCACGCAGCGCGTTACAGCTATTCTACCCGTTTTCTTTAGTGATTTTATAACTTCAGTTTTGGTCTCGTTGTAGAGACGGGGGGGGGGGCTCGCTGTGTCAGTAAAGTATCTATGGGTCGTGTGCAACATAGCGCGAAAGCCCTGTTTCACAACGACTGAGAACCGGTGTGCAGACTGCAGGTCACATAGCAGCGATGCGTTATTCGCATTTATAAGCAGCGCAGTTGGTTTCCTGGTACGTTAAATCTGCAACGAGAGACTGTCAGACAGTAAAAAGTGGCGAAGCTGAAGTCGCTTCTCTTTCGAATTCTCCCGTTCCACCTTAAATGGTGCCGCATTTACATTCAGCGCCTCAGTTAGAATTTAAGGTGAAACAGGTAAATTTGAACAAGAAGCTGGAGAATAAGAAGCGACTTCAGCCTCGTAAAACAGTCGAACGTTGAGAGACATTTAACTGATCTACTTCTGAGGAAACGTTTTCTGGCGGAGGTGGAAGAAAAGCGGCTGTAGGCGAAGCTTAAAGCAGAGCAAATATAAGTAAATCTGCGTTTTCCTTTATATTGTTTAGTCTATACTGGACATTAACACACACTGACATACTGGACATTAAATGTTGCGGCTCCCAAGGTGGTTTGATTTTTGGGGACAAAATGTTAACATTTGTGCTGTGACTCCTGACCTAACCTGGCTTTAATGCAGAGGGAGACGGTCGGATTTCTCACTCATCCATGTGTGTTTTTGTTATGTGCCGCCACAGACTGTCCGGGCGCTGCACTTCCGCACTTCCAAGTTCCGGCTTTTGCGTTCCGTCAACATTACGTTATAAATGAAATATATCTAAGCATCTAAGAATTGATTTTTTCCCGCACCCCTAGCAGTTACTATACACTAGTTGTTGCTGTTGTTTACAGGCCTTCAATATACAGGGTGATTCAAAAAGATTCATCCAATTTCAAAATTATTTATTTGACTTGTAAATCATTACAGATCAATGCAGTAAACTGTAAATGGTTTAAATGAACATAAAGTTTATTATGCAATTGTACAAGGTCTCAGTATGAACCTCCTCCAGCTGTACGGACACCATAGTCAAATTCATCCCATACTCGATTGAGCATGTCGGGTGTTGCTGCACTCACGGCTCTTTCAGTGCGATTTCGGAGATCATCCAGTGTTGTGGAACCAACAGCGAACGCTCTGAGCTGCTGGAGCTTCACTGCCCACGAAAATCACACTGCACAGTTATGACAGATTCACTCTTATTGAAGTGGAGAACGCAGAACGCTTTCTGCTCAGGGGTCTCATCTCCTCTCAGACTGAAGGGAGCCATCTTCCACTGACAGTCAGAAACTGTATGACCCCCTCTTTCAATTGGTATGTGATTGGTTCCTCGGCACCTCACGGTTGGAAAAATATGGCGCTTTGAAAACGGATGAATCTTTTTGAATCACCCTGTATTATAAATACAATCTGTCTTTTCTATGTTCTATGCAGTTGATCAGGGTTATAGAAATACTGACCACACCTATCATATACTCAGAAAAGTGCATCATGACGTAATTTATCACAATAACAGAAATATACTGTTCTACTGCCCCCGCTAAACCGAACCAATCTCAGCACACAGTGAATGTGTTTGGGCAGCCTCACCTGTCTAGACTGTGTAGTAAGTCAGTTTCTGGTCCCTGAGGAAGACACAGGACTTGGTGAAGTAGCGGCAGTAAATGTTTTCCCAGAAACCACTCGTTCTCATAACCCGGCTGGAGAAAAGAATACAAAGCAATGAACATCCAGAACTAATGCAAAAGGATGGAAACCTCGCAAATCTGACTTCACAAAAATCTGGATCGGTCATTTTTAGTTATTTAATAGAACCGTCATGTTTACAGTAACTGTAGTAACACAGTTAAGTTTTAGTTGAAAACAAAAGGAGTAAAATCTTGAAATGGCAAACGGAAAATTGTCTGATTAAGATTCTTCCTCTGTGGTAGATACAGCCAAGCGAGCTCTCCCATTGGTTAAGACTTCAGAAGCTGGACTAAAGACTTAACAATGTTAAGCCTTGGTTTCACTACACGACTGTTAAAGTCTTAAGTGATTATAAAAGGACTGGGTGTCTCAGACTATCAGACTGTTTTCTGCAGATTTTTTTGGGCAACCGAAATATTGGAGATCACAAACTACTCAACTTTTACAGGCGTAACTCACTGAACTCACGCAAACTCACGTGTTCTCCTGTTACTAGGAGACCCAAATAAACAAACGTGGAGCTGCTGCTGCTGTTTTCTCTGCCGTTTGCGCTCGTTTTAGTCATTTTTCTTTGTTTACTTGCTGTATTTTCTTCTTTCTCACTCTCAGTTTTCATTGGCTGTTGCAGGAATCCGTTCAGATTGAGTCGGTGATCAGTTTACACTAGATTACACTCAGAGTCGGGTCTAAACAATTTAACGTTTAATAAACTCTGACTGGTCTGAAACACAGCCAAGAGACCAAAAATCTGAGTCTGCCCCCCTCAAACACGACTCGACCCTCTCCAACTGTCGACGCCGACTGACCCAAACATCTGCAGACTGGAGCCGACCAGCACAGAAATCGGGGTAAAAGTCATGTAGAGTAACCCCGGCTTTAGATTAACTGCCAACATAATTAGCTACATGACTCTAGGTCTTCTGGACGTTCTAGATACGTCACTGACTGTGAATATGAGCCGTAGTCTAATCAGGTTTCAGTCAGTTGTTAAGAATGGAAAACAGCAGCAGCAGCTCTATATCAGGACTCTTTACTGAGAGTCTGTAAAACTGCTGCAGATGATAAACAGATGCTAACGTCTGTTACAAGCTTAAAATAAAACACAGAATATATTAAACTGCAACAACATGTTCATGTAAATCGTCACTAGCTTAGCGCTAACATACTGCTACAATCCCATAGCGGTGCTATCAGGTTTTTGATATTTATGTTTCAAACCGAACCTCTACAAGTTACGTTCACCACTGTTTTTTAAGAATATGATGGTGGCATCATATATTTCCTCACTCCAACTACTACAGCTAGTCACTGAAGAGCTGACATTAGCATAACTAGTGCGTCTGCCACACAAACACAGCTCTGTGATTAAAAAATGGGCCTGCACCAGGGATATCTCAGACGCACTGGAGTTTGATATTCGAAAAAAGACTGCAAATTTTATTTTGGCCAAAAAAGAAGCAAATACTTCACTGAATATTACTATTATCAATTATAATGAACTGCAACACTGAAAAGTCAATGCAGTTAAAATCTCCACCATCAGATCGATGCACTGATGCACTTTTACACCTCTAGTAATGAAGCACTCAAAACGAGAGGATAAACTCCTATAGCTAGTTTACACCAACCTTCAAGGACAAGTCGATCTGGTTTTTGATGTTCTTGATGATGTAGCCCTCGACTCCCGCATGCTCGCTTGTATTCAGCATACACCTGAAATACAGCAACACAATCACTATTATTATTATTAATCCTGCATTGAGTGGAGAAAAATGGTATATCTGCAATGCTTTGCTACATTATATATTATGGTTTGTGGCTTTGAAATGCCACAATGCAAAATGACTAATACAAGCAGGAACTTCTCACCTGAAGAACTTGTATTTGGCCTCTGTGTTAAATTTATCAATACTCAGCTGGAAAACCGACAGTCCTTTAGTCCTCTGTGAACAAAGATGATCCTCCGTCAATAAAACCCACTGATAGAACATCCTTTATAAGGTCCCTACCTTTATAACACACTGCTTATAAGCCATTATAAGCCAGGGTAAATATGCACAACCATGTTATACCTGGAGTTACTGATGCAAGCATTTGATCTATATGGGATACACAAGCAAATTATGGAGGTTATTATACACCAATCAGGCTTAACATTATGACCAGACTGTAGTCCATCTGTTTCTCTGCATACTTTGTTAGCCCCCTTTTACCCTGTTCTTCAGTGGTCAGAACCCTCATGGACCCCATCAGAGCAGGTACTATTTGGATGGTGGATCATTCTTAGCACTGCAGCAACACTGACGTGGTGGTGGTGGCGTATTAGTGTGTGTTGTGCTGGTCTGAGTGGATCAGACACAGCAGTGCTGCTGGAGTTTTTAAACACTGTGTCCACTCACTGTCCACTCTATTAGACACTCCTACCTTGTCAGTCTACCTTGTAGATGTAAAGTCAGAGACGATAGCTCATCTGCTGCTGCACAGTTTGTGTTGGTCATCCTCTAGTCCTTCATCAGTGGTCACAGAACGCTGCCCACTGGACGCTGTTGGTTGGATATTTTTGGTTGGTGGACTATTCTCAGTCCAGCAGTGACTCTGAGATGTTTAAAAACTCCAGCAGCACTGCTGTGTCTGATCCACTCAGACCAGCACACTAACACACCACCACCAAGTAAGTGTTATTGCAGTGCTGACCCAAATAGTACCTGCTCTGTGAGGGTCCATGGGGGTCCTGACCACTGAAGAACAGGGTAAAAGGGGGCTAACAAAGTATGCAGAGAAACAGATGGACTACAGTCTGTAACTGTAGAACTACAAAGTGCACCTATATAGTAAGTGGAGCTGATAAAATGGACAATGAGTGTAGAAACAAGGAGGTGGTCATAATGTTATGCCTGATCGGTGTAGATTGGCTATTTACGCAAAAGTTCATGAGATGGACTGCTGTACAGTGAAATATATCTCACAGTATAGCACGATGTCTAGTGTATTACTGCAGTATTACACGTTTTATTATCAGGAAACAAAAAATCGAGAGATAATAATCACAGAAAGTCAAAGCCAATCACAATGACTTATTCATCAAAGTTGGGTAATGGTTCGTGATTTGTCCACCTTTAATGGCATAACTACTCCATCTGATTCATTAAACATTCATACGACGTGGAATCAGGTGGAGATTTGACTGCAAATGATGAATCAGCCTCAGTGCGTGAAATCAAGCGCCAGTTTATCAACCCCTCAATCACACATCATTTACATGAAGCACGCCCTGATTCACGCAGATGTTTCAGCAGGAATAAATTGACAGCATTCAGCGGCTTCTAACCCAATGACTGCGCTTGTAGGCGGAGTTTGAGGTTGAGCAGTGAGTGCACTACTCCCCCTACTGACCAACCTTTATAGTGTTAAAATTACAACCACTGGAAAGAACAGAGTGTTTATTTTGTAGCCTGTATGAAACAAAAGCACCATGTAAAATGTCTTCAAACAGAAGATGGAATATTTGCTTTATGTCCATGTAAAATAAGTACATTCACTTTGGTACTGGATTGCCATGTGCATATATGATCACTACTTTTGTTGTGTTCTATTGTATTCTTGTTACTGACATTACAGATGATATTTACATACACTCCTGCCAGACGTGAGTTTGATCGTTCAGATACACCAAAGATGAAACTGATGAATCACAAAACTGTCTGTATAATTTGCATGCGCTCTGTTAATGATCAGATTTGACTGTATGCAGCTTTTATGACAGACTAAGGCCTAATGTGATGTCGGAACAACTGTGGTGTAATATAGAGATCGTTAAACAAAAAAAAAACTACAAACTGTTTGACTTACCACAGTCTGAACCGGACATAACGTCATCACTTTTACTAAATTCTGAAAGGAGAAGCAGAAACAGTAATGGAAAAAATGATGCATTACTGATACAAAGATATGTCTGAGTGGGTTGTGAAAAAGTTGTACCCTTTTTGGTAACCCTGCTACACAACATGCCATAAACATGCCATGGCAGCTCATAACAGCATGACATCTCCCATAGCCATGTCATGAACATGCTATGTCAGTGTTATGCAGCAGTTCTCAACCAGCCAGAGTGTCTAATTGTAAATAACTTGAGTGCTGTGATTTAGATCATAGCACAACATTACACACCATATTTACACAAAGTAAAGAAAAAAGTAAAGCACAGAAGCACAAGCCCCTCCCCCCCCCCAAAAAAAAATATATATATATTTTTAACCCTGTCAGTTACTTCCGCCCAAAAAAGTAGTTCCAGGTGCCGTATTACAGAAAAGTCTGAGATCTGCTTTGTTGTCATGGCAGCTTCAGTTAAGACTGAATTTAGGACAGAAGCCATTACAGAACAACAGTTCTTAAGTGTATAATCTTATTTCCAGATGAGAAAACGGTTTTACAGAAACATCCAAAATATCCTAAATATTTTCTTAACTTTAAGATAAACCCCCGAGCGTCTTAATGTCACACATCAACCCGTGTCACTGGAGAGCTTGGACTTCAGCTCCCAGAACCCTCAGCAGGATCACGTGACGCTGCAACTTCCCTCCAACTCGGAAACCTCGATGGACTGCATTACCCTCAATGCTGTGGGGAATCACATGACCTCTGAAGAGATCACACGCTCCTATCAGAGGTCGCACTCACCCGAATACTAAATGTTTGCACCTGTGTTTTCAGCCATATGACTTAGTTAGAGTAGCTTTTAAGCCCGGGCTGTAGTTTAGCTCTTTGCGAGGTATTGCTTCCTCCAGAACATACTGAGCGTTTCTCCCGAGTGTTATTTGCTGTACGTTTTTGACCTTTGTTTCGTTATTTGACTTTGCCTTTTGCCTTAGCCCTTTTGTACTGTTGCCTGTCTTTACTGATCTGTGTTTTTGGACCTTTGCCTGTTTTTTGGACTTAGGGTTAGGGTTGTTTTTGCCTTGCCCTTTTTGACTTTGTCTGTTCGGTGATATTATCACCGCTTTGTTTTGTCTTTTGGATTTGACCCACGCCTGCCTTTTTGACCACGCATCTGCCTAGCCCTATTAAAACGCCTATAGTCCTTTTAATCCGCGAGCGTCTGGTTTCTGACGAACTGTTACACTTAACTTCTGTTTTAATCGTCTGTTTCTATTGTTTTGTGCAGTGACCGGCAGCACAGCTCACTATAACCAGCATAATGACGCTAAACTTATCTACACTGAAAACGGCGCTTTGACTTGAGAGGTTTTTTCTAAACAGTGCTTTTTAAGAACTCAGACGCTGCAGACTCGATCTCCACCGTCCCTCTGATGACCTTCGAGTGTTAATGTTCATGCTGATGATGAAATATTACAGTGATGGTGGTGAATAATGAGGAGACGGAGCTGAACGTGTGTCTGTTTATTAGGAGGAGTAACGTTAGCGCGCTCGGCTAAAGCGTTTGGGAAATGAAACTGAAACCGACAAACAGCTCGAAGAGCTGAAACAATATAATTAATTCTCAGTTTATCGCGCTTTAGTTTTATTTGGCCTCGTTTACCTCAGTAACGGTAGCTAACGTTAGCTGTCTGACTAACTAGCTTGATAACGTGTTTACGTTTCAGCTGTGCCTGTACGGTCGGTTGCTAGGTAACAGACATGACAGTTGATTGTCGACTTCAGTCGAGTAAGTTAAGATTTCCTAACTTTGGATAAGAAAAGATGCTGAAAGATCAGTTAAGATTCCTAAATTAAGATCAGATTTGCTTCTGTAATACGAATTTGTGAAAAATCTTATCTTGACCTGTCAGATCGTAAGTTAAGCCAAAAAGATAGGAAGTTTCTGTAATACGGCTCCAGGTGCTTAGAGCATTTTGTTAGAACCTTTTCTTAGCGATGATAGACCTTACGGTGAAAACTGCTGTTATCAACTGGATGCTTCTCAACCAATCAGACTGTGTGTTTGGAATTAACTGTGGTATAAAAAAATACTACTCCAAGAGGCCGAGTTACCTGTGGGACGCTAAAAAACGTTTTTAGATCCAGAAGGTCCACAGGCAGACTGCAGTCCTCCACTCTCACCAGAGTTTTCTCATACAGCTCCTGTGGAGAGAAAGTGAGCACTGCAGTCATAACCAGAGATGAAGTGATGCTGATGGATATATCTAGTCTTTTGCAGTGAGTGCGTTTACATGCACTCAATAATGCGATCATAATTGGATTTCTGCAGTAAATGGTCATGTAAACGCCATACTTCGATCTAGAAATGCAATTAAGAAATCTGATAAAGAGGCTGGATTTTAGCTCAGTAATCAGATTTCTCAGTGCATATAAACTCTTACTCTGATTTCTTTCGGATTCTCAGTCTGCGCATGTGTGGAATAGACTGCTGTACCGGACATAAGCAAGCAGTGTTGCCGCTGGACACAGCAAAACACTTTTGGAGCGACACTGAAACCAAATACATTATTGAATGAAGGATTTAAATATTCTTCATCTTCTAGATGACGTATGTTCATATTTTCAGGTAAAGTGGTGCAAAGTTTTTTAAAAAGTTGTGACATGGGCTCCCGAGTGGCACAACCGTCTAAGCGTTGGCCCTGTCATCAGGAGATTGCGAGTTCGATCCCTGGTGATGCTACAGCCGTCCGTAGCCGGGAGTCCGAGAGAGCACAATTGGCCTCGCTCTCTCAGGGTGGGTAGGATGGCCCCTCCTTCTCCCCCCATCACTCAGCGCGATGCTAGTCAGCGCAGGCGTCTGTTAGCTGACGTAACAGATCTGGCGGTTGGCGCTTTCCTCCGAGCGCGTTCGGCTGTCCAGTGACGTTGCGTGAGCGGCAGTTCGAAAAGAAGCGGTGGTTGGCTTCACAGGTCTCGGAGGAAGCCTGTGTTAGCCTTCACCCTCCTAGCGTTGATAGCATTGTGTGATTGGGGGAGTCCTAACTAGCGGGTGGAATTGGAGACGATTAAATTGGGGAGAAAATCGGGTAAAAATTTCAAAAGTTGTGACATGAAGTTTGAGGTTTACATTATGTTTACGTCACGTCTTCTTCTGTGAGTTTATTGGCTGGTTGCAAAGCAGAAATCTGATTACTGCCTGACTCATGTAGACCTGGAGTTTCCACATCATCTGATTACTCAAGTGCACATAAACACGTTGATCAGATTACTGACAAAATCTGATTTTCTGCAGTTATCAGATTATTAAGTGCATGTAAACACACTCAGTGTTTTAATTACTATGTTCTTACCAGTCCTTTCTGTACCCGTGATTCTTCAGTTCTGTAATAGACAAAGACAGAAAAACATGAAAATAAAGAGAATTAAAATCAAATAAAGAGTAAAAATCAATTATGCTGAGCATTTGTAGTTAGAAAGTGTGTACATACAAGAAAGTGCAAGGCAGCTCTACAAAATACATATTCAGTGCTTGAACTGAGGGCGGATGAAAGGGTTGCCATCTCCTCAGACAAAAAATGACAAATACTATCCACCTTGTAAAACCTCCTCTCCATCTGGGGCTGGACAATATGACAAAGCTGATATTGTTATTGTGATAAATTACGTAATTAAATAAATTTATAAATCAATCTGCTTCTTTAACATATCGTGGTTATGCAGAATTGCATGCTTCACTTTTCATTGGTGATGCTGTGGACTTTTGGTACAGGGTGCACAGCGGCCATCTGTGGTTATCCTACTAATTTGGGCTAGTCTGAAAATGCAGTCGTGGCAATCTGTATTTCGTACACTCCTTTTAGGGTTCTTCAGTAAAGAAAATGGTTCCATAAAAAACCATGAACACTCGAAGACCACTTTGCATGATTACAGTGTTCGTTGCATCACGGAAGGAGTTCTTCAGATTGATGGAGAATGTGCTGTAGATGGTTCTGTACAGAACCTTTTTGAAAATGGTTCTGTATAGCACCCAAAAGGGTTCTACAAACTTGTAACAACAGAACAATCATTTTGGGTGCCATATAGAACCATTTTCAAAAAGTTTCTGTATAGAACCATCTACAGCACATTCTCCATCAATCTGAAGAACTCCTTCCGTGATGCAGTGAACACTTTAATCATGCAAAGGGTTCTTCGAGTGTTCATGGTTCTTTTTATTTACTAAAGAACCCTTGAAGAACCATCTTTTTAAGAGTGCGGTTATTATTTTGTAGTTAAATGAAAAGAAAAAATGATCTCACAGGCAGTTCTGTCAGCTGCATCTCCAGAGTGTGAATGGCTGCAATGTTGCTAACATTATGGTGTTGCTGTGGAGTTTTGTTAAGGGGAATTATAAAATAAATAGTTCCGGTCCTAAAATCTGATTTGCTGCGTTCGAAGCCGTTGAAAATCCACGATATACACGCACCTATGACCACCTCACAATGACTGAACTCTATCACTGCATCATGGTGTGAAAAACCCTTCTGCTGTTCATGGATTAATCTTTGACTCTAAGTAGTGCACTATGTAGGGAGCAGGGAGCCATTTGAGATTCAGCCCCAGTGTGAGAAGAGGGCGCCGCTGGATTGATGCTAAATAAGACTCGCGGTGATAATCTGCTGACCAAAACTGGCTGGCCACTTATAAAAGTGAAGGTTTTTGCATTAAACAGTGCTGTGTTATCACATGTTTATTATTATTAGAAGACAAAAAGTTTAAAAATTCATTAAATGACTGCAAAATACAGCGATGGGCGGCCGAACTTTCTTCTCCTCATTCAGCGGCCCATAAAACCGTACTGTAAAAGAACTACATTTCTTGGCGGAACACTTGGTTAGGTCGACTTCTATTAATAATAACTCAAATTACTTTTTGGAACAATTGTGTATTTTATCATATGTTATGTTACGTTTTATAAAAGCAATACTGTGTGTTACATTGATTTTATCACAGGGAGGGGAGTTTTAGGCTGAGAACCCCCTTCCTGTGATAAAATCCCAGTAACCCACAGCCTCTCGCGGCTTACTGCTTTATTAAATGCTGATTAAAGAACCAGCATGTTGAGAGGTACTAACAGCGTTACATACAGTGAGCAGCACTGAGTGGTTTTCTTGAGGATGAATAAAAATTTCAATAAAAACGTAAATGAAAACAAAAACAAAGTGCAAGAAAAGTAAGATACAAGAATAAAACTGTATGAATTAAATGATAACTATAATGTCGATAAACAGACAGTATGAATTAAATGATAACTATAATGTCGATAAACAAACAGTATGAATTAAATGATAACTATAATGTCGATAAACAGACAGTATGAATTAAATGATAACTACAATGTCGATAAACAGACAGTATGAATTAAATGATAACTACAATGTCGATAAACAGACAGTATGAATTAAATGATAACTATAATGTCGATAAACAAACAGTATGAATTAAATGATAACTACAATGTCGATAAACAGACAATATGAATTAAATGATAACTATAATGTCGATAAACAGACAGTATGAATTAAATGATAACTATAATGTCGATAAACAGACAGTATGAATTAAATGATAACTATAATGTCGATAAACAGACAGTATGAATTAAATGATAGCTATAATGTCGATAAACAGACAGTATGAATTAAATGATAACTATAATGTTGATAAACAAAATAAAATGAATAATTTTCTGAAGGCGTCATAATTAAAACAGTCTAAAAAGATGATGGTTTAAGCTTCAGCTCAGTGTCTGAACTGTGGACATTAACGGGTAAATTGTTCCACATACCTGCTCAGCAACAGCTCAACATATTCCATGTTGCACTGAAGGAGAAAAATCGGGCTGGAAAACGACACAAAGCATGATTAAAAGATTAATACACAAAATAATCCTGTGTCCTGTAATTCTTAGAAATCTTGTAGCTGTTCACCTCAGGACTGCAGGGAAGATGTCCATGGCAATGTGCTTCACAAAGAGTAAATGGGCCAAACAGGCCAAAGACTCCTTAGGATATCTAACCTCCTCCTCCAGAAAGCCGGGCACTTCTCTCTTCCGCAGCATGTTGTGGCACAGCAAGTCGGGCAGGGACTCACCGATGCTGGACAGGATGACCTACAGACAGAGAAAATTCAACGTTTAAAAGGTAAGAAGGTTAACGTTTCGTCTGAAGTCTTAAATGTTTGGTTTAGAGTCTTAAAGTTCCACCAATCTTCCAAAACATTCTGCATAATTCAGTGATTAAGACGTAAACAAATGAATTCAGAGTGAAATGGTTCATCGTAGGGTTCATCGTAGGTTTCTTTACAGTGGTGGTGATAGGAACCAGGGGTCGCCATGGCTACAACACAAATGTTGCCATTTTTTTTTTCTATCCAAATCCACCAATGAACTACTTCTGAGCTTTATATGGAATATTGATCATTTTACAATTGAAAAAACTAGAAATGGAAAGTTTCTTGAGAAATCCAGCTAATTACTGTAAACTGTTAAAACGGTAGAAGATTGTTGATGGTTGCTAAAGTGTTGTTTAAATGTTGCTATGCGGTTGCTATGGTACTCAAGGTGGTGGTACGGTGTCCCAGGTTGCTGCTAAGGTGAGTCCTATGCTATTAAATACACTGGAATCTTAAGTCCACTGCCACCTTAAATGTGTTTATACCTTACATCCCACCACCTTAAATTCATAGCTACCTTAAATCCACTGCCACCTTTAATTGACTGCCAGCTTAAATCCACTGCTACACTAAATCCAGTGCCACCTTAAATCTAGTGCTACCTTAAGTCTCCTGCTAACTTTAATGCACTGCCACCTTAAATTTACTGATATCTTAAATTCACTTCCACCTTCGACTTACTGATATCTTAAATCCCCTGCTACCTTAAATACACTGCTACCTTAAAACCACTGCTCCCTTAATGCCACTAATATCTTAAATCCAATGCCCCCTTAAATTTGTTGCTACTTTAAAACCACTGCTCCCTTAAATGCACTGCCACCTTAAATTCACTGCTCGAAAACTGCGGGACAAGAAACATTTTATTTTTTGAGCATAGAATGATAATAATAATAATAAGATTACGAAGTACAGTAAATTGGCTCTTTCAAGCCAACTTAAAAAAAAAAAGTTTTCTTTGGGAACTATTTTACCTCACAACGCCCTGCATGTATCCCTCCACCATGAATGTATTTAAAAAAAATATATATGTCTTCGGCTAAAATCTTCTCAAAACTATCGTAAAACAGTGTCTCAGTCATCAGGCAGTGAATTCATAACCATTTCATGTAGTAACTTTCTGTGAGGGAGCTTTTAGAGGTGGACGTCTGGTTCCTATCATCACCACTGTGAACAACTCTGACTCTGCAAGTTCCTCTAAAACAACACATTTCACGCCAAACCACTCTGAATGACTTGTTTTATACCCTAACCATTTAATTATGTGGAAATTTTGATAAATCTGCAAGACTGCCCTTTAAGTCACGTCTAATAAACTTGCTTATTTGGTTGTGTATGACATATTGTTATCTATAAAAATGGATTAAGCATGCCACAAAGCTCACAACAACGCTTTAGTCTACACTTCAAGATAACAGGATGTCATATAGTGTCAGAAATCATCATTAGGCAAACTTGACTGAAGAAAAATGGGTTTTACCAGGATTTCTGTGGCGAAGTCTCTGAGAGGGGATTGCTCTAATGTGTCTGGATCCTTCAGCTGCACCTCCAGAAGAGGCTCACTTAAACTCCTCATACAGCTAGAAACACAGCAAAACCATGTGAGTGCTCTCCATTAACTCTCATCAATTCTATTCTCATTTACTCATTTATTTTTTTATAAGACATGAATTCTGATTAACTGTAAGGAATGTAGCATGAACTAATCTGTTAGAGCACATGTTCTCAATCCTGGTCCTGGATGGAGGGGTGCTGTTATTGTCTTAACTTTTAATCCAGGCTGTCTCCAGGAATTTGCTTCATCCTGAACCAGCCAATCAAATCCCATCTCCTCTGAGAAAGTATTGCAGGGCTGTAGGCTCCCACATCGACTCAGGAAGACTTTATTAATTAGATCTAGTTTGCCTGAGCAGGTAAAACACCAAAATGCACAAGTCCAGTGTTTCTCCAGGATGAGGATTGAGAACTTGTGCATTAGCATATGTGGAACCTACAATTTCAGTATTTCCCCTTTTAGCTCATCGTCCCTGGAGATGCTGCGACTGTGTTTAACGTTCTCCTTGACCTCCTCCACGAATGGCCTGATGAAGTCTAGCAACGCAGTACAGCAACGACACAAACCAAACACATCGTCTTCCTCCTGCTCTTTACTCAGGGGCACCGGCAGCTGGACTACCTGGCCGAGGAGGGTGGACAGAGCCATGCCCACCGAGGAGGGCTTCTTCTTTCCCAGCTTCAGCAACACTGTAAATAAGAGACACAAAATCGGTGGAATTTAACACTGCAGGCTTATTATTCAGTTATTCGTCTTAAACTTATTGTTCAATATACAATTACAATTATTTAATAACAACCATGAAATATTCACTACCTACTATGATTTATTCAGTATCTACTATGAATTATTCAATAACTACTATGAATTATTCAGTAACTACTGAGTTATTTAGTATCTACTATGAATTATTCAGTAACTACTATGAATTATTCAGTATCTACTATGAATTATTCAGTATCTACCATGAATTATTCAGTATCTACTATGAATTATTCAATAACTACTATGAATTATTCAGTATCTATTATGAATTATTCAGTAACTATTATGAGTTATTTAGTATCTACTATGAATTATTCAGTAACTACTATGAATTATTCAGTATCTACTATGAATTATTCAGTAACTATTATGAGTTATTCAGTAACTACTATGAATTATTCAGTATCTACTATGAATTATTCAGTATCTACTATGAATTATTCAATAACTACTATGAATTATTCAGTATCTATTATGAATTATTCAGTAACTATTATGAGTTATTCAGTATCTACTATGAATTATTCAGTAACTACTATGAATTATTCAGGATCTACTATGAATTATTCAGTACCTATTATGAGTTATTCAGTAACTACTATGAATTATTCAGTATCTACTATGAATTATTCAGTATCTACTATGAATTATTCAATAACTACTATGAATTATTCAGTATCTACTATGAATTATTCAGTAACTATTATGAGTTATTCAGTAACTACTATGAATTATTCAGTATCTACTATGAATTACTATGAATTATTCAGTATCTACTATTAATTATTCAGTAACTACTATGAATTATTCAGTAACTATTATGAATTATTCAGTATCTACTATGAATTATTCAGTAACTACTATTATCAGCATATAAACTGCTTTTATGTGCATCATGTAAAGAAAAGAACCTACACCAGCAGGAGCTCATGAGTGCCTATGTTTGCAGTAACAACTTTCGAAACGAGGGGCAACATAGTTTATCACCAAAACACTGAGTTGCTCATTATTATGGTAGTTAATAGGTGATTTTCACTAAAGATTTTAATGAATATCAGTTGACGTAAAAGCCTGTTAGCTAAAGCGTGCACAGAAAGTACACCGATCAGGCATAACATTATGACCACCTCCTTGTTTCTGTGCTCATTGTCCATTTTATCAGCTCCACTTACTATATAGGTGCACTTTGTAGTTCTACAGTTACAGACTGTGAGTGGATCAGACACAGCAGTGCTGCTGGAGTTTTTAAACACCTCAGTGTCACTGCTGGACTAAGAATAGTCCACCAACCAAAAATATCCAGGCAACAGCATCCTGTGACCACTGATGAAGGACTAGAGGATGACCAACACAAACTGTGCAGCAGCAGATGAGCTATCGCCTCTGACTTTACATCTACAAGGTGGACCGGCAAGGTAGGAGTGTCTAATAGAGTGGACAGTGAGTGGACACAGTGTTTAAAAACTCCAGCAGCACTGCTGTGTCTGATCCACTCAGACCAGCGCAACACACACTAACACACCACCACCACGTCAGTGTCACTGCAGTGCTGAGAATGATCCACCACCCAAATAGTACCTGCTCTGTGAGGGTCCATGGGGGTCCTGACCACTGAAGAACAGGGTAAAAGGGGGCTAACAAAGTATGCAGAGAAACAGATGGACTACAGTCTGTAACTGTAGAACTACAAAGTGCACCTATATAGTAAGTGGAGCTGATAAAATGGACAATGAGCGTAGAAACAAGGAGGTGGTCATAATGTTAGGCCTGATCGGTGTAGGTCTGCAGCTTACCATGGGTCAGGGTTGGTGACCCCTGTTGTAAAAAGAGTGTAATTTTAACCAGTCGTCTAGATTCGGATGGCTGTTCCTGTGCAAAGTTTCCAGGAAACTCTCCTATGATTGCTGATTTGAATACATCCAGACCTGAAAAGACAGAGAAGGTGATGTTTACCTGTCTGTAAGGGCTTCAGCAGAAGGATGATGGTCTCAGCAATGGCATCAGAGTCTGCTTCTTCCACCTGCTCCAGCAGGCCCACCACGAGCTCTTTAGGGCTGCAGACCTGATATACAAATACATCAGAGAGAGTGAACATCACACAAGATCAGTGATCAGGCTGAGAGGGTCTCTTTAAAAAGGAACTCTGGTACAGAGTGATTACTGACTACCTGTTAAAGATGTAATCTGTGACATAATCCAAAGAGGTAACGATTTCTGGAGGATTATTTGTCTTTTTAAAGCCATAAAATTCAATAAAGAGAATTTCAGGCAATGTAACACAAGACAGATAAGAAAACTTCACTGCATTATGAAACAAAGTTATATTTTATAGGTGACACAACTGTCTGTGCTTTGTGTGTCCTATGTCCATTTGGCAATCTTAATTTATATTCACATTTTGCAGGTGTTAAGCAGGTATTCAAATAAGGCATGTGTAGTTTTTATTATCTTGTTTTTTTTAGCAAGTGTGTAAAGCAGAACTGCAGCGAATGTGGAGACATAAGAGCTGATGATGTTTCACACGAACAGTCACTAATGTCACGTTTATTGAAACTGCCACATCTACCGAAGCAGAGCAACATATCGCTGCTGTCAGAAGAAAACCTCGTATCTCCAAAACGGTAACTTTACAGGAGAAGGAAAAAACCTACTTTACTTTTAATGTAAGTCAATGGAACCAGATTTTTTTCCAAGTCATTTTGGGTCGTTTCTTTTGGTCCATTCTTCACGAAATGTACACACAATGTAAAGAGCAACAGGCATTTTCAAAATATGTTAAAAACTGAAAAATGAAAAAAATGAAGATACAATGTTTTCTTCCGACAACAGCGATATGGAAAGTCTAAGGCTACGTTTACATTACCAGGCTAAAGTGGCACAAATCTGATCTCTTCAAATCCAACCTGAGACACTTTCATATGTGGTCCTAGATCGGATACGTATCCGATTCGTGGCCGTGGGACATTAATGTGACGCTCAGATCGGAATTCATGTGCTTTTTTTCCACTGCGTGTGCGCCATCATTCAGCGTTACCATGGCAGCAGTGCCGAACAGAAGTTAAAGCCTGTAAACGGTCTTCAAAGCTCAGGACTGGCTTTCTCTCTAAACTATCTCTAACTAGCAAAGATGCTTTCTCTGGATAGACAACAAAGCACTTTTTGTAAATCGCTCTGGCTGGGAGCATCTGCTAAACGCTGTAAATGTAAAATGTAAATGTTTAACCACACATTGCGTGCAATTACACCTTTTCACCATAGAGGTCTCCAAATCCCCAAATCTTACACAGTGTGGCTTTATGTTACAATGTTTTCTAAAAGCTGCAACACACAAAGTAAACAAAATGTTATTTGAATGTTTTACAAGCTTCAAATGTCCATATTTAGGCCACAGCTGCCTTAATTAAAGCCAACACGGGAAAATGAATATACACCACCATTAGCCTGGCACTAACATAGCAAGCCCCATAGAGATGCCAGCAGACATGAGCATTATGGTAATGGCAATATCATCAGGAGTGCTACACAGTGGTTTTAATGTAATCCTGCTAGTAAACATCATTTTTTTTACTGTATCTGTAATCTACTCACTTTATTTCCTTTTTTTGTATCCTGATTACGTAACGGCTTTACATGTACGTCCGGAGCTACTCTGCAAGTGAAGAAAAGCTGATCTCCATTGAAAATGCTCCAAAACAAACCTCTATTAAGTGTGTGAGGATGGCATGGCAATGCGGAAGGTTCTTGTCTTCCTTCTTCAGCAGAACCTTCACCAGAGGCTCCAACAGGTTCCATCCCATGCATCTCACGATATTCTTTGAATGGAGGAAAAAGAAAGCCTCTTGAATTTGACCTCCGCACTTATTTCACAGACAAGATCACGGAACACATCACAGTTATTACCGTATTTTTCTCATCGATGACAATACTCAGCACTTGAGCACTGTCGCCTTGCTCAATGCAGGTCTTCCCTGCGGACTGGAACAGGTCAAAGTCGACCGGAGAGAAGTTTTCACCCTGGATGGCTTGCTGAGGAGAAGCAGAGTGAAAAAATGAGTTTTGAATAAGAGTCTGAATATGATGAATATGAATACTATGGATGTCGTTTCCACCACTGGAAAAAAAATACATAGCAAGTAGACTTCAGTAAGTCATATTAACGAGAAAATTTGACATAATTATGAATTAATATTGTATAGTTATGATGTGCAATCTCATAATAATCTCATAATTATGGCTTAATATCTCATAATTGACAGTCTCTCATAATTTTGACTTACTATCTCATAATTGTGACAATGTCTGACTATGACTTAGCATTTCATAGTTTTGACTTACTTCATCAGAGTTATGACTTGCAATCTCATAACAATGGCTTATTATCTCAGAGAAATGAATTGCTATGTCATAATTATGACTTGTACTCTCATAATTGTGACTTAGCATCTCCTAATAATGACAATTCTTACTTAATATCACATAATTATGACTTTATCAGAGTTATTGCAATCTCATCATTATGACTTAATATCTCATACTTATGACTTAGTATATCATAAAAAGGATTACTTTGTCATAATTATGACTTATACTCCCATAATTATGACTTAGTATATTATAAAAACGATTACTATGTCATAATTATTACTTATACTCCCATAATTATGACTTACTATCTCATAATTGTGATGTAGAATCTCATAATAATGACAATGTCAAAATTATGACTTAGTATCTCATAATTAGGACTTACTTTGTCACAGTTATGACTTGCAATTTAATAATAATAACTTAGTATCTCAGAGAAATGACTTACTATGCCATAATTATGACTTATACTTCCACAATTATGACTTACTATCTCATTATTCTGGCTTAGCGTCTCATAATAATGACAATTACGACTTAGTACCTCATAATTAAGACTTACTTTCTCAAAGATTCTCTCATTACTATGACCTAACATCTCACATAAATTACTTAGTATCTCAGAGAAACGACTTATTATGCCATAATTATGACTTATACTCCCTTAGCATCTCATAATAATGACAATTACGACTTGGCACCTCATAATTATGACTTACTTTCTCAAAGATTCTCTCATTACTATGACTTAATATCTCATAATTATGACTTACTGTCTCATAATTATGAAAACATTTTAAGTAATTATTATGAGATAGCCAGTCACAATTATGAGTTAGAAAGTCATAATTACGAACCTGAATCTCATAATTATGAGTCACTAAGTCCTAATTATGGAAAACATCCTCATTATTTTGACTCGCACTACAGTGTATATAGTGATATATATTTTTCTCCAGTGTGTGAAACGGGCTTCCATACGAATCCCGCTGAGCTCCATTCAGCCTTACACATCTCTGGACGACATCACTGAACTGCTCTAGAGCCATTTTCACCGCATTCTCCTCTTCTTTCACACAGACCGCCTGCAGTGATGAGAACACGCTCAGTAACGCCGGATGTGCTTCATCACGCCAAAGAAATGAGCCGAAATTCCACTAAATCAGTCCGAAATGTGTGAAATAAGCAGCATCACTCACCAGCTTTACGTCCACTACAGCATCTGCAGCCCAGTCCCTGCACCGCGCTGCCCTTTTACACCACTTTACGCTCTTATTCCTTTATTTAAACTGAATTTAAGACTTTGTGACTCACTTGTTTTCCAATGCAGCCAGTTCATCTGCTAACTTAGCTGGCTGCGCAGCAAAATGGTCAGAAGAGTTTGCGCAAAAAACAGTAACCCTCCCTCGCAGAAGCTTTTCTGAGCAACGAAAAATAAATACAGAAATACAGAGAGAGCTTACTTTGATTCAAAAGCCACTCAAAAGCTGAAAAAAATAGGACCAGCTTCAGTGTCGGCGGGTTAGCTAGCTACACGCCTCCTGACGTGAAAGACAGCGCGGTTTGGACCACGCTTGTTGCTTCGCGGTTGCCGTAGAGCTGTGACGGAATCATGGCTCTGTCCCAAATCGAGCCCTAGATCCATACATAGTAAACAATTCTCTCCTCTGCTTAAAAAGGGACCGATTTTTCAGAACGACTGAATGATTCAGCGGCTGAGATGTAAACAGAGTCATTCAGAGTGGTTTGGTGTGAAACGCTCTGTTTTTGAGAAACTTACCGAGTCAGAGTTGTTCACAGTGGCGGTGATAGGAACCAGACGTCCACCTCTAAAAGCTCCCTCACAGAAAGTTACTGAAATGGTTGATAATCACGCTGCCTGATGACTGAGACACTGTTTTACGATAAAGTTTTGCCTTAAAAAGTATTTTAATCCGTTTATTTTGATCTGCTTGAGGTGGAGGGATACATGTAGGGTGTTGTGAGGCAAAATAGTCCTAAAAGAAAGCTTGTTTTTTCAGATTTATCACTATTTTGCCATCATCATCATTCCATATAAAACTCAGAAGACACGTGTAGGTTCACTGGTGGTTTTGGATTGTAAATAAAATGGCTATATTTGTGGCGACCCCTGGTTCCTATCGCCACCACTGTAAAAACATCTGAACCATTTCACACCAAACCACTCTGAATGACTGTTCATATCATAAGGATTTATTAGGAATTATTCAGAAATTTTGAAAAATGGGTGGAATTCCCCTTTAAGACACATGCTAATTTACATAAGCAATTTAAAAAAAAGCATAGGACACAGAAAACGGACAGCATATCACATATTTGAGCCCAAGCAAACAGCTATATTTAATATAGTTTAAAAAAGTATCAGTACTAGTGAACCACATAAGATACGTTCTACAAAAAGCACCCAGTTAGCTCACTACTTAGGCAACGAGGCGTGTATTTGGGACGCGGCCAGCGCGATTTGTTTTGAAGGCAGAAAGCATGGACGCCGGTGAGAGGAGGAATGTTCGTTCTTCTAAAACCAACAAGAAAGGCAAGACAGAGCTTTTTAAATCTGAAAATGAGTTCATTTATGTGTGACTTCAGCCTAAATGACACGTTTTGGCTAGATACTGTACAGCCAGCTAACCTAGGTTAGCCTTGTTAGCTAAACTGAACTCTGCTGACTTTCACTCTCAGCAGGTCTGAGCTGATATATGACTACCTTAAGGCTTTCTGTCCAAGTTAGTGTTCTTTGAGATGTAATAACAGTTTAAGACCTTTTCATGTGTGTTGCAGGTGGGAAAGGACCTCAGGTGAGGTCAGCTGCGGAGGAAGCCAAGAGGTCAGACTTTCACTTGATTGGAGTCATTCCCAATGAAACACGTCCATAGTAACACTACAGGATTCTTATAAGAGTCACACAGTTAAAGGGGAATTCCGTCCATTTTTCAAAATTTCCGAATAATTCAGTCGTTGAGATGTGAACAGAGTCATTCAGAGTGGTTTGGTGTGAAATGGTTGAGTGTACATTTACGGCATTTGGCAGACGCTCTGTGGTCATCATTTCACACAGATAGGTGAAGGTAGTGTTGGGAGTCTTGCCCAAGGACTCTTATTGGTATAGTGTAAGGTGCTTACCCAGCCAGGGAATTGAACCCCAGTCTACAGTGTGGAGGACAGAGACGTTACCCACTACACTATACCAACCACCATCGTAGAGACTCGTTTCTTAACAGTGGTGGTGATAGGAACCAGGGGTCACTGTGACACACAACACAAATGTTGCCGTTTTATTTGCTATCCAAAACCACCAGTGACCCTACACGTGTCTTCTGAGCTTTTATATGCAATGTTGATGATGGTAAAATAGGCATAAATCTAAAAATATAGGTTTTCCTTTAGGGACTATTTTGTCCCTATCCTGCATGTACCCCACCTCCATGAGTGGATTAAATTAAGGCAGTGAATTCATAACTAACACATGTAATAACTTTGTGTGAGGGAGCTTTCAGAGGTGGACATCTGGTTCCTATCAACACCACTGTGAACAGTTCTGACTCGGTAAGTTTCTCTAGAACAGAGCGTTTCACACCAAACCACACTGAACGACTATGTTTACATCTCAAGGACTAAATTATTCAGAAATGTTGAAAAAGGGGTGGAATTTCTTAATTTATGTAGAATTTATTGCAAAATCACTGGAGTTCTTCTTAAATTCAGTATTAGTTTACTGCAGAATACTATACAAGTATTATAGATTGCTGTAATACATGACTGTAGAAATGCGTATCGTAGATTATTATAAAAGTATTAGACTGCAGTATAGAAATGTTATGGTTCTGATAGTATCAATATCTTTTTTGTAAGAGGTAGGGCCAGTGTTCCAGACCTAGATTAGGCCTAAACCTGGACTAATAAAAGATTTTCAGTGGTGATTCATCACTGCAGTGAATTTTGGTCCAATGCCAGGCTTAATTTATGTCATTCTGGCCCAACACTATATGTAAATTAGATGTCTTGCTCATAATCTTGTTAACAGGTTTGTTTTTTATGGTTTTCAATTTGAAAGTCCCAGTTTTTACCTTTAACTCTTGCAGGCAAAACCGTAGGTAACTTCTAGACTTCATAACTTCAGTTTAAGCTACAGACATGATCCACATATCAGGACATTCAGCAGACCCGCCCCTAACTAGTTAGCATCATGTCATCATCAGTGAGTAATTTGGCTTGGAAAATCACCCAAAATATTATTGCTCAGCTTTTTGGCCTTCATATTCCAACAAAGAGTTAAAACAGTGACATGATTCACACATCAGATCACTCATCAGACTCTGACCTCACCATCCAGAGTGATTTCATCCAGCTGTGACCGTCCATCAGCCAGAGATCCAGCTCCAAAATCACCCAAACCCCACTCACTACTGTTATATTACATCTCTGCTTTTAGCCTTCATATTATAAACAAAGGGTTAAAAATAGACATGATTCACACATCAGAGCACTCAGAAGAACCTGCCATCACTAACCAGAGTGAGAGAAACCAGCTCTAATATCCCACAGCCCAGAAATACAGCACAAACACACAGCCAGATCACTGTAAAACCTGCTGTTAGGTCTCTGCTTTAGCCTTCATATGGCAGCAGAAGGGTGTAAATGTTTTTTTTTTTATATAAGTTTTATAGTATATTTTGTAGTGCATGTCTACTTGACCTGCATACATAGACATTCATATCTGCATATGTACAGATACCAACACATCTCATATGTATTTATGAAGAGGTGTATTACAACACACCTCTATATTCTATTTATTGCATTTTATTTTACCTTTCCTTTCATTTAATACTTGTTAACAGTTTGTTTGCTTGTCTGGTCAGTTTAGTATGTTACATGACATACATGTGTGACTCACCAGGACAAACTCCTTGTATGTGTAACATACTTGATGAAATAAAGTGATTCTGATTCTGATCCCTTCATTTACAGGCGGGAGGTTTTGAAGGAGGCGCTGAGGGAGAAGTTGGAGTTGGAGCAGAGGGCTCTTCAGGTGGTGGAGAGACTCCTGGACGATAGTGTGACGGAGGAGTTTCTTATTGACTGTGTGAGCATGCAGACTCATTTTACCCAACACATTAGTCAGAGAAGCCCAGACCAGCCACAGTTTTCCTCTGTCACAGCTCCTAAACTAGGGCTGGGCAATACGACGATATTTTATCATTATCGTGATACGTAAGGTCACAATACACTCTTCGGAGAATATCATGGATATCTTGAGTACTTAAAAATTTACAAATTTTAGAGGTTGACATGTAAACAGGGTCATTCAGAGTGGTTTGGTGTGAAATGGTTGATTGTAGAGACTCAGATTTCTTTACAGTGGTGGTGATAGGAACCAGGGGTCACCACAGTGTGACAGCACAGTTATAGGCATTTTATTCACTGTCCCAACCACCAGTGAACCGACACGAGTCGTCTGAGCTTTTATATGAAATGTTGATGATAAAATAGTGATAAATCTGCATAGTACAGACCTCCTATCTTGTCTGAGGCATCAGGCAGCATATTTGTTACTATCGTATATAATAACTTTCTGTGCTGGAGCTTTTAGAGACATTACACCCTTCACTCATCTGATTCTGTTCAGCACCGCTGAGAGCATCTGTTTTTTGGCTGTGAGCACACTGACCAATCAGAGCTCCAGAAGAGTTTCTGTTGGTGTTTGAATGAATGAAGATATTCATACACCGATCAGGCATAACATCATGACCACCTCCTTGTTTCTACACTCATTGTCCATTTTATCAGCTCCACTTACTATATAGGTGCACTTTGTAGTTCTACAGTTACAGACTGTAGTCCATCTGTTTCTCTGCATACTTTGTTAGCCCCCTTTTACCCTGTTCTTCAGTGGTCAGGACCCCCATGGACCCTCACAGAGCAGGTACTATTTGGGCACTATCAGCACTGCAGTAACACTGCCGTGGTGGTGGTGTGTTAGTGTGTGTTGTGCTGGTCTGAGTGGATCAGACACAGCAGTGCTGCTGGAGTTATTAAACACCTCAGTGTTGCTGCTGGACTGAGAATAGTCCACCAACCAAAAATATCCAGCCAACAGCGTCCTGTGGGCAGCATCCTGTGAAAACTGATGAAGGACCAGAGGATGACCAATACAACAAACTGTGCAGCAGCAGATGAGCTATCGTCTCTGACTTTACATCTACAAGGTGGACCAACAATGCAGGAGTGTCTAATAGAGTGGACAGTGAGTGGATACAGTGTTTAATAACTCCAGCAGCACTGCTGTGTCTGATCCACTCAGACCAGCACAACACACACTAACACACCACCACCACGTCAGTGTTACTGCAGTGCTGAGAATGATCCACCACCCAAATAGTACCTGCTCTGTGAGGGTCCATGGGGGTCCTGACCACTGAAGAACAGGGTAAAAGGGGGCTAACAAAGTATCAGAGAAACAGATGGACTACAGTCTGTAACTGTAGAACTACAAAGTGCTCCTATATAGTAAGTGGAGCTGATAAAATGGACAATGAGCGCAGAAACAAGGAGGTGGTCATAATGTTACACCTGATTGTTGTATAACCGAATAAAAGTCAGTTTTGTTTCCTTTATCCATGTCTCTATACTGGCTGGCCAATGTCTTAATATATAACACATCGTGATATAATTTGAGTGCTGGTGTTTTGTTTATATTGTTCATCTATAATTTGTTTTTGTGCCACTGTTGTGTATAAATCTGTTTCAGGCGCGAATGATCACCCCAGCCAACTACAAAGATGCAGTGGAAGAGCGCTCTATAGTGAAGATGTGTGGATATCCTGTTTGTCCGAACAAGCTGACCAATGTAAGAAGCTTCTTCACATTTTCACAAAATGACTGAAGCACTTGGGGCTCGGCGATATTGATCAAATTTAGTCTTGTGATATTTTCCAAGTATAACGAACTATTGATGTAAATTGAAATTTCTTCTGATAAAGTTAGTAAGTTAGCATTTATAAAAAATAATGAGATTAGATTAGATTAGATTCAACTTTATCGTCATTGTGCAGAGTACAGGTACAGAGCCAATGAAATGCAGTTAAATGCATCTAACCAGACGTGCAAAATACAGTATTATTTACATATAAAGTGCAGAAGAACGGTATAGTGGTTAAAAAAATCATACTTCCTGCTACTCTACGTTGAAAGAATGTCTTGTAAACCTGATACGGCTTGTTTTGACTGGACTATCTTGTTCTATTTCTCTTAAAATGACACCGAAACAAACCTTACATAGTATTATAAACATTAAACAGAGACAAACCAAATTAAGAAACTACAGTACAGTACGGTGCAAAAGTCAGAACTTCATTTATTTAATTTTCAGTCAGTTGCTTATTAAGAAAAGGAAATAGACTGAAAAGGGACATTTGCCCGAAACTGGATTGGTGTGCCTAAATTTTTAGCTGGGATTATTTGGATCGTGAGAAGCTGAAAATGATAGACCAACTTCTAAGACTGAACTTTGGAGGTGTGTCTGCAGGTTTCTTTGAGAAACTGAAAGTGAGTCTCCTGAAAAGAATGGAAGCTGGAATAAAGGGAGAGAGTGACACAATAAATACCTAGAAAACGCTGTTATATTTAGTTGTTGACACTTTGTTTTCTGCTTCTTTCCTGGCGCTGAAAAATTGGTAAGTTTTGCTTAATGGCTGTTCTGGCTGGAAATTAAATAAGTAAACAGGGGTCTCTGACATTTCACAGTGCTGTCTTTGTCAGTTCTGAATACCATTGAGTAAAGCGCAGAGCATAGAATGAAAATTCTGAACACAAACCTGGTGGCAACAGGAACATCACTATTTTTGGACATTATATAACATACAACATAAGAATTGTCATTATGCATGAAATATAATAAAAAAAACGGGAACACTATATTGTAGTATGTCAGTATCAATCAATCAATCAATTAATCAATCTTTATTTTGACTCCGAAGTACATTGAGGGTGACCCTCTTTTACAGTGTAGCAGAGCAAATTACAAGGGATTGAAAAAGTTTAAATGAAATTTACAAACTAAGACAAATGAAAATCATCAAGACAAAAAGATTTATTTAAAAATAAATACATTTAAAATGATAACAGCTGAAATAGAAAACAGGCATAAAATATCAATAAAATATACAGGGTGATTCAAAAAGATTCATCTGATTTCAAAATGATTTATTTGACTTGTGAATCATCACAGATCAATGCAGTGAACTGTAAACGGTTTAAATGAACATAAAGTTTATTATGTAATTGTACAAGGTCTCAGTATGAACCTCCTCCAGCTGTACAGACAACATCAACACCATAGTCAAACTCATCCCATACTGGATTGAGCATGTCGGGTGTCGCTGCACTCGCGGCTCTTTCAGTGCGATTTCGGAGATCATCCAGTGTTGTGGAACCAACGACGAACGCTCTGAGCTGTTGGAGCTTCACTGCCCACGAAAATCACACTGTACAGTTATGACGGATTCACTCTTATTGAAGTGGAGAACACAGAACGCTTTCTGCTCAGGGGTCTCATCTCCTCTCAGACTGAAGGGAGCCATCTTCCACTGACAGTCAGAAACTGTATGACCCCCTCTTTCAATTAGTATGTGATTGGTTCCTCGGCGCCTCACGGCTGTAAAAATATGACGCTTTGAAATCAGATGAATCTTTTTGAATCACCCTGTATAATGAAAACACAAAATGAAGTAAAAGAACCAACTTAGATAGTAAGCATTAAGAAAACTAAAATTTTAGAACAATTCAATTATTTACTAGAATAAAAGTTGCAATAAAATATAAAAATAAAATGTATTATTATTATTATTATTATTATTTATTTAGTTATTAATAAATAAATAAATAACTAAGAAAAAGGAAAGTTTTAACTCAGCTAAAACAGTTCTGAAGGTGGTTAGAGATTAAAAGTTTAAAATGACTGAGTGGCTCCAGCAAGTGAGGTTTAGAGACTCCTGTCGTGAATTCCAGCTTCCTGCTAAAAGCAGATTTTCCCAGTTCAGTAAAACACAGTATTACAGTTTACTGTCATACACCATAGATCAGCCAGCCCTAAACACTTCTTATTTAATTTACATATAATTGATAGTTATTTGAATGTGACTGTAAGTGTTTTGTTGTAATGAGTGTTATGTTAATGTCTCCTGTGTGTATTTCAGGTTCCAGCTCAACAATATAAAATCTCCACCAAGACCAATAAGGTGTATGACATCACAGAACGTAAGGTACTGAAACATCTAGAGGGAAGAATTATGGTCAAAATATTAACAATAACTGCTCTAGTTTCTCTTATAAAATTACACTTTCTTCTCCATTTCAGTGTTTTTGTAGCAATTTCTGCTACAAAGCCTCAAAATGTTTTGAGGTCCAGATCTCAAAGTCACCACTCTGGCTGAGGAAGGAGGAGAGGTAGTGTGATTTACTTACTCTGTGTTCATAGTAAATACGCTAATGAAGGATTAATGTTGTTGCTGTTGTGAATAAGTGCTCTGCCTTTGTTTCCTATACAGACCTCCAGACATCAAGCTGATGAAGAAGGGAGACGGGTATGTAAACACTCATCTTCTATTTCCAGAAAATAAACACATACATTAGAGCCTAAATACATCAGACCTTTGGCCGATAAAATTTCTTCACAGTTCAGGCGTTGAGATGTGAAATGGTTCATTGTAAAGAAACTTACAGACTCAGATGTCTTTACAGTGGTGGTGATAGGAACCAGGGGTCGCCATGACTACAACGCAAATATAGACGTTTTATTTACTATCCAAAACCACCAGTGAACCTACACGAGTCTTCTGAGTTTTTGTGGAATGTTGATGATGGTAAAACAAACGTTTTATTTGGGGCTATTTTGCCTCACAGCACCCTGCATGTATCCCTCCACTATGCATGGATTTTAAAAAATAAATTTTGGGCAAAAATCTTCTCAAAACTATCATAAAAAATAGGCAGTGAATTCATAACCATTTCATGTAGTAACTTTCTGTGAGGGAGCTTTTAGAGGTGGACGTCTGGTTCCTATCACCACCACTGTGAACAATTCTGACTCTGTAGGTTTCTCAAAAACAGAGTGTTTCACACCAAACCACTCTGAATGACTCTGTTTACATCTCAGCCGTAGAATCATTCCGTCGTTCTGAAAAATCGCTCCCTTTTTAAGCAGAGGAGAGAATTGTTTACTATGTATGGAACTAGCGCTCGATTTGGGACAGAGCCATGATTCCGTCACAGCTCTACGGCAACCGCGAAGCAACAAGCGTGGTCCAAACCGCGCTGTCTTTCACGTCAGGAGGCGTGTAGCTAGCTAACCCGCCGACACTGAAGCTGGTCCTATTTTTTTCAGCTTTTGAGTGGCTTTTGAATCAAAGTAAGCTCTCTCTGTATTTCTGTATTTATTTTTCATTGCTCAGAAAAGCTTCTGCGAGGGAGGGTTACTGTTTTTTGTGCAAACTCTTCTGACCATTTTGCTGGTTCCTGTCACCACCACTGTGAACAGTTCTGACTCGATAAGTTTCTCTAGAACAGAGCATTTCACACCAAACCACTCTGAATGACTCTGTTTACCTTTCAACCATTTAATTAAGCAGAAATTTTTAAAAATCACTGGAATTCCCCTTTAAATGTCCACAGATTTTTCAGTACGTGGCGAGTATCCATCGGTCAAAACACCAGCAAATTTAAGTGGCTTTTTTATGTTGTTTTAAACAATAAACCTTTAACGTGACGCGAATCATAATTTTTTTTTTTTATTATACTGATAAACACAAAACCCATCATGGTTAAAATAATACACACATATAAACTGGATCCCACTGTCACTTTTTGTGTTACTCAAAACATTTTTTAATGAGGAGAAGTGCTGAAGATAAGAAAAATAAGAGCTTATCTAGCACAAACTCACAAACTGCCTATAATTCGAGGAACCTCCACCCTCAGCGCTAAAGTATTCGTATTTTTCCCCAGACGTAGATTATTTGTTTCCCAGACATAGATTAAGGCTAGTCTAGGACTAAAGTGCAGCGTCAGTGGTGAATCGCCATTGGAAATAGTGTTTAGTCTAGGCTTAGGCTTGAAGGGCCCCCGTCCTATTTTATTATTATTTATTTATTTAATTCATTTTTGTATGACCGTTTTCCAACCTCTCTTCATCCCCCTAGAACAAGCTGTTTTTGTAACTGTGCCTTTAAGACTTATATATTTAAATGAGCTCTGTTCTGATTGGCTGTCCTGTACTGTGCCTTGTTCCAAAAGCAGTCTCCGATGAGACACTCCGCGGGAATAGGTGGAGCTTAATTGCTGAAGTCTGTTTGACCCCATAAAATTATATTTTGGTTATTTTGGCCCCTTAAAGCTGCATTATGTAAGCTTTTTTGGTTAAAACTGAAAGAAGTAGCATTTCTGAGTCAGGAGAATAAAATCAGGCTAAAATATGGCTGCTGTGAGTCGACTTTTAACCAGAAATTACTTCTTTATGTATTAACGTCACACACAGAGCCTCAAAAAGAAGGTGCGGCTCGATGTCTAGGTCTTAATGATGTCAAAATCAGCATTATACTGGTCAAGATATGATGACAATAGTGGATAATTCACTCACATCCATGGAAGACGCGTCCTTCACCAAGTTTAGACTGAGTTGTCTTTAAATTTCTTTCAATCATCAGATTAATTTGCTTGAGGAAGGGGTCCTAAGCACAGCCCATGTTATATAATGTTCTTCTGCACGTTCCATGCAGTTACACATTTCCACCAGAGAGGTCTCCAATCCCCAAATCTGACATAGTGCAGCTTTAAAATTGGTATTGCAACCCCAATTCCAAAAAAGTTGGGACACTGTGTAAAATGTAAATACAGAATGCAATGATTTGTAAATCTCATAGACCCATATTTTATTCACAGTAGAACATAGAGCACATATCAGATGGTGAAAGTGAGGCATTTTACTATTTCTTGAAAAACATTAACTCATTTAGAACTTGATGGCAGCAACACATCTCAGAAAAGTTGGGACAGGGCCGTGTCTACCACTGTGTAGCATCACCTCTTCTTTTAACAACAGTCTGTAAACGTCTGGGAAGTGAGGAGATCAATCGCTGGAGTTTTGGGAGAGGAATGTTGTCCCATTCTTGTCTGGTGTAGGTGCTCAACAGTCCTGGGTCTTCTTTGCCAGGTTTTTGTTTCATGATGCGCCAAATGTTTTCTATTGGTGAAAGTGGTTGGGCCCTGTCCCAACTTTTTTGAGATGCATTGCTGCCATCAAGTTCTAAATGAGTTAATATGTTTTTCATGAAATAGTAAAATGCCTCACTTTCACCATCTGATATGTGCTCTATGTTCTACTGTGAATAAAATATGGGTCTATGAGATTTACAAATCATTGCATTCTGTTTATATTTACATTTATTTACATTTTACACAGCATCCCAACTTTTTTGGAATTGGGGTTGTATTACAAGTGACATTTCCATATCAGTAGAGCCCTATCCCCATAGATTTTAGTGTGATCCTATTGCCTCCTCCTTCTTTTCCATATTTAGAGGCAGCTCCGGTTTGGAGGTGAAGCTCACAGATAAACCCGTGAGCGAAGCGGACATTGAGAATCCAGTCTCAGAACCAGCAGAGGTTCATGGAGGCTCCAGCGGTCCGAGCGACAGCAGTGATGTAGAGCAGGACTTTGTGTCCAGCGTGGTGGCCAAAGAGGGGTCGAAAGCTATAGTGCACTGGGGTAAACTGCCCAAACGTGATGGAGGGAGCGAAGAGGAGCAGTTACGTGAAGGACAAATTGTAAAGGATAAACAAGAGCAAAATCTGAAGCCACAAGAAGAAAACCATGATGAAGCCAATAAACCCTCCAGGTGTTCTCCAGAACGCAATGACGTGCATAGCTTCCCATCTGCGCCAGACAGAGATACACCAGTGGAGGAAACTAGGAAGCTTTTGGACCAGTTTGCTCTCTCAGACAGGTCGGTTACACCACAGAACGCTGCTGCTGATGTAACTCCTGAGATTTGTGATGCGAATGCAAACACCAAAGATGCTCCTGACACCAACCTAAACATCTCTCACGTTGGTATGAGTAAGAAGAGTGCTGCTGGACTCAAAAGCCTGCTGAAGAACCACATAAAAGCAAAGACCGAAGCTTCACCGGTCACGCTCAGCCTGCTAGAAAGCCTCAGAGTCACTCTGACGGAGTGGAGAACCGAGGAGACCATGACGTTTCTGCATGGACCTGATTACACTTCACAGACTGAACCCACATCACAGAGTGAGGAAGAAGAGGAGCTGGACGAAGACGATCTTGAGGACGTAGTGGAGAAACCTGCACCCCCCGCAGGACGTCAGGCCAGGCCCACCGCAGCAGCTCCTGATTACGAAACCCTGAGGAAAGAGACCGAGTTGATGGACGTCAGGGTGCAGGAATTCTACAAAGGAGTCTGCGTCCTGCCTGAGGAGCTCACAGCAGATAAAGGCACAGAGGTGAGGTTATATACAGTACTGTGTAAATGTCAGAGACCACCCTTTCTTTATTTAATTTCCAGTCTAAATGGTCATTGAGTACAAGTTAATAGACAAAAAGAAGAACTCTTGCAGATCGGATAAGGAAGCTGCTGTTGAGAAGCAAGAAGTGCAACCAGCTTCTCCCAGCTGTGGAAAAATATCCCTGCAGATTTCTTTGAGAAACTGAAAGTGAGTCTTCTGAAAAGAATGGAAGCTGTAATAAAGGTGAATTGGACACACTGAATACTGAAAAATGAATAACTTGTGCTTAATGGCTATTTTGACTCAGAATTAAATAAATGAAGGGTCTCTGACTTTTACACAGTAATGTCACATTTATGTATTCAGTGTATTTTTTATTTTTTTTTTTTTTAGGAAACTTAGATTTGTAGCAAAATAACCAAGTTGGGGTGAAATTTAAAAGTGTATGATGCATTGAATTATTTCCTAAAGTGTCGTATTATTGTGTGAGTTTACATGCACTCATTAATCTGATCATAATTGGATTTCTGCAGTTATCTGGTTATTCAAGTGGTCATGTGAACAGCTGACTCGGATTTCTTAGATCAGAGTAAGGTCTAGAAATCTGATTAAGAAATCTGATAGAGAGATGGATTTTAGCTCAGTAGTCAGATTTCTCAGTGCATGTGAACTCTTACTCTGATTTCTTTCGGATTTCTCAGTCTGTGCATGTGCGAAAACAGACTGTAGTACCAGAAATAAGCGAGCAGCGTCGCCGCGAGACGCAGCAAAACACTTTTAGAGTGACACTGAAACCAAACACATGCTTGACGGAATGAAGGATTTAAACATTCCTCGTCTTCTAGATGATGTATGTTCATATTTTCAGGAAAAGCTTATTGGCTGGTTGTAAAGCAGGTTATAAAGCAGAAATCTGATTACTGTGTGACTCATGTAGACCTGGAGTTTCCCCATTGTCTGATTACTCAAGTGCATGTAAATGCGTTGATCAGATTGCTGACAAAGGTGATTTTCTGCCGGTATTTAATTATTAAGTGCATGTTAACGCACTCACTGTGAGGTGAGAATTAAACAGCCATTCGTGTGACACATGAGAAGTCAAACTGCTTGATTGTGCAGCTGTATTAATGCTTATTGGAGTAATAACTGCTTTATGTTCTTCATATCTAAGTTGTGTATTTGTTTTGTTTTTTTTTTGTCGCTGAAAAGTGAACATTTTTACACAATTGACACCACAAACATCGCAAAGCAGGAGAAAGTGACTGGAGGGGTCTGTCATGTCTGATTGATGGGGTCCTGATTGATCCAAAAGCTGTTTGTGATCCTAAATTGGCCCTGGAGGAGGATAAAAAAGAAAACATATACATTTTAAGTTGCCACGGTGATGTAGCCGAGAAAAATGATCCACAGTCATGAGACAGAAAATTCAGGGTTAGTTTAAACTAAGCTTAAAGTGTGGGACAGATCCCTGCTCTCGGTCATGGCACTGCTAGCCGAAACAATGTGCGTCTTTCTCAATTAACGTTCTTCACGTTGTGTGAGGAGCATGTTTTTCGCTTCTAATGTAAATTTACAAGGAGATATGACGTTTTGCTCCGACAGCAACAGTTGTTTACTGTGAACTCACATGTCAACAAAGACTGCTGAGACACTGTGTGGTCATGTGTCCTGCTGTATTTGCTGTATTGTCCTGATGTGGGCGCTACATGCAAGCATTTGAGACTTCACCTTTTAAAATGCATGTGTTTGATGTGTCTCCAGGATGTTGATAAAGATCCTCCTCTGCCGCCGGTGGATTCTCACGCTCAGCGTCTCCTCCAGAAGCGCATAGTAGTGGAGAAGCTCAGCAGAAGGTCAATATTCAACACGTTTTAATGTCCCTCATTCTGTCACATGCAGTCGAGTTGTTATCCCAGATTACACGTCGTTTTTAATGCTTTAATTGAAACCATGTTTTAATGTTTTAACCCCTTAATATTTTACAGTAGCTTTATTGTTCACTTATAAGCCTGAAGGCTTATTATTCAGGAACTACTGTGAAACTAATATGCAAGTTGTGTTACATTTGAGAGTGAGGAACTAAAGTATTTTCAGCAAGCCATCAAAACGGCAAATATCCATCTCTGTATCTTCTGTTTTAGGGAAGAAAATGCACCTTAAAGCAAAGAATAGTCCCAGAAAATTTCATACATCTGCTGTCTGTAGTTCAAAAGCAATGCATTTTTTCATAGCAGTCAGGAAAAAGTAAGCCAACACTCACTTTTTAAGGCCTCAGTCTCAGAAACTAATGAAGATACAAGCCTAAAATCACAATCCCTTAGAGTTCAAGGGGTTAACCTGCTTGTTAAGGTCAGAATAAGGCTCTCATAATCTCACAACAGCTGCAGTCATGGTTGTAGTGATCACTGCACACCTGCATGTTTTCTTTTTTTAACCTGGCTATCCTGTGCTGCGCTCTAGCTTGCGAGACGTTGTGGGGCCCCTGCATGTGACCATGAGCGAGATTATCAACGACATCAACAACTTGGTCAGAACTTTCAGGTGAGCGACATTTCTCAGCAGCTGAACTCAAAAAGATGCGTTTAAAACAATCCAGAACAATCTGCCCCATTTTTGTCATATGATTGAATAGCGGAGATGATCATTTTAACATATTTCCCTGCATTTAGGGACGACAGAAAACCTGTTGACCTGAAACACAGTCACCTCAGGCCAAACGACATGTTTTGTTGATTTTTATAGTGAAAATAAGTGAACACATCCTCTACAGAGACACACTTGTGCACGTTTTAATGCACAGTTGCTGGTTATTTGCTGAACTTAAAATATTGGGGGGGGAAAAAGCATAAAATGTGACCTCCTACAGAAGTTATTGCACATTTTATTATGTTTTATCAGGCAAAAACTAGAAAAGATGCACTAAAATAATTACATTTTAACTTATTTTCACTTAGAAAATCAGCAAAATGTGTAACTTGACTAGGAGTAACTTCTGCATACGACTGTTTAACTTGCGTCAGCTTCTGCCCTTTGACTTCTGTTACAAGTTTGCTTTGAGTCAGTTGGTTTTCTGTACAGTACAGCGTGTTAGAATCGTTGTGCATATTAATTAACCATATCATATAGATGGGGCAGCTGGAGACTGAACTGAACAGTGCTGGAGCGCTCGTTTAATTCCCTTTATGACGAGCTGTGAGAAATATTAAGAACATTCCCTTGTACTAGCAGAATATATAGATGCTGTATCTGCGAAAGCAATCAGTGGGACTTTTTAGTCAGACGTGAGATTATTTTAATCTTCACACGGCCTTGAATAGCGATCGGTCATGGAGGTGTTGAGACAGGAAGTTGTGGGTCACACTTTGTAGATAATATACGGCGGCTCTGAAGGGCCACTTCAGTCTTAGATTGAACCTGCTTCCAGGAATTCAGCTGCTCCTATTGAGGACCACTAAATCTGAGCCCTGCACACAAGAGCACAGCACCCTTAAAATGTACTGGTTCAGTAAACAGCCTGTAGTAGCTTTTATTTTAATGGCACATGTCCAGGGGTTAAATTGGGGTTTGGGCAGTGGACACGCCCTGTTTTTTCATGAGGTGGATGGTATTGTTTAATGTATGTGGTATTATATTAGCACTGATGTAATGAAAACGTGATTAAAACTGTTAGTCTATTTCTGTCTTAAGCAGGAATTCCCCTGATTTTCAGATTTTCCCCTGAGCATAATTCCTGCATAATTACATTAAGATGTACACAAAGTCATTCAGAGTGGTTTGGTGTGAAGTGCTGGGTTCTAGAGATACTAACCAACCAAAATTCTTCACAGTGGTGGTGATGGGAACCAGACGTCTGGAGAGTTTAACACCTCTAAAAGCAGTACTTTGCTGCCAGTGCCATCCAGTCAGATTTGTAAACGGGCTTCTCGAAATACTTTAAACCCCAGCCTTCCTACCGTACATCACCAGCCAGTTCAACACTGTTGAATAGCGTTATTAATCTGTCAATACTGTTAGCTGTTTAGATGTATTTGAGCACATTCAGCAATAGGGCTGAACGATTTTGGAAAAATATCTAGTTGTGATTTTTCTGATCGATACTGCGGCTGCGATTTAAATTGGGATTATTTTTGTAAAATGAGGTCCAGGCCTGTTTTTTTGGTCAAGAAGACCGAAACATTCGCTTTTTCTGGCTTGAGACCTGAACACTGAACATGCCGGACTGCCAGTTAGCTGTGATTGTGATGTCACAGCATATTGTTCGGTTGCTTCTGATTGGTCCAACTCATCTACAGACAGTTTTCGCTGTCTCTGATATTACATTATTATGTATTACACCGATCAGGCTTAACATTCTGACCACCTCCTTGTTTCTACACTCATTGTCCATTTTATCAGCTCCACTTACTATATAGGTGCACTTTGTAGTTCTACAGTTACAGACTGTAGTCCATCTGTTTCTCTGCATACTTTGTTAGCCCCCTTTTACCCTGTTCTTCAGTGGTCAGGACCCCCATGGACCCTCACAGAGCAGGTACTATTTGGGTGGTGGATCGTTCTCAGCACTGCAGTAACACTGACGTCGTGGTGGTGTGTTAGTGTGTGTTGTGCTGGTCTGAGTGGATCAGACACAGCAGTGCTGCTGGAGTTTTTAAACACCGTGTCCACTCACTGTCCACTCTATTAGACACTCCTACCTTGTCAGTCCACCTTGTAGATGTAAAGTCAGAGACGATAGCTCATCTGCTGCTGCACAGTTTGTGTTGGTTATCCTCTAGTCCTTCATCAGTGGTCACAGGACACTGCCCACAGGACGCTGTTGGCTGGATATTTTTGGTTGGTGGACTATTCTCAGTCCAGCAGCGACACTGAGGTGTTTAAAAACTCCAGCAGCACTGCTGTGTCTGATCCACTCAGACCAGCACAACACATACTAACACACCACCACCACATCGTGTTACTGCAGTGCTGAGAATGATCCACCACCCAAATAGTACCTGCTCTGTGGGGGTCCATGGGGGTCCTGACCACTGAAGAACAGGGTAAAAGGGGGCTAACAAAGTATGCAGAGAAACAGATGGACTACAGTCTGTAACTGTAGAACTACAAAGTGCACCTATATAGTAAGTGGAGCTGATAAAATGGACAATGAGCGTAGAAACAAGGAGGTGGTCATAATGTTATGCCTGATCGGTGTATGTTCCCCATTAAAGACGTCATAAATAAAAAATGGCTATAATTAATATTGCAGCTCTTGCGATTTGAAAATTGCACTCTTTTAAATTGTGATTTCGATATAAAAACTATTCATCTTTCAGCCCTATTTAGCCACAGTCAGTTAGCACAACACAAGGCTAAACACCATAGTAATGCAATGCTGTCAAACTCAGTTAAAATGTTTTACATGGAACAGTTGATATGATACGAACATGTTTTTACATCTTGGTGTGCTGATTGCTGGTCTGTGTCTCTTACTAATGTCCTTTCAGATTCACAAATGTTAACATCATTCACAAGCCTCCTGAGTGGACCCTGATCTCAGTCGTTCTTCTGTCAGTGTAAGTCTCAGTCTTTCTGACCAAGTCACCTATGATCCTAAATCAAATTTTGGTAGTGGGAGATATGGCCAAAAATGTATATCACAGTAAAAGTTTCTGACAGTTTTGGTATACGTCACAGTGTATGTAATATATATTATAATAAGCACACAATCTTCCAAAATGTCTTGGTTCTGCTGAAGCATTAAGATTTCCCTTCACTGGAACTGAGGGTTCTAGACCAACCCCTGAAAAACAGCCCCATATCATCATCCCTCCTCCACCAAACTTTACAGCTGGCACAGTGCAGTCAGGCAGGTAATGTTCTCCTGGTATCTGCCAAACCCAGACTCGTCCATCAGACTGACAGATAGAGAAGCGTGATTGGTCACTCCACAGAATACGTTTCCACTGCTCCAGAGTCCAGTGACGGCACTTTACGCCACTCCGTCTGACGCTTGGCACTGTGCATTCTGATCTTAGGCTTGTGTGCACCTGCTCAGCCGTGAAAAGCCATTTCATGAAGCTCCTAATGTGCAGTTCTTTCGCTGAAGTTTCTTCCAGAGACAGTTTGGAACTCGTTAGTGATGATTCAACAGAGGATAGACACTGTGCGCTTCAGCACTCAGCGGCTCCACTCTGTGAGTTTGTGTGGTCTTTGGCTTCGTGGCTGAGCTGTTGTTGCTCTGAGTTGCTTCCATTTCACAATAATAGCACTTACAGTTGACTGGGGCAGATCTAGCAGGGCAAAAATGTGTAAATAATTTCAAATAAAACCATTTCAGATGCTTAAGTAAACCTGACAATTCCTTAATATTCTGGCATTTTAATAAGAATCATTTTTTAGCAATCAAATTGAATCTGAATGGTGCGAAATAGTATAAACAAAATTCAACAATATTTAGATAAACCTTTTTTGGCAGTATTGCTTTCTACTGCTAACCCCACAAGCCCAGCAAAAACTGTCCTATATGTTGTTTCGCATCTTAATTTCGTTGGTTTTTCATTTGGAAGCTTTTTGTTCTGATTTTGGTTCCACCTTAAACGGAGCAGCAGTTACATTCCGGGACCTGTAACGGAACCTGAATGTAACTGCTGCACCATTTAAGGTGGAACAGGAATTTACAACAAGACACCAAATGCAGCGTCGTTAAAAGTTTTCAGGTCATTTGTCTCACATGTGTGTCCCGTACACTCATGCTTCCGACCGTCAGACACTTCTGGAATCTGGGAAACATAGTTATACAGCTCTCAGTACCAGCCTGTTTCACGCTGGAAGCTCCAACCGCGGCGGCTGATGCAGCTGATGGATGTGATTGAGGGTCTGCTGCATTTTCCGGTATCTATTTGAGACGTGCCTGAAGCATCCCCCGACCCAGCCATTCAGCTAAAGGGCTTAACGTTAACGTGGTTTAAGCTGTTTGTGCATTAACACATCCTCTACAGCAGGGGTGTCCAGCCTTATCCGCAAAGGGCCGGTGTGGCTGCAGGTTTTCATTCCAACAAAGCAGGAGCTCACATGATCAGTTCCTCGAGGACTGACCAATTGATCAAGCAAGTGGAATCAGGAGTGCTCTGCATGTTTGGAATGAAAACCTGCAGCCACATCTGCTCAACAGGAAACATTTCTTTCTGCAAATTTTAGTGCATGATTTCTATTTATTTGCTAAGTTTAACATATTGGAAAATATAAAACATAGAGTACTAAAACCTCCAGTTTTATTAGGTTTCCAATATGTTAAATTCAGCCAATGTGCTGAAGTTCTCTCTAGAGAATTTGTTAACTGGGTCGTTCTACAGAAACGCCCATTTTTGTGTTCCTAGCGTTTAGAGATACATTACACTTAAAAAACATGTTAGGGTTACAATTTTTATATATTTTAATATAAAACAATGAGTTATTTTAACAATTACACCACCTTTAGCCATCAATTTAGCAATATTGGTTTTTAAATCAATTATCTAGAATTCCAAGCACCACAGAAGAGCTCATCCTCACAGTCATGTGTGAAGGCTGAGGCCATATTTTAAAGAAAAAAACATTTTTTTGCAGTTTTAACTACAAGAATCTATACATGACTATGAAACATATGATTTAAATGACATAAAGAAAACAAATAAATATTATAAAATATAATGAAAGCTCCCCAGGAGTCGTGTCACTGGTGTTACTGCGTAACAAAAAATCTCTTATTTTGAAATAAGAATCACACTGATGACATCACTTTACTTCCTTTTTCCTATTTTCTGAGTATCTATGAAGAAAAGCACATGGTGAGTCCACTGTGTCTTTCAGTTATCAGAGATTTTCTCATTTAGCTCATGATTTCATATGACCTGGCTGACTTTTATTCTGAGGTAACTGTGAAAAAACAGACTAGAAATGGATTAAATTACATATTTTAGTGGATTTTCCATGATTGACAACATGAGGTTTGATCCTCTCTTGTCATTTTGTAAAATGCATTTTTCATTAAAATGTCACTGGTGTTACATACAGGATCGGTAACACCAGTGACACCTATGGATAGATAGAAAAGTGGACGTTTCTGTAGAATGACGCAACTAATTTGGTAACAGCGCTGCCCAAACTTTTGCATACAACTGTACAGTTTATGCAGTTTCTATACACACTGGTTGTTGTGGCTCTCTATGATTGATATTTCTGTGATCTATGCAGTTGTTCTAGATGTGCTGACTCATGCACGTTGTGTAAATTGTGCAAATAGCACACAAACGGCTGTATTATTCTTTAATGAGTACCATGTTAGACATTAAGGAGCAGACATTTAAAAGGAAATCTTTACAATATGATTAAAGCCGCAGTGATTAGGTTCTGTACAGTCTTTCCTGAGAAAGTAGCAAATGTGCTGGTATTTAATGAAGGACTTCGGTGGAACTGCTGCATGGCTGAAGCCTCTGTGAGCTCTTTAATGGCTCAGATTATAGAGCTGTAGTGTTTTGCTGTTATCTGATGACGGCTGCTGATTAGAGTTTATGGCAGTTTGGTGGCCTGCTGTGCGACGGCAGTGAAAGCATGCGGTGCGGCAGCTGGAGGGCAGGATCGTCAGAGAGAAACTGACCGAGGAAATCAGGGAGCATTGTTTTCTCTGCAGGAACACCCAGTCAGTAAAACCATTACAGCAGAGTGATTTATCTTCGGGTGAGACGGAGCGAGCTGTCCTGATGATTTTACTCTCAAACATAAACATGCACACAAGCTGCTGAAGTGCTTGGAGTAACATCGTTCTAGTTCTGTGGGTAGTTTGAAAATAGACCATTTATGTTTTTTTGATATTTTCAGTCACGTTAAATAGTAATAGACATTGCTAATAGAATATATTTTCTAATATACGAATATAAAAACTTCTTGTAGAGGTGCAACGATTTACAGAAATGATACGATATAGCGGTGTCTCAATTTGATAGAGCAAAAATAAATAGTGGATAAAAATGTCCCTCATGTTAATATGTTGACCCTTGTGTGGTGTTGGGGTCTGTGGGACTCGTTTTCAGTGTTTACCAAAAGAAAAAACGATGTGATTTATTATTATTTTAGCCTTATTATTTAATTTTCTGTGAAGAACATATAAAATAACCCATTTTCAGTGTCCTCACTCTGTTCACCCCCTACACATTTATATTACATGTGGTGTTGGGTGAACCCGCAGGAATAAAAGTGTGGAGGTGCTGTGTCCTTCACTCTGTTCTCCTCCTACGTGGCCTGCTGTTAGAGTGTGAGTGTGAGTGTGAGTGTGAGTGTGAGTGTGAGGGTGAGTGTGAGGGTGAGTGTGTGGGTGAGTGTGTGGGTGAGGGTGGACAACATGGACAGGCTGCTGACTGGCTACAGCTGCTAAAGGAGAACCCTACACTGGCCACTTGTGACATTTTAAACATCTGCTGTTTTTTACATATATTGTTATGACTGTATTGATTTAAATACACAGTAATGCGGTGAGTTCACCAGACCACTGAGTAACAAACACATCAACACCACCCAAGGGTTAATGTTTCCATTTTCAGTTTATTGGAGCAATGCAAAATTAATTTATTCATTCATTCATTCTTTCATCTTTTAAGCCAGTTATCCTCCTGGGTCATGGGGGGGGGTGGAGCCTATCCCAGCGCTCATTGGGCGGAAGGCACCCAGGACAGGTCGCCAGTCCATCACAGGGCAGACACACAGACATATACACTCACACCTAGCACCAATTTAGCATCTCCAGTTGGCCTGACTGCATGGCTTGACTGTGGGAGGAAACTGGAGCACCCAGGGAGAACATGACCCTGGTCACCTGGCCGGGGAATCAAGTCCAGCCCCTTTTGCTCTAAAATAACAAACTAGCCACGAGCTATAATACTAAACACTATACAACAATACAATATGAAACACTCTCAGGAATAAAGGTACTAAACTGTCACTGGGGCAGTGCCCCTCTTGACGCTGGGGTGGGACCCTCAATGGTCCATCTCAGTACCTTTAGTCAGGGAACATAACTGAACCATAATCCACTGAAATGATATGTTCTGAGCTGTACTGACTCCACACACCCCGTCTCGTCTCCAGGCTTTTATTTTACTGTTCTGTTTTAAAACATTCGGTTATGAAAAGGTACAAATACGAACTTTTCACCTGGAAAAACTTATTTAAGGTTCACAGTCAGACCTTAAAACCACTGTTGTACCTTTGAGGGAACGTTTACATTGTTTGTACCGTGATGAACGAAAACTGTTCCTGCACAGAACCTTTATAACAGTGTACATTCTATTGTTACTTACAGAAAATCAGATTGGAATCTGTATCGGCCGATACTTAATTACTTAAGCTTATTAAGTGCCGTCAAGTCATTTCCGATACCTGGTAACCCTTTATTTAGTGTTTCTCCAGAATATCCTGTCTTCTGTTTATACCTTTAGTCTGAATGGCTGCTTCATGTTTCCTCTGATTGTGTCCACCCACCTTCTAGCTGGTCATCCTCTTCCTCCATTACCTTCACCGGTTCTAAGCATAATAGTCATTT